TGGTGCGGGAGAGGAATGTTGTACAGCCTCGGGTTGCTGTGAATCGAAACAAAGATTAGAAAAGGAAACGTGTGAAAAATTTGAATAAAAATATACATATAAAATTTAAGAGTTGTACCTTAAGAATAGGCGTTGATGATTGAAGTAAATAATCGACATTCGTCGATATCGTCGCCGATGGATGGTCCTAAAAATATCGAGATTTGGAATCATGTTATGGGCCTTGTCGAAATCTAGGTATATAAAATTTGCATAAAAAGGGGTCTTACGTGACTTGAACGAGTGGTGAGTGTTGTTTGGCCCGCTTTGCTTACCGTGTTAAAGTCCGTCGATAACGGATTTATAGCAGGTGGTTGAATGGATCGAGGACTCTTCTTTGATTTTTGTTTCTGAAATTAGAAGTGAATCAGCTATAGACAAAGAAAGTTGAATAAATAAGATAATAAGGAATAAAAAAGAAACCTTCGATTTTTTCGAAGATGAAGAAATGGTGGCAGAATGCTTGCGCTTCTGAGTGGGGGCCGATGGATCTGACTCGTCCGAAGACTCCCAGTCTGTCTCGGAGGCGACGGTTTTATGAGGTTTCGAAACTGTCGAAAAAAGAAAAACAATTAGCTTGCAATGTGAAGAAAATTAAAAATACTTCTAAAAGAGGCAGTAAAATCTCACCAAAGGGTGATGGAGTTAAAATCTTGACTCGGTCGATATGGACGAGCTAGGGAGGAAGAAGATTTTGAGGAAGGTTTAGGTAAGGGAAATAGGACAGTTTTGATATCGAAATCTCTTTATTCTTGGGTTTGGGATAAAGAGTTTCTTTTAAGGATCTTAACTCTCGGACTCATTTAGGATGAGTTAAAGGTTTGGCGAGTCCAAAAGGAGCTGAAGGAAAAGTGGGAAGATGGTTGAGACAATACATTTCAAATGGGGTTTTGCCTCGAGGATTGATTATTTTGTGGTTTGATCGGTTAGTATCTGTTTTATTGACTAGGGAAATAACAACATCATAAAAGGTCTCTTCTAATTTCAAGGGGTTGTAGAATGCTCGATAAAAATTTTCGAATCGAGATATTTGGAGATAGTGAGAGTATGTACTTTTCTTCGCCTTTGATTTGTCCTGCAACACGAGAGAAGGACGAGCGGTCATTTTTGATTGGACTATGTCAAAATTAGAATGAATATTTGAAAACCAATTGGTCCACCACTAAGAAAAACCAAGAGTAGATAAATAATTTGATTCAAAAGTATAAGGGTAAAAATGCATCGGGTTTTTTGGCAACAGTTTGGCAAGCTCCCGTCCAACAGTTGATTCACTTAATTTGGACCTTGAGGAGGTATCGAGGGGGAAAAAGAGTAAAGCTTAACTCAAACCAAACTACCGCGAGAAGAGCTGGGGATAATAAGTGACGAGTTGAAGATACTTCGATTGAAAACCCGATACCAGAACATCTTGGGTTAGGTAATTGCTCCACACTTCGACTAATTCTGATTGTAACCCGGGAGTAAGAGCAGGGAATTTTGACTTAAACCATGCCGGCCCTCGAAGCTTGTCACTTACTTTCCCTTGATATACGGTGAAGGGGGCCAAGTTTGACTCAAAATGAAATCGAGTCAACAAAAATCTTAGGTAATTGCGATAACTAGTCTCGTCGGATTTGTGGTGAGGGTGTCAAGAGGACAATCGAGCACCTTCCAAATTTAAATTTGGGGGAATGTTGGAGGTTGGAGTGAGGATACTTTCAAAAATTGAGGTAAGCCATAATTGAATGAACCAAATGGGACCTGAAAAATTCCCTGAGGCCCTGGGGGTATTCAAAATATCGACGACTTCATCAAAAGAAGTATAAACATGGGCCAATAACAACTTTGCTAAACAAATCCGTGGTTGGCTAGTGTGGAGGAGATAGGCAAGATTATAAAGGTGGGACGAGATCTGGATGGATCGAGGGCAAAAGACGTGGGTGCAAAGCCAATATACCAGGAAGGCCACATGTTCTTCATCAGAAACAGCTATTGTTTGATTGTTGACAAAATGTTTTTTGAGAAAATGTCAATATGCCTTTGATTCCCAATCGATTTTTGACCTTAAAGAATTATCCGAAGGGAAAGCACCCTTATACTATTTCTCCCCTGTGGGCTTTAATCCAGTAATTGCAGCAATTTCAAAAAGGGTGGGTGAAAGGGGACCACAAGGAAGTTCCAGTGCATGTAAATCCTTATTCCACAAATGAACAGCAGATAAAAACATGGTCATATCTAAAAATGACATATCACATCGAGACAGATGTAGGAAATCGAAGATCCCTACATCTCTCCAATGGTTCCCAAACTTAGTTTTAACTCGGTCAAACCACCTAATGTACAAGGGTTTTTATTGGGGAGGGCCTGTTCGATATACTTTGGAGACAATATTTAGAAAATCAATTTGAACCTCGGACTAATGAATAAGAGCCTTACTCTCTGAAGAAAGGTTGAGGGAAGAAGAAAATGATCCGTCACAGTAGCGGATAGGACCACCAAACGCATAACTTACATTATCAGCGACATAAGGGATAAGTACCTGGGTCTCGGCAATCCTTTGTGAGGCTTCTTCCATCAAAGGAACCGGAGCAAAATTCTTTCCATTAATCTCTATTAGGTTGGAGGTCATCGAGGAAAGTGGTGGGGCAGAGAAATCAGAAGATTTGGAGGTCGCCATTACAGTCGGTAGAGAAGAGGAAGACGAAAGGTTGAAGATGAGGAAGTGCAAACGAAGGAGAAGTGAGGTTCGTGGTAAAAAACAAGGGTAAAAATTGATAAAAGTATTTAAAGAAGCCGAGTAGGATATGTGAAACGGCGAATTTGAAGCGGGTAATTAAATTAAAAGCGTGGCAGCAGAGGTGATGTGATAGGTGACATAAAGTAGAAAAACCCTAAAACCCCAGAAACCCTAAAACCCCGGAAACCCTAAAAACCCTAAGGAGTTATTTCGAGTTTCAAGAACGATTAAGGGCGGGAGTCATATTTGGAAGAATATAAAAATTGATATTCTTCCAGGGGGGCATTTGTTAGTAAAAGAAAAATCGATACCAAGATCAAAAAAATAAGAGAGAGAAATATCGAAGATCATATGGTTGGTTGGAAATTCGATAAAAGACAGTTAGGAAACACCCAGTAACCACAAAGATGAAAACACATATAAATCGAGAATTGAAGGAAGAATATTTGATGTCTATTGTTGAAGAAAATCGAGAAATTAGAATCTGGTGTAATGTTAAGATTAAGGGGAATCAAAATAATTCAAAACACTCGATGTCTGAAATCGAGACCGAGGGAACGGTTAACGCGCACATAGAATATGGGAAGCGGTTTCTAAACCGTGGCAGAGATCGAAGATCAAGGGAGTAGTTCTCTCATGAGAACGTGGAATGCAGTTTCCTAAACCGTGGAACTAAGGGACGTGCACGTTGGATCGTGGTGACAGTTTTATTAACTGCTTTTAGGAGGTTACTTGAAGGGTGCTCTATAAATAAAGCGAAGACTTGAGGAAGAGGGGAAATTGGCAGAGACAACAGAAGTGCAAGTGAACAGTCTACAGGAGAACGACGCATCATGAAGTTTCTAATGCTCTGGATTTCCGTTTTCATTGATTATCTTTATCGCTTTCTCTACTTTCCCTAGTAATTTACTTTCATTGCAATTTACGGTTATCAACTTTTAAGTTTTGTCATTTTGATTCTTTGTCATTTACTTTTATGCAAAATTTACTTTTATGCAAGTTAAGGTTATGCGTTTAAGATCCTCGCCATTTACATTTCTGCAATTTCGATTTTCTGCCATTTACATTTCCGCAATTTCGATTCCTTGCCATTTACACTTAATGCAAATTTGAGGTTTACGTATTTTACATTTCTCTGCAATTGAACATTCTGCACTGTTCTTTCAATTCGACACTTTTATTGATTTCTTTACTTCACGTTTCTTAATAAAAAATACCAAAAATAGTAATAGTGCTTTCGATTGCCAATCTGAAATGATATATTGCATTGTTAACATTTCTCGACACGGTGGCATTTTGATATTTTCGATTCTCATGCATTTTTCGATTGAAAATAGTTTGCTAGCCTAAATAAAAAGAATCTACTTGGTCGAAATTTGATTAGAACTTAAATTTTTAATCGAAATCGATCAAATTTTCACCAGAAACAAATTAATAAAAAATTAATTAATACAATCCTAAACTTTCCAAACATTATTTAAAAATAAACTTTTCTATGCAAAATGTTTGACTGAGAGAAAGTATTAATTATAATTATCGATTTATATAATCTTGTCTTTAAAGTAAGAAGAACTATATCATATGTATTAAATATAATAACTGTAATACACTTAGAAGAAACTGAAAATTCATTACTCCATTTCTTTTAAAACATAAAGGTTTAAGATTAAACTATACATGTGAACATAATTATTATTTTTAATAAATTTACTAGTATTTTTATTAATATCTGTATTATTTTAATGTTTTTTTACCAGAATACCCTTAAGTAATTTAATTTCTTTTTTTTCTCTATAATAAATATAATTGAAAGACAGACGTATAATTGATAAAAAAAAAAGTTAATACAACCTTAAATTATACAGACTTCACATATTTATAAACAAATCTTTTTCATCATATATTTTTGAAATGAATGGATTATTATTATTATCTAAAGTAATTATTTGATTGAGAATATTTGAAAAGCTAATAAAATAATTATTAATAAATTAATTTTTCAAAATAATTATTAAATAGTTCACATACTTTATATCTAATGGCAGCTGTCACTAGCTAATATAAGATTTTATAAAAAGTAATCCAATTCTAAAATGTAAAGCATTAATAAAAACAATAAATGTTGAGAGAACATTACATGACTAACCCCTATATATACATGTGTTTCTGAGTAGTTTCATACATAAACTCACCAAGTAAGATATAATTGAAGAGCAAGGAGTGATTATTGTGAAGTGAAATTAAGATGAAGGTGTTATCTTCAATTCTGTTTCTTCTGCTTGTTATCTCCATTGGGATTGGTAAGTTCTGAGTTCAAGTTGGTCACAAATTTAATCTTACAAAGAGAAGATTAAAGGTTAACATTCATAATTTAATAATATGTTGAATATTGTTGTGCAGAAAATGAAGGGGCATTGAAAGGGACAGAGGCAAAGCTATGTGATGTAAAATTATACGACTACTGTGAAGCAGACTGTTTCAGCGACTGTCCCAAAAAATATGGAAGCAAAGCCATTGGCATGTGCAGTCCAGCCAGTGAGTGCATCTGCCGTTGGCAATGTTAGGGTTTCACGGTCTCATGTTTCTCACAATGGTGGATGATTCGATTCAATAAAATAAAAGTTCCTCTTTTCTTATCATATCAATTTCTTTTTGTGTTTAAATTATTCTTCACTCAATTCATATTTTTTTTAGTTCACTATCTCAGCAAAAAGGAGGTCAAATATTTTATCATTAACTTATTAAATAAAATAAAAATAATAGTTAGAAATTAAAAGAAACATAATTTTCATCTTATAAGAACCATTCAATAGAGTGATAATTTATACTCGCCTAATAACAATATCTTCTACTGGAAAATAAAAATATATAATTCAAATATCTTCAAATAAATACAATAAAATTATAATTTTACTAATTTATATATCATACTTGTTTCTAATTCACAATTTAATTAAAATTTATATTCAAGTGTCCGATGAATCATTTAAATATCATTTAGATTTATTTTATTTTATTAGTAAGTATAAATATTTTTTAATTTTTCAATAATGGAAGATTTATATGAAATCAATTTCAATTGTTCAATAATTAAAATAAAATGTATTTTGATGAATGATCGCTCACATCTAACTTGAACTTTCTTGTAACATTAAATAAATTGTAAAAATAATAAAGATATAATAAAAGTAAATTTAATTTATTATCAAGAATAAAACATAAATTGATAAAGAAAATCAATAAAAATGGTGATCCAAATGATAAAAAAATTCATTGAAAATATTTGTTCAATATTTGTACCGTGCAAATTTCTTCATACAATTTACCTATCACCATTTTTTTTACGTTTATTTAACTTTATTTATACTTTTTTTGTGTAACCGTTAACTACTTTAAAATAAAAATGAAAATAAAATTAAAGTCAAATAATTTTCACAAATGATTATTTTTCTATAATTGTTCTCCATTTTTTTGAGTCAATTTGTTGACATGTAATATCTATAAATGCACATGCACGTAATGGGACCACAAGTGCTTCTGCATAACTTTCTCCATATCTTTTTTCTCTCGATTAATAGTCCTAGACTTAACATTTCCAATTCTTCGATTTTCAACGTTTAATTGATCACACGATACTTTTTATTAACTTTTCATTTATTCAACTCAATCTCTCTTCTCGATAATACACACTTCTAAACATTTCCTAAACATAAACTTTCAAAGCATATATATTTTATCAGCATATTTCAATTCATTGTTCAAATCAACTTTCTTCTTCTAACTCTTTTGGTATCGATATTTAATCTTTGATAAATCAAAATTTCTTCTTTCATTATCGATGTTTCATTTAAAAATCTCTATATTTTTTTCTTTATTCCTTTCTATATATTTACAAATTTGTCAATAATAATAATATTATCGTATATTTAATTAATATGAGATATAATCCTTGAAATATATTTTTTCATCATTTATTTCTTTGTAACATATCAAATATTACAAAAAAAAACATTTATTTCTTTTAAAATATATATTTACAAAATCGAATATTATACCATTTCATTTGTTTGTGTACAACATATCAAATATTAGAAAAAAAAACAGTATACTCCTCATTCATTATTAAACTATGTTGTAAGTTTATCTCCATATTGCATTTATAATAATATTAAATGCTATTTAAGAATCAATTTTAGTTATAATACACAGGGCGTATTAATGATGTTATTTACTAAATCATCTACTTCTTTTTCTTAACATTTATCGTCTCCTTCTTGTTTTTCCCAATATTTGTTCTTTAGTGTTGGACTACACCAATCAAATAGTAATTTTCATTATTAGTAATATTTTTAATTTTTAAATAATTTATTTATCATTTTAATATTCTCCTCCAAATTTATAATAATTTATTACATTTTTTTATGTATTAAATTTAATTTACAAAATAAAAATATATTTGATAAAAGAATAAGTAATATAAATTTAAATTTTACAAAACGATAAATTTAAAATAAAATTTAAAAAATACAGTTAAAAAAACCCAAAGAGTATTAATTTTATATTATTTATTAAATTAATTTTTTAATCATATTATTTACTATACAATACAATTATGAATTTAATCAATGTGTCGTAATTTTCTTAAACTTATGGATTTTTATTCTAAATCTTTCTCTTTCTCTCTATATAAATCTAGTGCTAAATAAAATGTAATTAACACAAAATTCTATATATGTGTACGGGTGATTTTATAATCTTTTATTTTAAATAACTAATCTACTAAAAAAATAAAAAATAAAAATACAAAAGTTTATTAATATAATGAGCAATAATTTTTAGGTTTATTGTATCTTAATATTTTTATTTGTATTTTTACCAATTGTCAAAAGTTATATAAAAGAATTGAATTTTATTTTTATGTAAAATAAAATATTAAATTATATTAAAAACATAGTTAAGATAAATTGTCTTGCATGAACAACTTCAAGTGACTGTAATCTATGGTAGTTTTTAAGCGATAAATTCAATAGAAATATTTTGAAAAAAAAACGTGATTATCATGTCATTAATAAATTTTTAATAATTGTTAGCCAAATTAAAATTATTAATAAAAGAAAAATATAAAAATATGTTAAAAAGTGTATAGGATTTGAAAGTAAAATTTCGATTTAGCCCCCAAAAGATATTAAATCTTAATTTTTAAATGATAAAGTTAATTAGACATGAAAAACACATCTAAGTATATACCCATATGTTAAAATTATAAACATGTTTAATTACAAGTCGGTACACATAAAAAACACATCCAAGTCGGTTCCTAGAATAAAATTTTGATATTCACTCTATTTAATATATTAGTTTGACAGATTTAATAAAAAGTACTAGTTTTGCTGTTTATAATTTATTTTAAATATTAATTACAAAACTGAAAATAACTATTAATTGTATTTATGTATATATAGTTGATAATTAAAGGTAACCGTATGCAGAAACTTAATTTGTAAAGTGGCCTGTAACTTAATTTAATGTCCTAGTTGTATTTATTGAATATTTAAATTGTTAAAAATTAACCTATTTGTATATGTTTTTTATAGTTAAAGTTAATTTTGAAAGTTTTAAAATTATAAAAAATATTATAATCAATAATCAAAATGAAATATTAATTGTGATTATTTTAATTTTACTTTAATTAAATTTAGAATGATTTAAAAAAATATATATCTAATTGATAATGCATGGGAATTAGGTTTTAGAAAATAAAGTCCACAAGATGCAAGGGTTGACATAGACCCTATTAATTACTCATGCCATCATCTTTGTTTTTGCCCCTCATTCACTCTACCAAGGTGGCCCTTTTACATGAACTCCCAATAATGGACAAGAAGCCATACAAGTTTTGTCATTTTTTCTTTTCTCTTGGTTGGTCCAAGCCAAAGCGTTTACGCGTGGAGCTCATACATGCCACTAATGGGGTCACCCTTTCACCTCTTGTCCCCAAAACCATAACAACTCCATGATTTGGGTTCTGTTCAACGAACCTCGCAACCCATGCTTGCTTCCACTCGTTCCCCTCTTCCCATTGCATACAACATATTCTTCTTCTCTTTCATATTTTACTCTTCTTCTGGTCAAAGCTTGAGAGAGAGATTTTCTAGCCACATGGTTCAAGACCCATGTGTATCCACGTGAAATCCTCGCTTTTTTGTTTCACCAATTCTCCACGTCAATTCTTCAATACTAAGTAACCAATAACAACTCTTCAAAAGATTGTTTCGTTATAATAATTTTCTTAACCCTATTCCCACCCCCTTAAACAAATTAACTGTACAGCGACGCCCAACCTCAAAACTATTATATTTTTCTCCAAATCCAAGACAAGATTATGTCGAAGGAAGGAAGCCCAGGTGATTTTCACGTGCCTCTGGTCCCACTAGGCAATCTCAAAATTGTCATACATCACGTGCCTCTGGTCCCACACCCTCTTCACCTTCAATAAGGAAGAAATTATTAAATGGTAAAATTCTTAGCAAAAGTTGCATTCGTGTTCCATTTTATTATCATTTTACAGTTCCTATTTTATGTCAAAAAGACCAAAACAACCCGAGGAAAAAAAAAAAAAACGTGTTTGGTTCCCTCTATTTATTTTAGAGTTCCGACAGAGACAACAACATAGTTTGAAGCGAGAAGGGAAGAAGATGGATGAGTTATCATGTGTGTTGTGTGAGAAGAGGGCGATGATGCTCTGCGACTCGGACCAGGCTAAGCTATGCTGGGACTGCGACGAGAAAGTTCACAGCGCCAATTTCTTGGTGGCAAAACATTCCAGGGTTCTTCTCTGTCGTTTGTGTCACTCCCCAACTCCCTGGAAAGCTTCGGGCACCAAACTCACGCCAACCGTGTCGTTTTGTCACCGTTGCGTTCTGCATCGACACGCGCGCTTCAACTACTTGGTCAATAGTGATCAACAGCATAGTGATGAGGGAAATGGTTCTGATCATGTTCTTGATGCTGATAATAGTGATTACACCGAACAAGAAGAAGAATTAGAGGATGAGGAAGAAGAAGAAGAGGATGATGATGATGAGGAAGGAGAAAATCAAGTGGTTCCAATGTCTTCTGGTTCTGCCACGTCCCCTCCCAGCGACTATTCAGGTTTAGCTTTGAAGCGATTGAAAAACAACTCTTTTGCTTTCGATTCTCATGTAAGTTTATATTATCTCTTCTTCTACAACAGTTGAATAGTGATGGAGGATAACTAATCAAAGTTTACGGTATCATGTCTTGATTGTGTGATAGCAAAACATGAATTAATATGTCTTCATCTTGTTGTTTTCTTCTCTCTCTCCCCTTTTCCCTGTGTCTTCTTCCCACTGTTGCTTTCGGTGTGTTTTTTTCTCGCAACTTGTGGTTCAACGGTGCAAATTCTAATTTCGATTCATAGTGGCAATGTTTGGATCATTGGATTATAATATTAAAAAAAATAAACTTTTATATAAATCTCCCAAGACTTCATTTTTTGAACTTGGGATATCCTTCTCCAAACTTTGTTACATATTAAGGTAATAATATTTTGTTTCATTATAAAAAAAAAAAAAAATAGTAAGCAAAAATTCCACTCATGATAAAGTGGTAGAGCTTACATTATGTGTTAAAACTTAGCTACGTTGATTAACATTCATTTGAAAAATTGAATATATTTTGTATATTGATGTTTGCATTTTGTTGAATATTACAGGATGATACAGCATGTTCTTCATCTGAGATTGCTACATTGTCCAATAATGATGAATCAACCTCAAGGAGTGTCTTGGGGGCATTGAAGAGGCATCGAGTTGATGAACGAAATTATTGATTGAGCTTTGGTTGAAGATTGAAGAGGTGGTGAAGGTTGAACTTGATAGAAAATCTGGAATATGTTGTTCATCATGATGATTAAATTAAGATTATGCCAAGTACTAATTAACTCGCATCTTCCTCTTGAAATTACTTAGTAATTCATAGATCAACTTCAACTTGAACTAGATTGATTTAGTTTCATTTTCTCATTCAATTTTGTTCTCGATTCATGATATATGTGGAGGATGTATATATTCCAAATCCTGGTTACATCTTTTAGTTTATTGTGTAGAAGGTTAATTGTTTGTTTGCAATCAAGTTTATCTTTTAGTTAACTTGCAAAAACAGAGAGTTGGTGCATTGAACCTACAAAAATGGTGTGACACAGTGTGGACCTTACTAGAAAAATAAAAAATGGTGGGATAATGTGGTGGGTTCCATTTTCTTGTTTGCACTTTGCCTTATCTTTTCCTTTTCTTGCACAGATTTTTGGAATTGTGCCCTTAGTGAAAGGAACTGTGAGGGGTGACATTAAACTGAATTTAGGTTTTATTATATTTTTACTTTTTTATGCTATTTGTTACTTCTATTTTGGCCTTTTATGTTTTAGTGTTATAATGGTAGTTTATTTTATTCAAATATTATTTTAATTTTTTATCAATATTTTATTTGATTAATTAACAGAAATTTCCGTGAATTCTATCATAATAAAATAATTATTTTAATTTTATTTCTCTTGATTTTTTTCTTTGTCTTTATCGTAAGTCCAAATGACACTTAAAAAATAAAATAAATATAATTATAAATAAATAACGTGGTGTAATTAATAAGAATAAATGATAAAAATGTTAATAAAATATTTAAGAAAAATAAATGTTTTTAGTTTATGTAAATTGCTATATTTTACTTTTTAGTTTCTAATATATGTTTTTTTTTAAATCCATCCCTGATACATTTATATTGTACGTTTATCCCTAAATTACTATCTAAAACACTTTATTTTTTTGTTGACAACATTATGTAAACCACTTTTGAAAAAATAAAATATTAGAAACTAAAAACAAAATCCAATAATTTATTAAATATACTGGATAAAAATCCTATAATATTTAGATACGATTGTGTAAATTAACTAAAAAACATTATTTCATTCCTCTCTTTTCTTTTCCACCTATTTCTTTCGAGTTTTGTTAATGATCACTTATTCCATAATATTAGGTAGAAGGTTGTTTTTTTTTATTATTATTTGTTTTTGTAGTATATTGTTTATTTTAATCCTATAACCTAATTCGTAAAAATATAATTAGATCCTTAAAAAAAATTAGGTTAAACTCAGTCACTTATTTAGCATTGGCTAGAGAGTAAGAATGCAGTGAAGTGCAGAGTAGTGGACAGAAAGCAAATTGGTTGGGGTTGTGCAGATAAAACAAGGTAGGTCGTCAGTGTGGTCCTTAATAAGGACTCTTTATAATAAATAAAAAATGGTGGGATAATGTGCCTTCTTATTTTCTTCTTTCTACTTTGCGTTGTCCTTTCCCTTTGGAACACTGTCCATGATCTTGTACATAATCCTGGGCTTCTCACTTAATTAGGTCACCTTGTCCTTTATTTTAAGTGATAACATAATGTATTTTAAACTTAAAAAAATAATTATAATAATATTAATAGGTCCATTATTTATTTTAATATATTATAAAAGTGACTATTTATACAAATTTTTATTTTTAATTTTTAAATAAGGGTAAAACTTATCCGAAGAAAAAATTTCATTTATAATTAGTAATGAAATGTAGATTTAGCTCTACACTTTAATTGATTTTTAACTAACACAAACCAAATGTATAATTAAATATAAGTAGCTTTATTTACCCTCGGTTAACCGGTAAAGTCATATGTTTTAAATTTTGAAGATTTAATTAACATTTTTTTTCAACTTTAAAAAAATAATATTTTTATAATATAATAAATTTATTAATAATAATATTTTTTATAAAATAAAATAATAAATATTATTATCATAATTATTATAAATTATAATAAAATTTATTTTATATTTAAGAGTTTAAGATGAATAATTATTAAAATAAGATAAAAAATACAATAAAATAACGGGTTAGGAAATAGTCTCAAGTAGATAATTTTTATGAGTAGTAGGTCTCTTTGCCTACAAAATCCACCGGTAAATGAGATGAAAATTCGTCAATACCGAGATAAAAATTATATTATAATCAATATAATTAATATAAAATACAAAATACAAAAAAAAATATTATATTTAAAAAAATTGATATTTAAATTTTTTTTTATCAGGTTCATTTTTAAGACAATACTACTTACAAAGCTCTATAATTAAATATTCTTTCCTGATCTCGCTATTTTCTTCTACTACCTCCCACTCATTTAGTGATGAACTTTCTGTGATGAAAAAAAAATAAAAAATTGGACAAGAATAAATAGAAGGTGGGCTAAGAAATTAAAACCATTATATCACCTTTTCATATCCTTCTCTTCACACCCTCCCCTAAAAGATGGAGTTGTTTATCTGCACCTCCATGATTTTTAAATAAATTTTATCTTATCATATTTATATTTTTGGAATTCATTTTTGGATTCACTGTTTTAATGAATTTTCAGATTGGTTATTTCATAATCTATTTCTAGAATTGTTAATCCAAAAATATATTTTAATAAATCAAATCTAAAATATATTTCTAAAATAATCAATCCCAAAATATATTTAATTCAAAAAATATATTATAAAATACTCAATTTAAAATATATTTTCAAACTGATTCTTTTATAAATGTATTTGGAATTGAATATTTTGAAATTCATTTTAGTGTTCGAAAATGTGTTCCAAAATTGAGAAGTTTAGATACTTATATTTACTATCAGTCCAGTTTTCTTCTAATAGATACAAACATTATGATTTCTTGCATTGTCAATTAAAAACAATATTCAATGGAGGTATGGAACCACAAAATAATTGAAGGAACTATGAAAGTGTACGGAAGATAAAATTCTTTTAGAGTTTCAAACAAAAATTAATAAAAAAATATTTTAATCATTTTATGAGTTGTAAGGTGTACAGGAAAAAGGAGCCTAAAATTGGTATGAACCATGTTTCATTAAGTCAACTTGTGAAGAAAAAATTAAATAAATAAATAAATCATTAGACATGTTAGAAAAAACTTTTTAGTGAACACTTTTATGAAAGATAAATAAAATATAAAATAAATTTAATTTCTTTGTGTACCAAGATTAAATTATACATTTGTAAAACCATTGCAATTAATATTTCTAAAATCTTATTTTTAACTCCTATATAAGCTTATAGATAAGTTAAATTCATTTTTTCTTTTTTATTTCTCTTTCATAGAAGTATTTAATATTTATGGAGAAGTTTTCTCCAAACATACCCTAAATTAATTTATAGAAACTGCGTAATTTAATCTATGCAAAAATCATATTTCAAATTTATGTACAAGTTATTAGTTTATGAAGAGATTTGTCACTTTATTTTTTTTTCTTATTCTCTAAGCATATGAAAAAATTATTCAAATAGACTCTATCTCTTTATTGAAGATTGTCTGTAATTTGTGAAAGAGGGATTTTGCAAATTTGTATAATGAACACTTTAGAAGAAAGCCTCAAGTACAACCTCTGGGGCTAAATTTAAAATTTAAAGTAATAACTTTTCATTAAAATAATTACTAATGTAATAAAAAGATTATCCTACTAAAACTCGCCACTTGCCACTTTTGGAGGGTGATGTTCATAAATCCATAATAAAAAGCACCAAAAGCAAGCATTTTGATGTGTACAAAAGGTGTTGTAAAACAATTTTTAGGAATTATAATGGTAATGTGTAAAATTGAAGATTTGGTGGAATATAAAGTTTGCTTGATATTCTTAATATAAATATACTTTAAACAAGTAATGGGGAATGGTTACCTATATTCTCTACTCTCTTCTTTCATTGGATCTTCAACATTGGTCGAAAGCAAACCAGATATTGAATGCCATTTTCAGAATATTCTCTTCAAAAATCACAAACCTACACTTGCCAGCTGTTTCATCCTTCATGTTCGCCTTTGTCTTCATCACTGCCGATTAAACATATGACTGATAATTCCCACACTCAATATATTCTTTCCCAATATTTTTTTCACTCATTCCTTATTCCCACATTCAATTTATTCTTTGCCAATATTTATTTCACTCATTCCTTTTGCTAAATAATGCAATAACTTGTATTGTCATTCTTATCTTCTCATTGTTCCTACTATCCATGGTTTTCCCTTAGATAACAAAATGATGAAATTTTAAATCCTTTTCACTTGAAAAATACGAAACTTATTATTCATAATATTATGGATAAATAATGACATTGATTACAATTTCACTAAAACATTAAAACTAATGTTAAATCATCAAAAACCTGATTTTAGTATATGAATTAAAATGTAGTCTTTCTCTAATAAAAAATATTTCCAATTAAATATGTTAATAGACAAATATGACTGTTTGATATTCAATATTAAATTCAATATAATTTATTAGTTTTATTTAATATACAATTGACTTTTGATTAACCAACATACCTAAAATCTCATTCAAATTTAATTTACTTCGTTACTTTTGAATAACTATTATTTAACAAAATCTTATAAAACTCTATACACCTCAACTAATATCCAAATATTATGAAAATATAGAATTGAGTACCACCATTCTCGGAATTATCATTATCAATATTATTTTACCTCAGTTCCAAATATCATGAAAATATAGAATTGAGTACCATCATTCACTAAATTATCGTTATTATCGTTATTATCGACATTATTTTACCTCAGTTTATGTTTACAAGGGATAAATCGTGTTGACATGCCCAAATCAAAAGATTCAAGGTTCCATCAACATAGCTCTATAAAATTATGTAAACAAATGCTCATAATGATAATCCGATTTCCCACATAGAGAATGGGAAAATAACCCCAAAAACAGTCACAGACAAAGTTGTACATCTACATGAAAGAGTATATACCACTTCGAACCGAAAACAAACTTCCAAAACCTAAAGGAACCCAGATCATATCAAGCCATACAAAATCATCCATAATCTTTCCACTGATAATATGCAGGAAATGCTCTAAATACAACCTGACAGGAAGAGAAAGAGAGCACTCTACAACCATTTCCACCTATCCTTTCGGATCAGAAACATGCTGTAATCCAGTGAAAAAGAACATAAGGGGGCATTAAGATGCATGAGATTCATGAAGATATTCCATAAGAAAGCTTAAACGAAAAACATTATCAAAAGTTGTTAACTATAGTTAGTCAGCAAGCACTTTGGGCCCAAACAAAAAGGACAAAACGAAGAATAATGCAAGTGACCCCATCAAATGAAAAATATAAAACAAATAATTTTACATCCAAGTGCACAAAGTAGGGATAAAAAGGAGCTAACAGCATACCTTCAGACACAGGGTTGAAGTGATGAGTTGGCTCCAACTAATCCTCTGCCCAAAGAAACAAACAAATAAGAAGTTAATTTTCATTTTCACAACCAGCATAAATGAATTGCGCATCAATGAGGAAGCAAATATCAACAATTCAACAACGTGAAATCAAGTGCAGATGTGACTCCATTTTAAATAAGTGAAGATGCAAATCACATTGATTTGTTTAGAAGACTTCAAAATAACCAAAGTATAGAAATTAATTATTGAATCAACATTGAATCCCAGAAATACATTAATATTCATGTGCACAGAAACTATCCAGTTTTCATCCGGAGTTGTTTTATTGCATATGCATGACAAACCAACAAGAAGTGAAAATAAAACTAGAAAAACACATTGAGCCATGTATTTCAACTCTCTGGCAAAGCTCATCAAATGCTGTATTGCGATAGCATTACATCTGAGATTAAAAAGAAAAGTGGAGACCATACACAACAAATGATAAATTTATCATCGTAGGTTCCGAACTTTCCTAAGAAAAATGAGGAAAAAACAGATTATTTTAATCATCTTTCTTTCAAAATCCACACCAACTCGCATTTACTCTAAATCCAGAACAAGCTAACATGTTTATCAAGCACGTACTATGAATGATGACCAAGAGGTTTGGTAACTTAACACTATGATATTATACAAATTTCCAAAACCACAATAGGCAGGGTTTCTTCTTATAGTCATATAAGACAACACTTTCCAAGTTGACACAAACCAGAAGGAATACTGGTGTAAAGTGCCTCCCTGGTGAAACCATGTCATCAACAAATAACAATCAATTTGGACGCATTTGCTATCCGATGTCATCAACAAATAACAGACCATACAAGAACTTTTAGAAACAAACACATGCAAACTATTAGAGTAATTTATTCAATAATCAGACCCTCATCTTCAAACACCGTCCACATCGATTCTTGAACCACGGCAGCCACTAACTCCTCGCTTCTAACAAGGATTCAAACAATCCACTCAAAATGATTCAACACAGAAACCCCTCAATCCCTAAAACTAAAACCCACTACCAACCAAGTCATCAAAACCAAAACCCATCCCATTTTTTGCCTCACATGATAGAACCCACAATGTCCTTACTAACTCCAAGGGGACCAACCAAAACCATTACCGGATATCCTATCATAATCCTAATCAAGATGCACTTGCCATCATTCTATTCAACAAACTCACCAAGCTACCACATCAATCCATAACATTACAATAATCACATTAATCTATATTCCAAAATTCTAAACTCATGGTCCTCGACATTGCAGAAAAATGCAGAGGCAATGCAACTAGAGAATCCAAAAACTTGACATAGGAATCGAACTCATGGTCACAGACCTCGTTCAAAAGCTAGCTACATTCCAATAATTACGAGCAAAGTTTTAACAGTCCACAAACACAATGAGTATAGCAAGGTTTTAAAGGTCAACGTTTTGCGTTTCAATAATATTCTCCTATAATATCAATAAGATGAGTGTTGACAGAAGACTCTCTTAACACATACTTACATTATTGACTAAAAATTATTGAAAACCTCAAAAAATCAAGAAAGAGACTCGTTACGTCTGACAAAATTATTAAACATTGTAATTTCAGAAAAAAAAAAATTCTAACACGTTCTTATTAAGACGCTTTCTAGTATTAACAAAAATTTATTGAAAACTAAAAAAATCATTCAGGAGAGAGACTTTTTAAACATGAGGTGCTGGGACATGCCAAAATTTGCAAGTTCTAACAAATTTCATCCAACAATGAAAGTGTAATCAAAAGAGTATGTTGCTAACATATCTAAAAATTTCCGACAAATTTCAACCCAACCACGGTTGTTAATTAATGTACTCAAAAGACGAAAGTGCAATTTAAAACCGTAAAGACAAGCTCAACCAATGAAGAACCTGAAAGACCCTACCTTTCTTGTGGGGCTGGATCACCGCCTCACCCTCATCCCCCTCCTTCACCGCCACAACCGCCTCGGCCGTCGCAGCAACATCATCAGGATAACGCACAACAACCACAGGACAAACACAGTGATGCACACAGTAATCACTCACACTCCCGAGCCTCCCATCGCTCCCGCGCCTCACAGCACCAAACCCGCGGCTCCCCATGATGACCGCGCTCAGCCCGAGCCTCTCCACCTCCAAACACAGCCTCTCCTTCATGTCGTGGTCCTTCACGATGTGGATCTTGTACGGAATCTGCATTTCCCTCAACGGTTTCGCGAGATCCGCGGCCTTCGACGCCGTGAAGGCATCGAAGTCGTCCTCGAGCTTGCGCTTGCTGGTGTGGTCGTTGTTGTTGACGGAGTTGACGGCCTCCTCATCGGAATTCGGGTCGGTGTTTATGGAGAGGTCGATGGAGCCCCAGTCGGCGCCGAAGAGGACGTTGGTAGCGCTGACGTGAAGCAGGATCACGGCGTCTCCTGGGCGGATGTAGTGCTGCACCGCCCAGCGCACCGCGTAGGCACTCTCGTCGGAGAGGTCAACGGCCACGCCGATTTTGCGGCGCGCACCGGCTGTGGGCGTGGGGGTGGCCGCCGCGGGGGAGGGGTGGCGCGGGGAGGAGGGGTGGTGGATTTTGATTTGCGGCAGCTGCGGGTCGGAATCCAGTGCGGGATGGTTCTGGTAAGGGTGCATCTTTTTTTTTTTTTGAAGGTTCTAGAGATTTTTGTTTCTGTTTTTGTTTTGCTTAGTTAGTGGGAGAAGAAGTGAAGAACTATGCGGAGGAATGAACGGGGTTTGTAGTGTTGGAAAGTTAAAAAGGTTATGTTTTTGTAATAGAAGGGGACTACGAGTTGGGCTGCGGTTAAGTGGGTTGGGCCTACATAATGGCCCACTTGTGGGGTTACATTCGATCTTTTTCTTGGCCCAAGTTGATGTTGTGCGAGGCACTCGGCTTCTCCAGAGAGAAAGGATAAAACATTATTCTTTGGAAGGCACTCCGATAAAACATTATGCTTTCCGAAAAACAATTGTATTAATATATCATTAACTGAAATTATGTTTATAGTTTTGAAAAGATATATACTCTACCCAATTTAATAAACTAATTAATAGTATTATTCACTTTGGGGGACTAATTTATATACTCAAAAATAGATAGATAAAAATAAATAAATAAATAGTAGTTTTGAATTGCTATTTTTAAGGGGTCATTTTGACAACTTTGGGTCAAAATTGTTTGATTGTTAATTTGATGAATAATGTATATAATTTGTGTTGATATGTCATATTCTTGTATTTTAATTATTATTTGGAAATATGGAAGATTCTTTGTGTTCTAATCTGAAATTGCTAAAAGAAGGGAAAGTTCGTGCCAAGATTTGGCATATGAAAAGGACAAGCAAAACAATGATGCTCTTGTGAGAAGATTCTGTTCTATCCACTAACCTAACATTTTTGTCATCTTATTCAATGCAAAGAAAAAAATTCCTTATTATACCAGTGTGTCATTATAAAGTCTGCATTAAGAAGAAGTACTTAAAGACAATATGTTTTTATAATACATACAACATTATCATCTTTTCTTTTATTTTTCTTATATAGAAACGGATTTTTGGAGAAACTCAAATAATATAAATAATAAATAAATAAATAAAAGCAAAATGTCAAATTTATAAATATATAAATAAATATATTTAATAATCTTTAAATTTGAGATACTACGTTATAAAACTTTAAAAAATAATTATAAAATTTTAGCGGTGATTTTACCCTCCTCGGCCACTTTTATGACTATAAATACAATAAAGTACGGGGTATATGCAAAACATACAGGTATATATAAAAAAATAAAAAATACGTGTAAATACGTTGAGACCAAATTAAAAATCTCCTTTATTATTTTTGGTTTTCTTTAAGACATATTCAAAACGTATAATCGGGGCCTCAAGATCTCAAAAAAAAAAAAAAGGTAAACTGAAGAAAAAAAAATGAATAATTATAGTCCCTAACAAAACTGCTATTTTCTAACTTCAGCATTAAATTATCCTTATGGACTCCTGTGACCTACTTCTTATACCCAACCGAACAAAACTCGGTTTCTTCACAAGTTCTTCTGCGACGATTAGGTACCACAAAGAACCCTATTGAGGTGTAAACTATGGCACAAAACCTACCCCACAGAATCAAAACCAGAATACTAGTGATCAAAAGCACACTCAAAGCCATGTTTGAACCACAATACCATCTTCTACTGCCTCCATCATTTTGCTTCTGATTCACCACCCTATAAGTTCCATTGTTCATTGCCAAGGATCTGGTTAAGCACGGTTCGCAGAATGAGCTTGAAGTCATTGTACCAGTTGAACTAGTGCTTAAATTGGTTGAAGTTGAAAGTGATGATGTTGAAGTTGGGGTGAATCCACGTGAACTACGAGAATAGGAAGAAATGTTCGATGAATTGGTTGAATTTTCTCTGGAGAAACTATCATTGTTTATTTTCCTCTTGTGTATCTTCTTGGCCTGGGAGAAGAATATTTGTCAGAACTGTGTTTATTAACCGATAATATATACAAGCATTGGAAAGGGGTTGACAAATTTTTTGTAACATTGACTAATGGCTAACAGAAACATGTGCACAAGGTGAGGAAGTGTGCAAAAATGAAACGAGTAATTGAAAATGTAAAAATCACTTAGTGGATTATAATGCAGGTTGGATTTTCATTATGCTATTTTTGTCTGTGCAATGACAAGTTCTTATATATCTACTCAATCTCCCTACTAAACCGATTCTACTCTAGTGATTTTTCTTTTATACAATATTTAATTAAATGTTGACGCAGAAAAATATGGATAAAAACGTCCATGCCATCAAATCAATGAAGTCACAATGATGATCAGCCACTCCAAAAATCTTACAGTTTGCAGTACATGTTTTTTAAAACCTAATAATGGATCATGTATGAAGAGCATAATAGGAAATGGCACGAAAGTGATTGTGCACAAAGTTGGTTCCATAACAAAACTTTTGTTTCATTACTTTCCTTCTCACGGAAATAAACAAAATATCCAATTATAAAATTTGTCAAAAGTTTTAACCAGTTCAGAAACTAGATCGTAACTGTAACTATACTAGAATAACCGCATATGAAATTTTGTAAGATAAATTCTGCAAAAATGATCGTAACAAATGGAAGGAATGAAGAAAGAGAAATAGAAAGAGAAAGAGAAAGAGAAAGAGGAAGAAAAAGAAAGACTAACCAATGGCGTGTGACTCAAAGCCGCCGTGAGAGACCGGCGAAGAAAGTTGTTACTTTTTTTTCTATTATTTTTATCTCTGTCCGTCTTTTTCCTGTGACTCGCGTCTCCCTCGCCGCCTTTGGCTGCAGTGAACGCCGACGAGAACACGTTCGGAAACATTTGTCTCTCCGGCACGGCAATGTAGGTGAGAAGCGGGTCTGTTTTCTTCGGTTCCGGCGAAGCGACGCCGTTGGCATTGAAACATCGGAACAATCGAAACATCCGACACTTGGGCTTCCTCTTTGGGGACTCCATGTACGGAAGAAGACAAGCCTTCAATGAGAACTATGAAACGAAGTTGGCGGTTAGAGAAACGATGTGTTGGTGGTTAACATTCGACGGTTGAAGGACAGAAAAAGAGTGTTTGGGTTCGGGTGTTAGCCACTATAAAAAAACTGTGAACGTGGGCGTTGGAAAATCTGATACGAAACAAAGCAAGAGAATAAATGTGAAATGTTGTGTTGCTTGGTTTCTATATGTATTTATAAAAACTTCAATGTTGTCAAAGAATTTTCAAAATGAAACCGAACGAGGATCAAATTTTTTTTAGAGAATCAGATTTCACATGTGGCTTGTTAGAATCATGCTTTTGTCTTCCTAAATTAAACTGTGCCAAAATTGGTGCAAAAGAAAATCTAGATGATCAGAATGGCCCCAAAGAGTGGGATTTGGATTAGCCATTTTATAGGTAAAACAGTTTCAATTTCTAGCGTCACATGAATTGTTCTGTCTTTCAAATTCGGTATCATGAATCATGATTACTATTTTTTTTATTTTTGAGGAAAAAATAATTCTTTAAATAAAGGATATAAGACATTTTTGCTGTTGTACATGTAATATTTTGAATTTGATTTTTTTTAATGAAATGTTAATCATATGTTAACACAAAATATATAGAAAGTAAGAAAATATCATGATTGTTGATCAACGTCTCATTATAATAATAGATTTTTTTTATGCAATCATACCACAAATTCTGAAAAATAGAAAATGTGAATTTTTTTTTTATAGAAGATACAACCCGTCACCTTAATTTAAAGATACTAAATGAATAATCAATAAGCTAAATAAACAAAATCTCTCACATAATAAACATAAAGTCAATAAATGACTATTATTTATGAACCTACCTGTTCAAATGTTTTTATCGTACCTTTGATGATTGGTAAGAGGACGAGAGGAGTTTAGAAAGAATAAAGACTCACGTTCAAAAAATATTCCGAACTTAAATTATTTTTAGACAAGAGAAGAGTATATTTAAGAATGAGTGTGAAGGAAAGATTTATTTTGGCATGCTCTTTTTCTTTTTCTTGATTTTTATGAAGTTTTTGGACTATTTATGATTTAGATTGATGAACAGTCTCTTGTGATTTTTGTTAATGATCATTTGGACATATTTTTGTTTATTCTAGATGTTTTACTCAGATATAACATGTTAGTGATGTTTTGTTAATCTTAAGTTGCTATTGTTGAGGATCATGGGTCTACTTTTATATTGTTTTTGTGTTATTTGTTGTAATTGTGGATTGTTAAGGATCGTTAGTCATTTGGTAGTATGTCATATTTTTGTCATTATGTTACTAGATTTTTGTTTAAAATTTGGTTTCAATATATTTTTGGTTTTAGTCTATTTGTTGGTAATGATTATCATTAGTGCAAGATGAGTTTTATACGTCACCTAATTCTCATCGGACCCAAAAATAATCGATCTAAACAAAATATGACTATATTTTTATAAATAAGGAACATTACTTTTACGTCAGATCTCTTAGAGACTGACGTAAAAGTTATTTTTTACGTCGGGTGACTCTCTGATCGAGATAAAAAGTGGCTTTTATGTTGACCCTTATGAGGTCCAATGTAAAAGTCGTGTTTGAATTGCTCTAGAGCTTCTGTTTTCCTCCCGTGCACATGGTTTTCAAATGACGATGGTGACAATTACCAAACTAGTTTTTCTCAAGGTACATTTCGACCATAGTGAATGACGAAAATACCTACATTGTGTCCCATTTGTGGTGGTTGACGTTTCTCTCCGATTGAATTCAAATTTTAAAGTTTTTTTTGTATATTTGAAGTTACTATTCTATGTGTCTCATCTTTTATGTTGAAATTGAATCTATGATTGTTTTTTGGGATTTCAATCACGTTATTGCATTAATGTTTTCAATGAATTGTTATTGAAATTGAACTATTGTAGAAAGATTTTTGTATATTTGAAGTTACTATTCTATGTGTCTCCTCTTTTATGTTGAAATTGAATCCATGATTATTTTTTGGGATCTCAATCACGTTATTGCATGAATGTTTCCACTAGATTATTATTAAAATTGAACTGTTGTAGTTTGTGATTATTCGTTTATGCATTTTAGTGGATTTACGGTTTATACACTGCATCTTTATGTTTTGTTTGAATCCTCTGTTTTTTGTTGTTTGTAATTTGTATATTAATTATATAATAGTAATGAATAAGTAAGAAAGAAAATGATTTGATGTGAAAAGAAGATATTACGAGTATACGGGGTTTTATGATGATGAAAAGAAAACAAGAAATGTTCGAAGAAGGATAAGTTTTGACTCCAATGCACTACAAAATATATTAAAATTACTGACGGTCAAAATCCGTCGGTAATAATTTTATTATTTATTAAATATTTTACTTATTTATAGCATATTTTTTTTATAGAACCCCATCCCTTTTATATCCCATAGCTTAGAATTATTATCAGTTTAAGAGAAGTGTCATTAGCAGGATTCGAACCCAGTACCTTAGAGGTCGGAGGTCGATACTCCAACCACTAAGCTACTATAATTTCTTGATAACAATTTACAAATAAATTATATTTATATACAAATATACAAATATATTTATATATTTATATATTTATATATTTTTATATATTTTTATATTTTTATATATTTATATATATATTTATATATAATTAAATATTTATTTTTTAAAATTATTTAATTTAATAAATTATTATAAATTAATCTAATTATGATTAAATTAAATTATTAAATCAAAATATTTTATTTTTTAATTAGGTGAATAATTAAATTATATTATCTAATTTTACCGACGGATATATCCGTCGGTAAATAATTGTTAATTTACAGATGAATTTACCGACGGATATATCCATCGATAATTAATTGTTAATTTACCGACGGATATATCCGTCGATAAATTCATCTATAAATTACCGACAGATTTATCGACGGATGTATCCGTTGGTAACTAATTATTATTTTACCGACGGATATTTCCGTCGGTAACATCAAATTTCAAAAATATTTTATATCCGTCGGTAATTTCCGTCGGTAATGATTATTTTCCGACGGCTACAAATTTGTCGGTAAATATCCGTCGGTAATACGCGATTTTCTTGTAGTGATGTCGGATTTGGATACACAACATATGAAAATAAAAGAAAAAAATGAAATTTAAGTGTGAGTTGAAATCCCATAGTGGGTAAAAATGGGAAAGTTGATTAACTTATAAGTGAGAAAGACACATAACCTAATGTCTTAAGGTTTTTTTGTTGAAGGTGGTGTCATTTTTTCTTATATGGTTGACTCGTGTCCCATTTGTAAGAATCTCCCTATTATTAGCCCCCCTCAGAAAAACCCAACAGTGGTATTAGAGTCAATGTTTCATGTGGTGACCAGCTCTATTTCATGTGGTGACCAACTCGGTTAAGTACAATTACGAATAGGTGAAAACATGAGTTTCAGACAAGCAAATCTTGTTGAGTTAAATGGCGGTACAAGTAAGGTGAAATACTTCCGCTCGAGGGGGAGTACTAATGTGAAAGAGAATCACACTTTAGAGGGAGATTGTTGAGAGTTTAAGTGTGAGTTGAAGTCTCATATTGGGTAAAAATGGAAAAGTTGACTAACTTACAAGTGACAAAGACTCATAATCTAATATTTTAAGATTTTAGGTAGAAGATGATGTCATATTTTCTTTTATGGTTGACTCGTGTCTCATTCGTGAGAATCTCCTTGTTATTAGTCCCCCTTAGGGATGACAATTAAATTTGTATCCGTAAGGATCGACCCGTCCCCGCCACGAGTTTGACGAGAAAAAACCGAGTTGACCGGGGATGAGAGCGAGTTCGGGTTTTCCCCACTTTAAAAAGTCAAGGGCGGGCATGAATAATGCAATCCTCACTCCGATTCCGTCCCCGTCCTCGTCTCGACTTTATATTTAAATTTTAAAATATTAATATTTTAAAAATATTTTCTTTTCTTTTTCTATTACATATAAGGTCATTTTTTATATTTCATCATTTTTACTTTTCTTCTACCCATTTTTTAATTTGCCTCTTTTAATCTTTTATATCAATTAGTTTATTATATTATTCTCTCTTATCTTTCAGCTTTTTCCTATTTTCTTAATCTTTTCGATTAATTTGTTTTTTTTTTCAATCTTTTCAACCAATTTGATGAACATTTTTCTTTATTTTTTTCAAAATATTTTATATAAATCTTAGTAGTAACTAATATTATTTTATTTATAATTTATATTTATTAGATTTTCTTATGTCATATTTTTTTTATCTTATTATTATTATTTGTCATATATCAAATTTTATCTTAATAAAATAATTATATTTAAAGGACTAAAAATAATTGATAATTTAAATTTTTATTACTTCAAACTAATTAAATAAAAATTAACTTATTAAATATTTTCTTATAAACTATATATTTCATATTTTTAAATGACAACTTAAAAATGAATTAACTTATATATGTAATTAAATATTTGAATACAGTATTATAATATAAGTATTCAAATATTTGAATACAATGTTACAATAATAATAATATTAATATTAATATTATTATTATAAATATTATATATATATATATAAATATAAAATAATTAAATATTTCTTTTACATACATATTTTAATATAAATATAATAAACTAAAATATATATTTAATTAATAATAATTATAAATTGTAAAATTATAAATATTTATTTTTATATAAAAAATACATGGTAAAATTAATTTATTATAAATATAATTATCTTTTTAAAAATAATATAGATCGGGGACGGGCGGGAAACCCGAAACTCAATGGGGACGAGATGTAGACTTAATTTTTAATCCCGTGGGGATCGGGGCGGGATTGAGGATTGTTAAAAATGTTGGGGGCGGGGATCGGGGAGGCAAAACCCGCCCTTGCCCCGCCCCATTGCCATACCTAGTTCCCCTTGGAAAGACCCAACAAAAAAGGGGGCAAAGGGGATTTGTCCCAACAAATTTTCCAAAATATGCTCCTAAACACATATAATAGACAAAAGTATGTTATATTATGTGAATATTATGTTTTGTTTCTCAATTCAGTGTAATAAGAATGACTATTATATCATGTATTTGATGAAAACCATAGTTTATGCGAGTATAATTGATTTTTTGATGGATATAATTGCTTTCAACATTTTTTAAGTTTATTTACCTTTATGTGTATTGCATGTTAACAATAGTCAAATTCTGATGACAAAACTTTTATATAAGCTGAACCATTTTTATCAAGAATACAAGTTGGGTTTTATTGAAAAATATTAAAATTTAGTTATTTTATCTTATTAAGAGTGATTATCTTAAGTTTTTGAGTGTTTCAAGAATCCTTGGTTATATCAAATGACTTTCACATCCTTTGTGAGTTACTTCAATTGGGAAGAATGATTCTTTCTTTCAACCTTTCATATTCACCTCTTATTATTTCTTCACCAGAACCCAGAAAACTCAATTTTACCTAGATTTATTTTGTGGTCATAACTTTCATTCTACTCATCCAAATTATTATTTTTAGCCTAAATTGAAATTCAGAATGAGAAATTTTACCTCGTTTTTGAATCACCTTAATAAGAGTTTTATAACTCGAGATATCAACATTTCTAAAATTTTGTCCAACCCTGAAATTTTCACCATTTTCGAATCCACTTTTTTACTAATTTCCTAAATTTTCTACAAGATTCTAACCTTAAAGATCCTAAATCAACTCTTGAACAAATGAAATTTATATAAGATATTGCGGTATCTTCTAACTGTATATTCGACTTACTTATCCAGTGTCATTTAATGAATACCTAATCTTAATATTAAACATTTTTTTCTTACTTTAAGAAGCACCTTCTAGGTGTGAAAAACTAAAATACATAGACAATTTAAATGTGAATTCCATAATTATATACTTAAATACATAACTCACGAATTATTACTTTAATTACACTATTTTATACATACCAAGAAAGTACCTCACATTATATGTCATTCCCTTTTAATTAAAAAATCTCTTCTCTTCGTTGATGTCAAAGGAATACCTCTTTATCTACCATGGATACCAGTCACATGAATACAAATACATTAGTCTTTTACACAAAGTTTATTCATCATTTTTAATGTTGAAAACTGATATAACACAATGAAATATATCGTAATGTTGTTTAAAGCGTTTGAACTTACATAAGGATGATCTTGCTAAGTGAGTAAAATGATAGTTGTTATAGAAAACAACTACCAACAAGGCATCTAAATATATTATTTGAAATTTATCTTGTTTAGAAAGAGAAGATGGTAAAACGAGTTAGGCCCAGCAGACCGACTCGTCAGTCTACCTAAAAAAATGACGGGATAGATTAGTGGTTTTAACTCGTTAGCTTGTTTTGACCTATCTTATAACATCCTAATTTTCAGTATCTTTGGTTTGTTAAATTTTGACAAAATTTTTGTCAAAATTTTAATAATTAAATTATTAGGAATTGAGAAAAGTGACTATAGAGTTTTATGTTTATTAGATTATTTTTTATTTTCTGAAAAATTTCTCGAATTTTTAAGAAAAAAAATAATATAATAATAATAAAAAATAAAATAAAATATATAAATAATAGAAAATAAATTAACTTTTGACTTTTAAAAACACATTTATCTGCAAGTTTTCATAGGTTCTCCATTTCTCTCATTTCTCTTTTTCTATCAAACTCTCCTCACTTTCAAGCTTAATTTTGAGGGGAAAATCTTAATTTTCTTGAGAAGCTCCAAAAGATAAGTTTGTTTCTCTCAATCTCTTCTACATTTCTACGGTTTTATTTTTTAAAATGGTGCATTTTCAATTTTTATACTCACTTAGCTGAGCTTGAATGGGAGTGGGAAGAGTGTTATTGTAGATTTTACACCTAGGACACTAGAATAATGCTTAGAATTGAGTATTAGAAGTGGTTGAGCTAAAAACCTTAAAAACCCTAATTCGCAGGTCACTATTTACTGAATTCTGGGACTTGTGTGAATAGAGTTAGAAATTGGTATCTTCATGAAAGTTGTAGCCTTTTAAGTTATGGAAATTTAGAAACTTGTTTCACATCAAACAGATATTTGTAGCTTAAGTTATATCCATTTTACTGTCAAGTGTTCTAGTTGTGACGTTAAGAGGTTGCTCTGTTTCAACAGTCTCGGTTTTTGTATTACTGGGATTGATACGTGTGAAATTAGGACTTGATTCCTTCATAAAAGTTGTAGGAAATTATATTCCCGAAATTTAGAAATTTGTTTCATGTCAATAGCTTATATGTAACATGAGTTATAGTCAAATTACCAAGGCATGTTCAGAGTGTTATTGTAGTTGAATCATGTTGGAAACAACCACTGTAAATTGAAAAACTGCAATTATTCTATAGGGTATTTGAATTTATTTTCTTCAAAAATATTATAGATAATTAAGTTATTGAAATTTTGGCTCAGACCTCATGCCAAAACAACTTATATAACTGTAGAAAATTTTGAAATACTGAACCTTGTCCATATTTGTTATTAGGATTCTTCCTACTCTAAGTGTATTACTTCCATTACTCTCTCCCACTTGTATTACTTTCATTAGCATCAATTTAGACCCTAGAAATGATTTTATAACTCAAAGAACCATAGTCTTGAATTTTAGAATTTTAGGCTAGAAGGAGGTGAGATTTTAGAGGTCTAATATGGTTGAAATTAAGGGCTTAATTAGGGTATTTAATTGGGTATGTAGGAGGTTACTTAGAGGTGCAAAGAGAGACCCAAAGACTTGATAGATTATTTGATGAAGAGTTATTCTTCACCAAGTTACAACATAAGGTAAGGGATAAGATAATTTTTATAATTCAGTTTTGCTTAAAATAACATTGGGAAGAAGTCCCTTTATTTCTAAGTTAATTCGAAATTTATTTGGAATTATTTGAATGATATTTCTATTTTTGATGAATTTTTAAAGTTTTAGGATTATGTAAATTTTGTGGCTTCTAAATGGAGCAACTTGAGTGTATGAAACCTTGTATGATTATAAGACATCCATGGATGTTGTTTGAATTAATTGCTTAATCATTAATAATTTTATATGATTTATTGATAAATTTAGATTGAGAATTAACCTATTTTTATATTTAGTATTATGATAATTGTTGTAAATTAATTATTGAGATATATTGTATATATGTTATGAAACATGACTAATAGAAAATTATTGTGGAGTGTTTTTGTTAAGATGGATTAGTATGTAGAATTGTATTGTATAATTTGGTGGAATAGAGGAAAGAGGTGAGAAATGAACTATGTGAGAAAGGAAAATAATTTTTAAGATATATTAAATTGAATTTTATAATTTAATTATGAAGTGAATTTTTATATTTTTATTTAATTAATAAATATTTTTCAAAAGTTTTACAACAATTTTGATTTAGGAGAAAATAATTAATTGTAAGTGAGAATTATTAGACAAATGACATCAAGGGTGAATAGATGTCAAATATAAATAAGTGTAATATTAAACATTGTATTAACACTTACTATAAACATATATTATTGATTGATCTTACTACAATACCTATCTCCAAGTCTGAGTTACAAGAAAAAAAAAAAAAAATATATATATATATATATATATATATATATATATATATATATATATGCCAAATATCAAGTAAATAATAAATATTAAAAATAAGAGAATGTAATTGTAAGAATGAAAGAATGTGTGTAGCAATGTTTACATGCGGTACTAATCCCTTATAAATAACCTAGTAATATCATTTTATTATTTTAAAATTATTATTCATTAACTTAACAAAATATTTTTTAGGACAGTGACTTAGTCAATCTTATTTTAAATTTAACTGCAGTGATCGATGTTTTTCTAATTCATTTAAAATAAAATGAAAATTTTTAAGTTACTTTTATTCCTTAACTGAGGGGATTTATTTCGTTAATGCCCAGAAGTCTCCCATTTCTTAAGGCTTGAAATCAAAATAATTTATAAATATATAAATTTTAATTTTTATATGAAAAAAAATCGAACATGATCTCTAAAATAGACAAACATGACTCACTAAAAAAATGAAAATTTATACCAACATGATTCCATAAAGAGAAAGATGAAGCAAATTTATTAATTATTAGTATGGTTTACAGAATTAAAACTTTAGTTAAAAGGGAACCGGAAAAATGAGTCATCGAAACCCACGGTCAAGGACGGGTCTAGCACCGGTTCAACCCGGCCCACTTTTCAAATCTCATTTGCAATGCAGCAGTATTAAAACAAGACACTCAATCGAAGCCAAGCCACCTAGTTAGTGAGACTGTCATTGCGTTGTGGCCTGACTTGAGAAAGACTCCTTTCTTTATTTATTTCCTTCTCTTTTTTGAAGTATAACTTCTAGCGTTTATTCTTTTCCGTTCCTTGTTGCAATCGCAGCTCGAGTTCTGCGCGAGGGTTTTCGTTGTTTCCGCCACGATGACAATTGAACCCTTGGATTTACTCCGCTCCAATCTCGCCCGGGTTCGGATCCCCGAGCCGACCAATCGAATCTTCAAGCACGAATGTTGCGTTTCCTTCGACACTCCGGTGATGCTTGCTTTCCTGTGTATAGTTCTGGAAATGATGAATTATTGTTAAACTAGCTTAGTCTAACTCTTCGATTGTTGTAATTTGGTTTTTCTTCTCAGAATTTTAAGGCATTAAGTGATTTCTGGTATCCGCGTTGTTTGTTTAGTTAACTTTTGTTTTAAATTTTAGGCATTAGGTTTTATGATCATTGTTGAGTAGTTGCTGAGACAGCGTGGGAAGTGTTGAGAATATGCCAGATGTTTTGCTGTTGTTTTTCAGCATTGAGATTTTAAGATGCTCATGTGACTGGTTTTTGATTCGTCTGATTGGAATTGATGGATTTTTTAGTATGTTACAGTGTGGCAAGTGATGAGAATATGGCAGTGGTTTGTCGTTGTTCAGCAGCATTGAGAATTTATGACGTTAATGTGGATAGTTTTGGATTCCTTTGATTGAAAATGATGGATGTTTTAGTATGTTACAAATTTTCGGAGCTTCACAATAGGAAATTGATGCTCGTGCTAATTTTTTATTTTTATTTTTTTACGATGAATTTTAGAGGTCGGAAGGTGGTTTGTTCATCGACATGTGCACTTTTCTTGCTTTTGGGAAGGATTTTGTTGGTTGGAATTACGAGAAGACTGGCAATCCTGTCTATTTGCATATAAAGCAGACTAAGAAGTTAGTTCCAGAAGACAGGCCTTCAAAGAAACCTACTCTCTTGGCTATAGGTGCGTGAATATTAAAATCACTTGGCTCTTGGCCATGTTTTGTAATCATGCATCTCTGATGTGCTTTGTGACGATTCTGTGTTCACTTGCAATATTTGTTCATTTGTTAAACATGACCTCTGTTTGTCATTTATTATTCTTGTTTCTCACACTGGGGTATATAGCTCAAACATTCTTGGTATTGGGTAGTGGAGATATCAGTTTGGCAGTTTTGTGAAGGCTAGATCTTTATTCATTCCAATAGTTTGAGTTTTTGACAAAATGCAGTTCCGTTTTGGGGTAATATAATGTTATCCCTCTTATTCATTTGTAGGTATTGATGGCGGATTTGATAATAATGAGCCCGAGTATGAGGAAACTCATAGCGTAGTTATATTACCTGAGTATGTTTCTCTTCCATTCCCTTCTGTGGAATTGCCAGAGAAGGTATGTATTCTCCTTCTTTTAGTTTTCCCTGTTTAATCTCCCCTTTTATTAATTAATGAGAAGTGGAATTTTATACATTTTACCCATTTGTTAAAAATATTTTAGGTAAGGTTGGCAGTTGATGCAATCTTACTAGCTGAGGGTGCTGAACGAAAGGAGGAACTTGCAGCTTGGACTGCTGATAAGAAACAAGTTAGTTCCTATGCACTGAATTTACAACAGATTGACAATGGTGTTGTTATTCCACCATCTGGGTGGAAATGTGCTAAATGTGACAAGGCAGACAATCTTTGGTTAAACTTGACTGATGGAATGATACTTTGCGGGAGGAAAAACTGGGATGGAACTGGAGGAAATAACCATGCTGTTGAGCACTACCGCGAAACAGGCTACCCTCTTGCAGTAAAGCTTGGGACTATCACTGCTGATCTGGAAGCAGCAGGTGATGCCTTCTTGCTGAATATAGTGTTTTGGCTTTTATATGTTCTGATTATTATCAATGGCATACTTGTATGAGTGCAGTCTGTATTTGTGAAAGGAAATTATTATACCTAAATATATGGTTATCCTAAACATATCATTGAAACTATATGATCTAAATATGCTGTGTACAATAGATGATGGTTATTTTTTCTGTGCTGTGTACTAATTATGGCTTGTATTGTGGCAGCTCAGATGTTTTCTCCTATCCAGAGGATGAAAGTGTCTTGGATCCACAATTAGCACAGCATCTGGCATTTTTTGGCATTGACTTTTCATCTCTACAAAAGGTTAATTATTTATCTTCAAATGATACTTTTCAGACACACACACACACGCACAATCAAGATATATTAATTATTTATCTTGGCACGATACTTTGTTTCAGACAGTACTTGTTACTCATGGATTCTCTGAGACTTCACCTGTAACGCATGCACACACACACGAACAACCAAAACTATGTTATATGAGATTTCCTTACTTCATGAGAAGGGGGGAATGGAGAATATTTCAAATGCAATTCTTGAGTGCTTGTTTTTTTAATTTAAAGACATTTTTATGATATTTTACAGCTTAGTGGTGTATTTAAAGAGTCATTATTTTTGTGGCTATGCATCTGGTAGATATGAGAGGTCCATGGAAACATATTGCTGGAATGATATCCTATGTTGGACCTTTGAGAGTTTTCTTAATTTCTTCCAGTATTAGTGATAGTGCTGAGGCTAGAAAACTTGCTTGCCTTGGGTAGGGCTTTCTATTTGAGACGAGTTAAACATTTACTTGGCCATAGGATACCTATAAACATGAGTGTTTGGGTTTTTTTATGTCAGCCTTTCACCTTTCTGTTATATATATATATATATATATATTATCATTCCAAACAACAGAATTTATATAGTAATATCACCTATTGTTTGGAGGCAATACTTTTGATGGTTTCTGTTTATAAGTTGTGTATGAGGCTGAAGAATATGCAATTAGATGCTTGAGAATAAGTTTTTGTCTTGTTACACCAACAGGCGTGGTGTAAGTTGTGTACTTACCATTAATTAACTAGTAATTGACTCATTTTTTTCAAATTACCCTCTTTCTTATATTCAGACTGAAATGACAACTGCTGAAAGAGAACTTGATCAAAATACTAATTTTGATTGGAATCGAATACAAGAAAGTGGACAAGAAGTATATCCAATATTTGGACCTGGATATACAGGATTGGTCAATATTGGAAACAGGTAGAGTTGGTCCCTCCTATTTGCTGCTTATTATATAATACCAGTTTGACACTTTCATATTTCATTTTGTTGTCTTGCAGTTGTTATATGGCAGCAAATATGCAAGTTATATTTTCAACAAGATCCTTCATATCACGGTCTGTGCATGTCTTCTATTTTTTTGTAACTGTTGGAACCATGTTTGCATTTACTTCAATATCTGTTTTTTCATTCTTAGGTACTACTTGAACCAAAGTCTAAAGAAGGCATTTGAGATGTCTCCCGCTGATCCAACTGTAGACCTAAACATGCAGCTGTAAGTGCATGTTTGAATTTATTTGGTGTTTACAAAAGCTTATAATCAAAGTCACAGTAGAACTTTTGGCTGAAAGCCCTTTTGTGTTTATAAATTAACAAATCATAGTGCTTAATAGCTAGCTTGTTTTAGTATCCACCTCCTCCAAAGACTTCCTGTCTAAGTGTTACTATTCCAAGTACCAAATCTAATTAGGCACTCTTAGACTAGTTTCTTCATTCACATTTGTTTGCAGAAAAAACCTTACTAAGTTAACACTACATCTTGCTGCCAATACAGCAGTTCTAGCTCATTTAAGATTGTACTTGAGTCATCTTATGCATTATATTCGGGTGGTGTGATGACCGAGAATTAGCACACATAATCCATCATGAGTGGTCCATGTTTAGGGTTTAACAAATTTAAGTTGGCTGTTGAGGGCTTGACACAAGACTCCTTTTCTCAGGTTTGGGGCTGACTATGAGACATAAGGGGAGTTTGAAAGTTGAAATGTGTAGCCAAACAAGTATAACCTGTTATTTTACACCAGTGACCCCTTATGTGTCAAGCACCTGCATGACTCATGCTTATCTATAAATTTTCTTTCAATTTATTTGTAAATTTTTATTCACGAAATATTGCAGAAAAGATTAAATTTTCATTTGTTGAAATACACGTTATATAATAATAGATGCACACGAGGGATATTCTGATTCCTAACAGAAACCAGAATTGGTGGCCGATATATATTTTGATAGCATTTGTTAGTATGTATCTGTTTGCTTTTATCGTAATTTAGTTTTACCCTGGTAAAGATGGATTTGATAGCTTATTTTGTGTAAATAATCCCATATGTATAATAGTACTTGTAAGTTATAGGAGAATTTTTGTCTGCTCCATGAATGAAAATGTTTATAAAAGGAGGTTTTCAAAGCAGAGGCTCTTTTGTATTTAATTATAATTAGAATTTATTGAAGTTTAATTTTAGTTTCATTTATTTTCAGGACAAAATTGGCTCACGGTTTACTTTCTGGCAAATATTCTGTTCCAGCATTTGAAGTATGCCCCCATAACTCAGTATACTTCAATTGAAAATTTGTTTAGAGTCTTAGCTAATTTATAAGTTGCCTTTGTCTGGCATACAGCATGATGAAAAAGAAAACATGGCTACTTCAACTGCAACTGCTGTAAGCTTTCTGGCTCTTCGATGATTCAAAATTGTTACTCTACATTTATCTAGTGATTACAGAATTTAAATTTAATTACTTGTTTGTTTTTTTACTTGTTTTTTCTTTTTATTTTCAATATTTTCCTTTCATTTTTGTGCTTTAGTGCTGTACTAGCTTTCTTGTGATGGATTTCTTTTTCTCTTTTTGAATGGATAAACTTTAATTAGGATGAATTTTTTGTGTTGCTATGCCTTTTGGTTGAAGTTTCAGAGATGAAAGATTAACGTTATTGAATGCTTTATACACCCTCTTTCACATTTCTTGTCTGGATGCATTTTCTTTGCTCATTCATCTTGTTTGACGATGTCCATTTTCCTCAAACATTAGAAACAAGAAGGGATACGTCCACGAATGTTTAAATCTGTAATAGCTGCCAGCCATCCTGAATTCTCATCTACGCGGCAACAGGTATGTTTAGCAACTATTTTTTTCCGAGTATGCATTAATGATATATGCATTAAGTATTTTTCTGTCATATATGTTAAAAGTTATTAATGAATTTTTGGAAGCAAACATTAGGGTCCATTTAATTTGGGAATTACTAGTATTATTTTTTTTTTACTTTTTCACTATTAATTACACGATGTCACCTTGTTTTCACATTGTTTTCTATTTTCAAAGATTGGTATAGGAAAAGTGATAATGATAATAATAATAATAATAATAAAAGTTGAAAATGAAGTGAAAATAGCGTTAATGCTTCATAAGCACACATTATGTTATTGATTTCTTCTTAGAATTATTAGGGAGTAAATCCTTAAGAAAATCCATTACAAAAATTTAAAAATTTAAATATGATTCAAATGAGAAAAATATAAATTAAAAGTTAAGATTTGTTAATTCATCTTCTCAAGACAAAATTGTTAGACTTTACAATTTTCATATGATATCCTAACCAAAAAAATAGTAAGAAGCACTATTTCACAATGTAAGAACTTTGTCTTTTTACAAAAAGAAAGTCCCAAAATAAGAAGATGAATTGAATCTATTAAAGATAGTGGTCTCCATGATCATCATCATTGAAAAATACACTCTCTAGCTCCGGTTCATCAAGTGATAAATTAGCAACTTCAAGCATTCCACTCTCATCTAGTGATCTAAATGCATCTCCTGCTATGTCTCACATTTTTGTTTCCTCTTGGTTATATTGTGGAGAATTCCTTGAAAGAAGACGGAGGTTGCTATGAACAAATACTAGATCTTCCGCCCTATATGGTGCCATCTTATTTCTTTTTATAGAATGAATGAAAGAGGAAGTGCTCCAATTTCTTTCATAACATGAAGAAGAACATGGTTGCCCAAGTAGTTTAAGAGCAATTTTTTGAAGTGTTGGAGCATGAACACCATGAACAAGCCACCAAGATTTTGCATCCATCTTACCCTTATCACTTAATGAATCAATGTCATCAAAACCTTCTCTTCCATCTGAAAAATTTGCAAACTCTACATTTACTTTTCTCCTCACATCCACAGCAACAAAATATCGTTTAAAACATTTTACCCTTTCACGAGTAAGTTTCATATCTTGATGTGGAGCAACTCTATTAGAATCTTCACTTAGCCATTCATGACGATAATATCTACAATATAAATAAAAATCATGATTACAATAACCTATAAAAATGTAACTAAAATCTTATTTAGGAATATATAAAATATTACCTTGGATTTAAAGAATGTGCTAAATAATGGAGAGGTGTGCTACTCTGTCCAACATTCAATTAATATGGAGTGCACAACATTATAAAAGCTTGATTCTTCACTTTTCGTCTTTCTTTCATATTGATAAATGGCCTTTCTCACATTTTCGATCATTGATTCCCACATTTCATATACTAAATGGAGAGATGAAGCTTCCGTATCCGTTTTCCTTAGAACATCATAAATGGGACTAGTGAAAGAAAGTATATAATCAACCTTATCCCACAAAACATCATCCAATAATGTATCTTTCACAAATTTAGCTTTTCCAACATCATCTTTCTTGTAAGAAGACCATTCATCACTAATAACCATCTCTTGGAGTCCTTTTTTCAATTGCTTAAATCTCTTAAGCATGACTATAGTACAAGCAAATCTTGTTGGAGCAACGGAAAACAATTTGAATGAGTTGAAAATAGATAACCTCATTGAGTGACCCATGATAAATATTTTTATGAACATAGCATCTTCTCCTATATTTGTGATCCAAGAACATTCTTGGTAAGCAATATTGTTTTTTTCTGTGTTCTTTGCTGCACATATATTTTTCAAAACAAGATTTAGAGTGTGCATAACGCAAGGGGTCCAATAAATACAAGGAAAATCAACTTCAATCATCAAATCTGCGGCCTTACATACAGGTGCATTATCAGTCACAATTTGCACCACATTTGAAGGTCCAACTTCCATAATTACATCTCTCATTTGTTTGGCTATAAAATATTTGTCTTTAATCTCATCAGAGCATTCTATAGCCTTCAAAAACATAGGTCCACTCTCTGTAACAGCCATGAAATTAATGAGAGGTCTTCTTTGGGGATCACTCCACCCATCACTAACAATGCTAACACCTTTTTGACTCCATGTATTTTTTATCGGCTCCAAAAGCTTCTCTACATTTTTTTTTTCATTAGCAAGCAAACTTGTTCTCAACTTATTATAACCTGGTGGTTGATATCAACTTACATAATTATTGGCAACAAAAAAAAAGCTCTCCTATATTAAGGATTTCTTGCTAAATGAAATGGCAATCCTGATGAGTAAAACATCCTAGCAATTTTATAGTCTAATGTCTCTCTTGCTTGCATATTGAAAACTTTATCTAGTGGTTCGGATGTTTTCATTTTTTTGAGATCAACACCATCATTGTTGTCCATAGATGATTCATTAGAAACCGGAGGCAAAGGGACAAATTTTGCCTTAGACCTTTCTATCTTCAATGTAGCTTCATTGTCTAGCTTTGTTAGTTCACCAAGCTTCAAGGGTGTTATTTTTTGACAACCTCTAACTCCCTTTCCCATAATCTTCAACAAATGTGCTCACACTCTAGTATAAGATCCATTGAAAATAAGGTCACAAATATTACATTTTACTTCATAATTTCCACCACCTCCACCAACACTTTTTATCTTTGTAACATAATTCCATAGGGGTTTGATATCATCATCTTGTAAAGGTTGACTAGAATTACTCATTTCTACAAAAATGAAACCAATAACATATGATTTTTCTATGTTCATAATTCCATAACTATCGCATTCTAATAAAAAAAATGAAACATTATAAAGAAAAACAGAGCAAAACGAAGACCTAAACAGTGGACAACAAAACAGAGCTTGACGCAGTGAAATACCTGAACAACAATGAAGACCTGAATGGCAGAGAGCAAAACAGAGCAAAATGAATAGGGGAAGAAAACAAAGCACGGCGCAGCGGAAGAAAACAAACCAGTAGACCACGAAGCAGCGGAAGAAAATAGAGCACGACGTAGCAGAAGAAAATAGAGCACGATACAATGGAAGAAAACACAGCAGCACGCAGCAAAAGAAAGTAAGTGGAAGAAAGCAAAATAGGAGAAAAGGAAAAATCTTTACAATGGCAAAAGGAAGAACCGAAGAATTTTTAGATGAAAAAGGAAAGCCTTTGGAGCAGAAATGGAAACATGCAGAGAAAGGAAGGAAGGAAAGCGGGAGAAAAAACGTAAACAGAAAAAAGTTAAATTTTTTTATTAAATTTTAATTTTTTTATAAAAACTATACCTTGCCATCACTGCCGAGCTAGAGCCATGTCGACACCGTGTCGGATCTGGGTCACGCCGTGTCCACCAAGACTTGAAATCCCGCGACGCGTTTTTGGTCTTGTGGACATTGCAAAAAGGAGTCGGACACGCATTTTGAATGTGTCGTGGCGGTGTCGGTGTCGAACTCGCGTGCCACACTTCGACACGGGTGAGGGGAGCCGTGTCGGTGCTTCACTGTATACCACGAACCTAACCACTAATAGCAAATGGACTTGATGTATTATACTATGTGCATGCGTGTACCATTAAGTTTTACATGCTATATAAGCATATTATCTTTGATATCTGTGAACAATGTTATTAATGTTGTACTATTACATGCCATCTCTTGTGCTTATTTTGGCTTTTAAGGAAGCCTAATGCTGATAATGTGTAAGAATAAGTTGTTCTGAATTTGTTTGTTCATTTATTCCCTTTAGGTTTATCTGCTTTACCAACTTTTTGGTATGGAACATTTTTACACGTGATGAACTTTTATTTGGATGGGGTTGTTCAAAATTTTCTGCAGTCCTTTCTTTTAATATGATGCATACCGCGCTGCTTAAATTCATGTTATTTTGACTGCTTGATTTCAATTTGATGTTAGGATGCTCTAGAATTTTTCCTACATTTTCTTGATCAAGTTGAACGAGCTAGTGCTGCGAAAACTGAACTGGATCCATCAAGGAGTTTCAAATTTGGTATTGAAGATAGAATTTTATGTTCATCTGGAAAAGTTACATATAATAGAAGGAATGACTACATTCTTTCTCTCAATATCCCATTACATGAGGCGACTAACAAAGGTGAGTATTTAGGTTACTAGCTTTTCCTTAAGTGAGAATTGAGATGTCTTCTGGATTTCAACTCAACTCAAATCTATTACTTGTTTTGTTGGGAAATTTCAGAAGAACTAGAATCCTTCAACAAACTTAAAGCAGAGAAACTTGCAGAAGGAAAAGAAATGTGAGTTAATATCCTCAGAAATCTTATTATTTCATTCATAAGTTTCTTTGGATGCTGCTGAGCATATGTTTTATGATAGAAATGCCGATGAGATTGTGCGTCCAAGGGTGCCTTTAGAAACATGCCTTGCAAACTTCTCAGCTCCTGAGGAGATACATGATTTTTACAGTACTGCTTTGAAGACAAAGACTACAGCACTGAAGTAAGCATTCTGAAGTTTCTAAATATATTAACTTGCAGTCCCATGCTTGCTGCACTAATGGATTTTCTTTAGTTTCATGAACTGTTTACTAAAGTTGACTTTGGTGAGTGGATGACAATCACATTAATTTAGGTGTTATAAGGTATAACCTTATTGTTAGAAAATTTGAAAATCACCTTTCTGCTGAAACAACATTTATTTCATAGGACTGCAGGTCTGACCTCATTTCCTGATTACCTGGTGTTACATATGCGGAGATTTGTTATGGAGGCAGGATGGGTACCCAAAAAGCTTGGTATGTTTTATCTTGATCTGCCTATTTACATTAAAAAGTATTAATTTTTAAGACATTTTTATGATCTATATAATTGGTTAATAATTTTTCTTCTTTCAGATGTGTATATTGATGTTCCTGATATCATAGATATCAGTCATATGCGGACCAAAGGTCACCAGCCTGGGGAAGAGCTGTTACCTGATGGTGGTATGTGAAAAGTTCTCTGTTCAACTGATATCTTAAGAGAGTTTTAAACAGAGAAAATCAGATAGTTTGTTACATGGAAATCAGATTCACAGGAAGTGTCAACTAAATTCTGTTTTATTGGGCACTTGTGTCACTTTTGTTTTTATATATTTAAGGTCCCACTGCCTTAGAATATCACTAGTGGACTTTGATTGAAGAGATCAAGCTTATAAATTGGGTGGCTTACTATGACGTAATATCAGTTCCCGTTACTGATGATTGCGCACATACTATCAGTCCAATAAGTTAACTTTTTAATACTTTTTAATCTGTTTTCAACTGAACCTGTTCATTTCTTATGACTTAACTTAATATAGAAAAATGTTGTCGGTCCATAATTTTGTTTCTCAAGCACCAATTTTATCTTTAAATAAATACATGTGATGAATCTGATTAGACAACCATAGTTAACTTCCAAATTTTGCTTCTCATCAGTTTTTCAACTTGTAGTCATTTAAAAGGTTGTGCCTTTTCAGCTAAATAACCAATTACTTTTTTAACTTGATTCAATCTGAAAACTATCAAATCTTTTGGCATTAATTATTTGTGATTTACAGTTCCTGATGAGGAAGATTCAAACAAAATGTTGGCCAATGAAGAAATTGTCGCCCAGCTGGTTTCCATGGGCTTTAACCATCTCCATTGTCAGAAAGCTGCTATAAATACATCAAACGCTGGAGTAGAAGAGGCAATGAATTGGTTGCTATCTCACATGGATGACCCAGGTATCTGAATTTTTTAATTTGCAAAACAATCCTTTTTGCAAGTGACCTTGTAGTGCCGCACTTAATGCTGGATAAATTTGTTTTACATAGATATTGACCTTCCTATTTCCAAAGGCCATGGCTCTACAACTGCGACGATTGTTGACCAATCAAAAGTTGATACTCTAATTTCATTTGGATTTCAAGAAGAAATTGCTAGAAAGGCTCTGGAGGCATCGGTAATTCTTTTTTTGTTTTCCCTCTCCCTTGTGACAGTAGCATTATGTTTTTGACTGTGCCATCGGTAAACTGTGCCAGAATATTTGACTGTATAAGTGGAAATCATTGTTCTGTAGGGTGATGACATTGAGAAAGCGACAGATTGGATATTTAACAACCCTAATGCATCAGTCTCCAGTATGGATGCTACCCCATCAAATGCGGCATCCACTTCCAATGATGTTAACCTACCTGATGGAGGAGGGAGTAAGTTGCTTTCTCTTTCTCTCACGTACCTTGTTGTGGGTTTTGTTGATCCTTAAATAATAAAGAAATGTAAAATGATGGTAATTATTTTTCAATCATGATCATTTTGTTATACTTTCACAGACTCCTTAAAAGTTTGATCTCGCTATTTTGATAGCTTTTATGTTTCACCTTCATTTTATTGCTTCCATGTTATTACTAAGTAAGTGGTAACATTTCCTTCCTGGGATTTAATCTAATTTTTATTTAAGTTGGCTGGGTAGGGTGTTAAAATTGTTGAGTCTTATTGTTTTCATTAATTTGACAATCCTATTTTATTTTTCAATATTTGGCGTTCCAGAATATCGACTTATTGGGATTGTAAGCCACAGTGGAACTTCTACTCTGTGTGGTCACTATGTTGCTCACATTTTAAAAGATGGTAGATGGGTAATTTTCAACGACAACAAGGTTGGGGCTTCCATTAATCCTCCTAAGGAAATGGGCTATCTTTATTTCTTCGAGAGGCTTTGATTGAATATACAGTGATAGGCGTTGAACACGGTGAATATTTCAACCATTAAGAGGCACAGGACGTTTTTAGAATAGCATTGACATGTTACCTATATCTGCTGATGTGATAATATTTGCTACCCTGGTCTTGGTGGCAATGTTAGACATTCCTCTAGTTGGCTGAATCTTCTTTCTTGGTTGGTTCTCAGCAGTAATGAAGCGTTTTGGAGAATTACATTTTAGTAACAAATTATCAGTTCTAGGAATTAAAACAACAATAGAGAATATTTATACAGCTTTATCTTTTCTAATGCCTAAAACCAGTTTCTTTGAAAAGTTTATTACAACATTAGTTCATTTTTCTGATGTCTAAAAAAATATGTTCTATTTGAGTGCAGTAACATATGCACGGATTTTAAATCAATGAATTATTTTATTTTAATGATGTTAATAAAAAAAATCTCAATTAAAGTGTTTTCTTAACCAATGTTAATAGAATTACTTTTTTACTTAAAATCTATAATGTTTATTTTTTGTGATGTTCGCATAAAATTATTTTTTATGGATGTTCTTAATATTATATGATAATAAGTTTTGTATTTAATATTTTCATATTTATGGTAATTGAAATGATTAATATAAAATATAAAGAAAATTAAATTATCTCATAAATAAAATATACAAAATAAATTAAACAATTAGAAAACAAAATCATTCAAATTTAATAATAATAATAATAATAATAATAATAATAAAATTGTTTAATATTAAAAAATTTCCTTCCTAAATTATCAAAATTTAAGATTTAACCGCTACATTTCAGTTTTTACTTTTGTGCAAAAGTTATTCTAACCTTAGTTACATATATTTAAAAGTAACAAATACAGTTGCACTTACATGGTAAAGAAACACAAGATAATTGAAAAATTAATAGTATTTTTGACTAAATTTGTATTTAATTAAATATTATTCCAGAATAATATATATATATATATAACTTGAATTCTTAAATTAATTTTACGACATTTAATTAAAATAGTTGTGTTTTTTAATTGAAACTATAGTCTAATTTTTAGCTAGAAGTTAAAATTTTGGTAACTCATATTTTAATTTAAAAAATTATTTAAATAAAATAATTATAATTTAATCAATATAATGATTAAATATTTGTTTTTAAATTAATCCATATTAAATAATTCTAATTTATAAAAACTAAATGTTTGTCTTCATATTTTTCCCTTTTAAATATATTCGTTGAGAAAATTAATTAATTGGTTCAGGGTTTACAACACCTAAACTAATTAACTATGCGAAAAGATAATATGAATTGGAAAAGGATACGAAGTTTCTGAGATATATGATAATATGATACACCCTTTACCCCTTTGACTCTTTGCAACATGAACACGTTCTTGACCATAAACTACATATTAAATTACAAAACCACGAAAGTAGTTTCAACGCAATTAATTAATTCCTCAAATTTGGTTTAGAAGTTTCCTTAAATGTAAACAAGGATTGATGTAGTGAATTTATTGGTTTACATTTTTTGTTCTCTGTCTCAATAAATATGAATCTAAATCAATCACCAAACTAAGTTGATGTTTACGTCTCAAATACTAGTTATTAATGAATTCTAAACCCTGAAATTATATAATGTGTTGTTTCCAATAATAACTATAACAAAGCTATGAAAAAATTACAATTAATAAAGAGATATAAAAGTCTTGGAAATTTAAATGCTATGTCGAATAATGTATTTGTTTTTATAGTAAAATGTTTGTTTTCAATAACCACTCAGAATAATTTAAAATTATTTTTTAAATTTAATGAAAAGTAAATAATTTAATAGTGTAATTGTAACGTTGTATAACAAATTTACTTCATCAACAAATGTCTTTTAAATAATTGCTATGAAAGATCAATAATTTTTTTTATGAAATCATAATACAACAACGTTTAAGTTTTGGCTTCATACATTATTTACTCATTTTTAAATTGAAAACCCTAATTTCTAAATGAATATCCAAAAAGTAGATACACCATTTTCTTGATTCTGCTCTTTATACATTATTCGCATGATGCGCATGTTCTTCACTCACCACCTTCTTTGCCACTGTCGTGTCTGCGCAGGAAACTGTCAATAGTTATCCTCCATTAGTTTCAAAACCAAGAGTTTATAGCAGCCCCAGCCTCCATAATTCTTTTGTATATATCTCTTATTGTTTGACTCTTTTTTTTCTAGATATTTCAATGTCAATATCTATGTGCAGATATAGAATATTATTCTCCTCAAATGTTAATTATTACTTTGTGGTACACAGGAATAAAATTAAGAAAAATAAATCTTATTTTCTCATTTTAAGCAAGTTTATAAAAGGGTCTCACTACTGTGACATTTGTGCCATGTTATTGTTTTCTTTACCATTCAAAATTAATTACGTATATTATCATTTAATTGTTATTATTTAAGTTTCATGTATTTTTCATTATATTTTCTCATTACATATGTTGTTTTACGAGAATCACACAGCCGACAAACCATGTTTAAAAATTTGAAATACGCGTGGCCCCAACTCAATTTCTATTTTCAAATGGTCCATTTTACAATGTTAAATTGTGACCAATAAAAAAGTAGAATCAATATTTGATCATATTTCTCAATTGTTATTTTAAAAACTATTATAAGTTTAGTAGTTATACATTTATGATAATTCATAATACGATTTTTAATATATTATTATAAAAAATTAGTAAATTTATTATATATATAGAGATGCAACTTGAATTTGAATATGCATTACATTAAAGATTAAAGGAATAATTTATTAATTTTGATCTCATACTTATTTTATCAAAATTTAACTGCATAAATTACTATTCCTAACACCAACTACTCCATAAGATCATGAAAACAATCAAATATAATTTGAAAAACAACATATTAATAAAGTACTGTGATACGCTCTTGAGTACTGTTTAACATGTTTAAGAATTATGTTCCTGCTGATATATTCTAAAAATAAATTTTCATGTTTAGGATATAGTTTGTTTTGAAATTTTTATTTATTATTATTATTATTATTATTATTATTATTATTATTATTATTATTATTTATTTTTAAAAATTACTGTTTCAATCTTATATTTTTTTAGTACTTTATTAAAAAATAATGTTTCGATACATAAATTTTATATCACTTATAAATTAATATCATGATAATTTATATACATGCACTATAATTTTTTTAACTCATTAAAACATCTTTAAAAGTAAATTATGATACAAAATTTAAAATAAACAATATATTAAATATAAAATTTAATCTAACAATATTATTATAACAAATGAGTTAGATAATGCATCGGCTATATTATCAAATATGAAACCCGTCACTTTGGTTCCATGAGAAAACACAACAATTTTTATCACTAAGTGTTAGTGGCAAATCGAGAAAAAGCGATCGAAAAAAAAATAAAAATAAATAAATGTGACTCGATAAGATAAATAAAAATTCATTCGATGTCTAATTAGAAGTACGTAGCATATAGCATCGAGAAGCACAGTCGAGAATCGAGTGAATGATAACCAAATGCCTGTTGTCGAATAAAAACTAAGTCATATGAGACCAGGGTTAAAAAGGAATCGTAAGCAATTTGAAGTTCTCGAAAAATATAGAATCGAGAGTAAAGAAAGCCAATGTGGACATCGAGACTTTGGCCAAATCGTGAAAGGAAGTAAGTCAAATGCACGTATAGAGAAGCGGTTTCGAAACCATGGAAAAAAGTCGGAGATCGTGAAAACGTGGGAAACTATAGAAGATAAACTGTCATACGCACGTAGAACGTGGTAGCAGTCGTGTTAACTGCTCTTGGAAGGCTTGAACGATACCCTATAAATAGAGCAAAGGAGGAAGGAACAGGGGAGCAGAAATTGGCAGAAGAACAGAATCAGTAGTGAAAAGTCTACCGGAGAAACGACGAACACCATGAAGCTTCTGACAGTCTGGATTTCCTTGCTCACTGAGTACATTTATTTTCCTTGGTAATTTATTTTGATGCAACTTAAATTCAGCAGTTTTATTTTCGATTCCTTGTCATTTCAATTCAATGAAAGTTTAAGTTTCTGCATTTTAAGTTTCCCTGTTATTTAACATTCTGCAAATCTCGATTTCCTGTCATTTACTTTTCTTGCAATCTCGATTTCTGGTCATTTATATTTGCGCTGTTTGGGGTTTTCGCACTTTACATTTCCTCGCAATTTAATATTCCGTTTCTCGATTCGATACTTTTATCGCTTTCGGTATATTAAATATAAAATACTAAAAAATAGCATTTTGATATTCTCGTAATTTTCAATTCCGATACACGCTTTCGATCGAAAGTCATAATCGCTAACCTAAGTAAAAAGAACTTACGTGGGAGGATTTTGGACCATAACACTTTTTAGAATCGAAATCGATCGAAATTCCACAAAGAAACACTAAGAAAATATATTACTTTCAATAATAATTACTTTAAATTTTGTTTGGTCCTTATTCTCTACCTTCCCACTGGAATCTATATCCAATATCAGTTGACGTATGCAGAAGAAAAAATAAAAATAAGAAAAAAAACAAAAGAAAAAAGAGCTCGGAACTTTCCATGTGACAAACATTCCGTTGGATTGTGGGCCCCATTCATCAACGACGAACTCAAAGATCGATAAAGTGACAGAAACCGTAGCATGACGTGGCAAAACCTCGCTGTAGATTTTCATCGTTCTGTCACATTCAACTTTCACCTTTTTCCCTATATAAACTCAATCACGATTTGCATTGGAAAACCGTTTCAATCGTTCACAACATTCATCACCCTTGAGAGATTTTCTCTGCACGCATTCCTTCAGATTTCGAAGGAATCTCCTCTTGCTTCGTCAACTAAACAAACCAAACACTGTTTCTTTGGATCGCTCTCAACTTCTCTACAGAAGCAACTCATCACGCTTATACGCTACCGTTTCGGTAAGGTATCTTCTTCTTTTTACTTTTTCCCTTTTCAATTATCTGGATGTCTGCTCACGCTCGTTGCGTGATACTTGTTCGTACTACGGCCGCAAGGTCGGAACTCCCAATAAATTAGCTTTTTGTTTTAGCTTTTGCCGAATCTGTGAAAAATTCAACTCAAAACATTTGGTTCTGTTAAAAGTTCATGCTCTTTTGTTACCTATGTTTGTTAAACTTTGCTGCGTTCGCCGAAGTGAAAAAAAGCGTAGAAAAACGACACTCGTCACTTACTTTCGCGTTGTTTGCGGGAAATGGTGGTGAGAGATTGCAAGCGTTCGGTTTTTCGTTTCCTCGTTAGGAGGTAGCGGTGGATCGTCAATACCACATAGTTTTTGCTTTGTTTATTTAAAAAAAAGAAAAGAAAAACAACTTTATTATTTTTATATATAATTTTTTACTTGTGGGCATTCGGCTGTTTTTTTTTTCATTATTATTATTATTTACTTGAAAATTTATATGGAAAAAACTTTGATGCAGCTTCTTCAGTGTTTTCGGTATTGATTTTCAATTAAAATTAGAATTTTTTACTTTGTTAATTCGTGCGAAAAATTAAGTTAAGTGAAACTCTAGTTTTGATGTAAAAAAATTTCATTTTGTCTAATTTATATATTTGATAACTTACATTTGAATTTTATTTTGTTGTGAGACAAAAATACGCAGTTGTGAAATGGCAATGGGTGATGGTAATTACGGTAGAAAGTCGAGGTAGTTTTGTAATTCGGATTACATATGGGAGGATCTACATTAATGTGCTGTTTTTGTATTTAATTTTTATAGTTCTAATTTATTATCACTACATAGTTTTTGTTTTTAATTACATGAGAATTTATATGGAAAGAACTTAGATACAGCTCGTAAGTGATTTTAGTATTGTTTACCAATGAGAATTGTATACTCATTGTAAGAGTCATGCATTAACATCATAAATTGGGTGAAATTTCAATTATTGAAGAACGACGCTAAAAGCACGTAAAGAATCACATGAAAGTTTTGTTGTATTTATAATGAATTTGAAGTTTTTTTCTTTTGGTGATAAATATGCAGTTGGGAAATAGCAATGGGTGATGGTAATTATGATAGAACTTTGATGGAGTTCCGTATTCCCGATTACATATTAGTGTCAGGATCTGAGGGAGGAAGTGTTTCGCATGTACCTGCATGCCCAGTCATTGTGTTCATAAATTCCAAAAGTGGTGGCCAGCTTGGAGGCGAGCTTCTTGTTTCCTATAGTACACTTCTTAACAAAAACCAGGTAAACTGTTTTTTCCTGTTTCGTCTTGTTTTTTTTTTTTTTTTTTTTTTTTTCTTTCGCAAGTGGGGCACACTATTTGAGCTATTTAAGGTGGGACAACCTATTTGACGGAAAGACAATTTAACTCATGTACCAGGTTTTTGATTTGGGAAAAAGTGCTCCGGATAAGGTGCTGCAGAGGCTTTATGCTACTTTGGAAACGCTCAAGCATAATGGAGATAATTTTGCAGCTGAAATTCAGAATAGATTAAGAATAATTGTAAGATGATTGCTATGCTGTGTTCTCCAATTCTGATGTACTTGTAGGAAGGAAGAAGGTTCATGTTGTTATAGTTAATTCTCTGATGATCTTTGATTAGTCTTTGTTTCTAATGTTTTCTGGAAAATCAGGTTGCAGGTGGAGATGGTACTGCCAGCTGGCTTCTTGGAGTTGTATCTGACCTTAAATTACCTCATCCGCCACCGATTGCAACAGTGCCATTGGGGACCGGAAATAATCTTCCATTTGCATTTGGATGGGTATTTTTTGACTTTCTGTTCAGTCTGCTGAACTATGTGGATTTCATGATTACTTGGATCAGTTTTCATTTTGTTTATGTTCTTATTAACGAGCATGTTAACCTCAATTCATGGAGTTTGACATTTCTTTACCTAGTTATAATCACGTAGATCATTAGTCATTTTTGTTTACGGTTATGGTCATTTTCTAGTATGAACCGTATATGTCAAATTGCCATTCAAAATTTTCTTTGAGATGTGAACTGGATGATATTTATTACAATGGTATAAATTATGTCTGGTTGTTTTCTGGATATTTTTTCTTGGACTTTTGTAATATACATCAATTATCAATTTATTGCATGTGGGTATGGTTGTTCTATAATTTTTAATAAACAAATTAAAAAGCTGCATTAGGAGTTACCTTCCTTTTTAATCAGGGTCAATTGCAAGGTGTTGTTCTTGGCTACAAAGGACGTTGTACATTTGCTGAGCATCATTTATTGTTTACAGGGAAAGAAAAACCCAACCACGGATCTTCAATCAGTGAAGTCATTCTTAAATAATGTAAAAGCGGCAAAGGAAATGAAAATAGACAGGTATTTAATCCTTTTATTTGAATTTTCAAATTTATTGCAACTTCTTACGTGCACTTGCATAAATGCATCATATATTCAATATATCGTTGCTGAAAACATCAAGTGGAACTTTGCTTTGAATGTCTAGAAATGTTCTGGCTACAGAAGTCGCATGTGCATTTGTAAGACTTGTGTCTGAGACAGTTATGTGTTTAAAGATATTTTGCTTCCTTATCCTCCCTTATTTTACGATAGCATTGCTTATTCAACAGTGAGTTTTCAAGCAGTACTTTGAAAAAAAAGGAATATAGTTTTATTTTGTATTTTTGCTTCTGTAGCATTCTTGATTTTCCTCAGCATAATAGAGGTCTGGACAGAAATTAAGCATGTTGTGCAAATGGGGTTTCATGGCATTAGCGTATTTTAAGGTTGAACACAGTTGATTTTTCTAGATTTTAACGATGTCAATTTACATCCATTAACCTGTGGTTTTCTCATTGTTGCTAATGTAGAATTAGGATATAGGCTGCTCTGTTTTCCTCTACATCCAGCATTGCCATATATGCTGCTTGAAGCATGTAGATTAAAAGAACATGACTTATTTACCATCTTTTATTAGTTATTTTGCAACTGATGAATTTCTTTGACTGCTGATTTTTATTTTTAAGTTGGCATATTGTAATGAGAATGAAGGCTCCAAAAGAAGGTTCATGTGACCCTATTGCACCCCTTGAGCTGCCTCACGCTATGCATGCATTTCATCGCGTCTCTTCAACGGATAAACTAAACACGGTGAGTTATATGTATATTTCTTTTTTCCTTTTCATTGCTGATGCCTGTCCATAATTATTTGTGCCGATAAATCTGTACACTAGGAAATGCCAATAAAGAGATTATTAATACAATTAAAGATGCTTGTGAAGCAACAGAGTAATCATTTGATGAAAAGTAAGTTAATCTTTGCTATAATTAATTTCGGTTAGTTTCTTCTTTTTGTCAAAAGATTATGGCAATTCTGGCTCGCGCAGAGTCAGAAATATGACTTCTGATTCACCATCAAATCGTTGTCTTCCTTCATTTGGACACTGCATGAAATATATGGTAGACATTCATAATTCTTTTAGAGTGTCATAAAATACACATGCAAGAGCTCCAAAATTTATGGCAGGCGTTTGATTTGAATGATTGTCTTGTAATCACACGAATATAAAAAAGGTAACAAAAGTGATAAAAAATCAAATCAGGAAATTGCAGTGCTAAGCTTTTATTTCTTTAACTTTTCTTCTTTGCAAGTCCTTGATATTTTCATTTACTGTAATGTAAGGAGTGTGGGCATTCCATGCATGCTTGCTTATCAGTGAATTGTTGTCTGTTTACAGGAGGGTTACCACACTTACCGTGGGGGATTTTGGAACTACTTTAGCATGGGTAAGAAAATCAGTCTTGTCTTCACACTTACTGTGGGGGTTACGACACCCTAAAAGTTTGTATGTGTTCTATGCAGGAATGGATGCTCAAGTATCTTATGCATTTCATTCTGAGAGGAAGTTACATCCAGAAAAGTTTAAAAATCAGTTATATAATCAGGTACTAAATTCCTCACATATAACATAAGATATGTCGTTGTGATGAATTGTTTTCGACTTTTCATTTTTACTTCCATTTCTTTCTCCATATAGCTGTTCTAGATATTTGGATGTTATAGGTAGGCATCCAAGCTGAATATGATTTTCTGATAAAAACAAAATGGATATAATGGTGGTTGTAAATTTCCAGAATAAACCCAAAATCTAATACTTTTTTGCTTGTGCTATTGCCAAACTGAGATTTATCTGATAGACATGGACGAATATTATTATTATGTGTCTGAAGTTACTTAAAATGTTCAATTATTATCCTTTACTACTGCAGTCTAGTGTGAATGGCCTGGCTATTCATTCAAGACAATTTCAATTCTCAAGTAACTGAATAATCTTACAAACCAGTTACATATCATTTAATCAATTCCATATATCAATAATAGATTTTGAAGATATATGGGCTATGTTTGGTATAAGTAAGGGTTGTGACTTCGTACTATTGTCAATAATTAGCCCTCTCATCATGCCTTTCTTCTGTTAACCAGAGTGCCTATCTGAAGCTTGGATGTTCACAAGGATGGTTCTTTTCTTCTCTGTTTCAATCTTCACGGTTAGTTATTCAAGAGGCCCCAGTTTACCCTGAGTCTCTTCTGGCAAAAAATTTATACAACTATATATTCGAGAAGCATTTACTAATAGCATTTTACTAAGTTGGGTGTTACATCTATTTTTCTCAGTCTTAAACCATGCCCGTGCAAAGGTGTGTTTGGTTTAAATAAACCTGTTTTTTTTGTTCAGTGTACTGGCAGCATTTACGTATTGTCACTGTTGAGGAGATACAGTGATAGATTTTACTTTAAGAAAACGATAGAGTTGATCCAGCATGAAATTTCCTTTTTGCCTTATCTAATTTTGCTGTACAGTTCTCCACCTCAAATAACGAGGTATAGAATATAAGAAAAAGAAAACAGTTTTAATTTCAATCAACAGGGTCTAACATAGTTGTTAGGTAACTGGATTCTTTAAGAAAAGTTAAGAATAATGGAATACTTAGTTGAGAGAGACAAAACACACTTTAGTAATCTCTACGTCTGGCAAGAAATGATTCTCCATCTATAGTTTGGGGGAAATCCTCGGTGCACATAAAAGGAAAAGTTTTAATTTCTAAATCTTGTATGATATGACCTTTTGGTTTATCCAATGAAATTTTCTGTACAAGATTTGTTTTCCACCTCATTATAGTCAGGTACAGAATATACGAAAGCAAAAACCGTTCTAAGTTTATGAAAATTCCCTCAAATACTTACTTAATAGTTATGGTTCTTTGATATTAAACTGATAAAAGGATTAGTTTATGAAAATTCCCTCAAATATGGTTTAATGGCGACACAACGCTTATAATTCTCAAGTCGTTTGTAGTTGTAAACACTAAATGCTAGTTTCTCCTGGGATATTTCTGATTTTTTTTTTCCCTGAATTACGTGGTGTTGAGTTTACAACCTTACTGTGGTAGAGCCTAATTCAGAATGATTAAATGTTGACACAGGAACATAGCTCAGCTGGCAAAGGTTAAGATAATGAAAAAAGGTCACTGGGAAGATCTCCTCATACCTCGCAGGTGACTCTTTATGAAGACTTATTTTCATGCAGCTTCCCTTGAGATTTCATACACTAGCAAGCATCAGTCTTCTTGGATTTCTCTATTAAGAGATTTACTAGCCATAGATATGAAAATTTGTATTACTTATTGAGCATTTCCTTAAATGAAGATAAAATATAATGATATTTATTTATGGTATGCATGGAAAAAAAGAAATATAGCAACCTGAGATGTAGGAATAATGCAAAAGAAAAAAAGTCAACAAGACTCGCAACCTTGGTATAATTTTATTAGTCTTCATACTAATTTAATCGTTTGATCTTCATATACAGCATTCGGTCAATCGTTTGCCTTAACTTGCCCAGCTTTTCTGGGGGACTCAATCCTTGGGGAACACCAAATAGGAAGAAATCAATTTATGTAAGTGCCAAATTCATCCATCTCTTTTCCTCATGCTCCATGAATCTTGTAGGGAACATACTTGTTAAGAACCTGGACATATTTTGAATGTATGAGGGTTCTGATAAAACATTCTATATAATTTTGCCTTTCAGAGGGATCTGACTCTTCCCTATGTGGATGATGGCCTATTCGAGGTAGTTGGTTTTAGAGATGCTTGGCATGGTCTTGTTTTGCTTGCACCAAATGGACACGGAACTCGTTTGGCACAGGTAAGGGCACGTCAGTTTCTTAATATATGTTTTGTTTCTTGAACAATTATATATATTTTTAATAGAAAATAAAGTGAGAAAATATTTTTATAAAAAAAATAGAAAATATTTTATCATTTCAATCCAAAAATTGTAATTATTATTTTTAAAAATGATTTTCGATTTTTTTTTTAATTTTTAAAAATTAAAAATATTGTTTGATAGCTGTGTTTATTAAATTAGTTTTTATTTTTTGTTTTGATTTTCTATTTTCATTAGTAGATATTTATATTTTTGCTAATAACTCCTGATTTCGTCATGATATAATTATTAAAATCGTTTTCTTTAATTTAAAATAGTTTTTAAAAGTATAATTATTACATAACTTTTTTAATTTATTCTTAAAAATAAAACTAAATCAAGATGGCTTAAATTACTCTTTTTCTCCATTCTTTTTGCTCAATGTTAAGTTTCTATGTTGCTCTCACGATGCAGACAAGCAGAATCCGCTTTGAGTTTCACAAGGGTGCAGCTGACTGCACATTCATGAGAATTGATGGAGAGCCATGGAAACAACCGCTCCCAAAAGATGATGACACAGTTGTTGTCGAGATATCACACCATGGTCAAGTCAGCATGCTTGCCACCCCATTGTGCCGTTCTAGAAGTACCTATGATCCCTCCTCACCTTCCGTTGACAGGGAAGAAGATGATAGCAGTGATGAAGAACTACCAGAAGATTCGGAAGAACGGCGCAAATTTGGTGCAGCTGATACATTCAGATATCCTGATGGAATTGATATAGCTCAACTCAGGTAAGTTAGTGTACAGAAAAGGAATAGCATCTAGGTTCCACAACTGTGATTTCAACCACCATTTAAAACCGTGAGTTGCATCCTAGCATTGCTCAGTGTTTGGTGTGGGGTAAATTGTTTTCTGGTTTAGTTCATACAGTTTTCCTTACTGTAATACCTCTACGGTAAATAGTGATGTTTGAGGATTTAATTTTTAACCAAGATTTATTTATGACTGGCGATTCATGTAATCATATCTGAGTACATTTCAACAATTCAAAATCCATTCTTTCGTTTCAATATCAATGATGGAGATATTGTTGATGCATGTGTAATACTCTTCCTATTCCTCGTTTGATTGGGAGATTTTGTGTATATTAATTGGACAAAACTTAAATGTTTCAAGGTATTCACATAATATAATTGAGGATTCAACTCTCAGGTTTATGTTAACATTTAATAAGAACTTTCCACTAGAGCTGGATTCAACTAGCAGGATTATGTCAAATCAATTTTAATTAATAGTAAATTATATAAGCGTTAAAACGCACATTTTTTTGTTAATAAAATATCTTTATATGTTTTATGTTTATCTAATTTTTTTTAACTTCTTTGTTCAAAGAAACAAATTTACTGCTTCTTAGTTTTAAAATAATTAAAAATTGTTTCTTTTGCACTATTTTTTCTAATTATAAATGCTCAACGGAAAATTCATCTAAACATGTTCTCAGTGATTTCGTATTTAAACGGTCTAAAATCATTTTGATAAAAGCACAAATATTTAGTATTGTATGATTAATTTAAGATATATTATTGGTAAGATTCTACATGTTTAGAACGAAGAATGATCTGAATCTGAATGTTGCGTATTCGAGTTCGACTATTCGAACCACGTTCACCGCATTTTATTTAATTTCCTTAGAAAAATCCTAACCGTTCCTTTCTCTCTGTTCGATCAACAATATGTACTTTTATTTTCAGGTGAAAAATAGGTGAAAGACGTATCAATTACAATCAACATCCAGTCAAAATCGAAATCAAATGAAAACAGAAACGTAATCAGCATAATGATTATATTCCTTGATTATTGACAAATTATTGAAAATAAAAAATTTCACAACACATTCTTTAACTTATTTTCTGACTCGCTTCTTATGTGAATTTTGCTAATGTCTTTATCTTATTTTTATTCAATAAAACTGGCATAAAATACATTTAATAATAAAATACATCATTTAAAAAAAATGTTTCACTAATTATTTTTGAGGTCTGACCAAAAGAGAGTGTGGAATTCTAAATTCCAAATATATTACATGCAGAAATAAGACAAGTATTTTTATTATTGTTGTTAAGCAAAACAGATAGAAAGACGTGAGTTGGAGATTCTATAAATCTTTTGAAGCCTTCTCATTGGTTGCTCCAAACAACACAATCCCCACCACAAACATGCCAGGTCACTGATGTGTTCCTAACCACCACAAACAGCCTCTTCCTAGTTTCTACCAGCTTCTGTTGAACCATTCTTGTAGTCTTCTATTTAAGCCAGTTAAAGGTTTCAAGTTTTAGTTGAAGAAAAGTACTTGAAAGCCATGGCAGCAACACTAATGGCAGCCTCAGCAAGCACTGGCACTGTCCTTACACCAACACCTTCCCTTGCCCAAAGTAGGGGAACAAATGCCAACCCTCTTAGAGATGTTGTCTCCATGGGATGTTACAAATTAGGAGAGAGATAGGGTTAATAATGCAAAGAAAACCAATGAGAGAGAAGAGCCCAATTTGGAAGAAGAAGAAGAAGAATTATTAACAAATGTCAATACAAGGCCTAAAAGAACAAACATATACCAGGGAAATTCAAGACTTCAAGATGGATTTTAAGTAGTAAATTCAATAATGTGCTTAGTGATATACATATATATTTCCTATTTTCTTTCTATTATTTGCTTTTCATTTATTCGTGTATTTTTTTTTTTCTCTCTTGTCGGATAGAGATGTTAAGCATATGTAAAGGAGAATATCTCTTTTATATAAAGAGCATATTGGAATGAGAAAGAAGAACCACTTTGTGAAAACTGATTAGTTTAGTGGATGTGTCTTCCCTCGAAAAAAGAATAATTACCAAGCATTTTGGTGCTTTTGTTGAGAGAGCTCCCTCATGTTGGATAGTCATTTGACTCTTCAACGCGACTACGAAGCCATTTCTACCAAACTCACAGCCCTAGAAACCAAACTAGAAATTGCAGAAAATTCGGTCATTCCCAACAATTCAAGCTCCATTCACAACATGAAATTGGATGTTCCTCGGTTCGGTGATTCAGACCCCTTGGGGTGGATCTTCAAGGCTTCACAGTTTTTTGAATATCATGAAACCCCGGAAAATCAAAGAGTTCGTATCGCTGGTTTTTACATGGATGGAGAGGCTTTAAGTTGGTTCCAGTGGCTTTATGTGAACAACCAAGTTACTACTTGGCCGGTGTTGATACTGGCTATACAATCACGCTTTGGCCCTTCTCAATTTGAAGATCCAGCAGGTGCTCTGTTCAAACTAGCCCAAACTTCCACCGTCAGAGAGTATCGGCAACAGTTTGAAACCCTAGCCAATCGTATTGTGGGTTTGCTGACGAATTTCTATTTGAGTTGTTTTGTCTCAAGTTTACAAACAGAGTTACAACGCGAGGTGAAAGCACGACAACCGATGACTCTCATGGAATCTATGGCGCTTGCCAAAGTGTATGAATCAAGGTTCGATGATGATCGTGTGAAGAAACCCAGTAATACGTCCACTTCAACAAACACCAAGACTTTCTAATCTTACACTACCGCCTCATATGTCAATCAACCGGCCAAAACCACATTTCAACAACATTCTAACGCTAATTCGGGAGTGAACTCTGCTAGATCGATTCAGTCCAACCGATCACCTACGATTAAAACCATGACAACGGAAGAACTTCAATCGCGACGGGAGCAAAGGTTGTGTTATTACTGTGATGACAAGTACTTTAAAGGCCATCGCTGCAAACGTTCATTCATGGTACTGTTAGCACCTGAATCATCAGCTACTGTGGAAGAAGAGTTTTCGAACCTTATTTTAGAATTGAGGACAACTGGACCCGAACCTAATGCGCTACCCGACTCACCACCAGCAAAAATTAGCCTCCATGCCTTAATGGGCCATTCGGTGCCACAAACACTACGAGTATCAGGTCGGGTAGGTAAATCTACAGTATCTATATTGATTGACAATGGGAGTACCCACAATTTTTTGCAGGAGAGACTAGTGAGATTTTTGGGCCTACAAACAACCTTAGCCCAAGGTTTTTTGGTCCAAGTGGGTAACGGTGAGGAACTCCAATGTACCAAATTATGTAAAGAGGTAGACATTCATGTTGGGCCACATACGTCTCAAGAGGATCTGTTTGTGCTACCCATTTCTGGGGCAGATGTGGTATTAGGGGTCCAATGGCTCAAGAGATTAGGGCCTGTATTGACCGACTATGACAAGCTAGTGATGAGGTTTGTCAAAGATGGACAAGTAGTTCAACTGCAGGGCATTTCATGGCCCAAACCCACTGAAATAACGGCCCAACAGTTCAAGAAACTTCAAGCTACAGAAGCCATAAGTGAGCACTATCATATCCAAATGCTCGAGGAACAGCCACCTACACCCGAAACCCGCCCCATACCCAACTCTATCAGTGCCTTGCTGGAAAATTATGCCCGTATTTTTTATGAACCACCAAATCTCCCTCCAGTGAGACCCACAGATCACCGTATTCCACTTCTAGAGGACACTTCTCCGGTTCGTGTGCGACCATACCAGTACCCTCACTTCCAGAAGCAAGAAATAGAATGGCAAGTCGCTGAAATGTTAAAGAAAGGTGAAATTCAGCGCAGCTCCAGTCCTTTTTCATCTCCTGTGCTGTTGGTAAACAAGAAAGACGGGACATGGAGGTTCTGTGTAGACTATTGAGCATTGAATGCGGTCACAAGCAAGGACAAATTTCCAATTCCAATTGTTGATGAGCTTCTTGATGAATTATTTGGGGCCAAATGGTTCTCAAAGTTGGACTTACGCTCTGGCTACCATCAGATAAGGATGCAAGTAGGGGAATCTCAAAAAATGGCTTTTCGCACTCATGAAGGCCATTATGAATTCATTGTAATGCCTTTCGGGCTTTGCAACGCGCCTTCAACTTTCCAGGGTACGATGAATGCTATGTTTCAACCATTCCTTCGTAAGTTTCTAATTGTGTTCTTCGACGATATTTTAGTATATAGCACAACCCTCGACGAGCATACTTCACACTTACAGTTGGTATTTCAATGTTTGCTGGAGAGTCAATTCTTTCTCAAGAAGAGTAAATGTGTATTTGCGCAAACTAGTATCTCTTATTAGGGCCATGTGATTACTGAATTTGGGGTGGAACCAGAAAAAGAGAAGATTGCAGCAATGCATGACTGGCCAGTACCAAAGAATGTGAAACAATTACGCGATTTTTTGGGGTTAACCAGATTTTATCGTCGGTTCATTCAAAGCTATGCGGGAATCGCTTCACCACTCACTGACCTTTTAAAGAAATATGCCTTTCACTGGTGGAGACTAATGCCTCTGGCAAGGGTATAGGCGTAGAGCTCCTTCAGCGTGGTCATCCTATTTGTTTCTTTAGTAAAAGTTTTGTGCAAACATGCAAAATGCTTCCACTTATGTCCGTGAATTGCATGCAATTTCGGGAGCCATTAAAAAATGGAGGCACTACTTATTGGGACGCAAATTTATCATCTACATAGATCAAAAGAGCTTAAGGGAACTGATGACTCAAGTAGTTCAAACTCCAGAATAGCAGCACTATTTGTGCAAGCTGCTTGGTTATGACTACGAAATTCGCTATAAACCAGGCTCTTCCAACTGTTCAGCAGATGCTCTATCAAGAAGGTTTGATTATTTGGGGTCCTTCGCTGCCTTGACAGTGCCACAGTTCGAGTTTATCTCTAAACTCAAGGATTCCTACGTGACTAATCTGAAATTGCTCAAAATTGTCACTGAGGTGCGTGACAACCCCGCATTTGATTCAAATTTCACTATTGTCGAGAGGTTGTTACTGTACAAAGGAAAGATTTATGTGGGATCGGATACGGCGTTTAAAACCTTATTGCCGGAGGAATTTCACAGCAGCCCTTTGGGTGAACACATGGGAATTCATAAAACCTTCAATCGCATTAGTGAAAATTTTTATTGGCCGGGAATGCGCAAAGAGGTGATTGCATTTGTTAATTCGTGCCTCACATGTCAGCACATGAAAACCCCAACACATGCCCCTTATGGCTTACTACAACCAATTCCCATTCCCAAAGCTGTGTGGGAAGACATTGCTCTCGATTTCATTGTGGGTCTGCCTCCTTACAAGGGGAACACTACGATTTTGGTGGTGGTTGATCGTTTTTCAAAGGCTGGACACTTTGGCATGCTGCCAACTCATTATACAACTTTCATGGTAGTTGAACTCTTTGCCAACATGATTTGCAAACTCCATGGCATGCCAAAGAGCATCATATCTGATCGCGACCCCATTTTCATGAGCAGCTTTTGGCATGAACTGTTCAGATGAGTGGTACTAAGCTATGGATGTCCACGACCTATCATCCTCAGAGTGACGGACAAATTGAAGTCCTCAATAAGGTTCTCCAACAATACCTTCGTTCTTTTGCGCATCATAAACCTTGTAATTGGGGCAAGTTTCTCTTATGGGCAGAATGGTGTTACAACACCTCTACTCACTCTTCTTCGGGTCTCACTCCATATGAAATCATGTTTGGAAAGCCTCCTACTTCAATTCCTCAATATTGTGTGGGGAGTTCAAAGCTTGAAGCAGTGTAAACTGAACTACTAACTCGAGATGCCCTCTTGCACAAGCTGCGATCTAAACTCCTCAAAGCTCAAAAATTGATGAAACATGCAGCTGATAAACACCGGCTTACAGCACCGTTTAAGGTCGGAGACAAAGTAATGGTGAAGCTCCGTCCTTATCGCCAGTTGTCTCTTGCTGGTCACAGAGTTCAAAAGCTTGCTAAACGCTACATTGGTCCTTTTGAAATTATTGAGTGCATCGGCGAGGTGGTTTATCGACTGACGTTACCTTCCCAGGCCAAATTACATCCCGTTTTTCATGCCTCCCTGCTGAAACCTTTTATAGGCTCTGCTAATACTGTTCCTCTGGACCTTCCCTCTAGCACCAACGTCACTCAACCCATTCTCCACAGCCTCTCTCCATCCTTGCGGTTGATAACTTATCACCCCAGCGTGTGTTAGTGCAATGGGAGGGTATGTTCCCAGAAGATGCATCATGGGAGGATCTCAAGGAACTGCAAGAGACGTATCCCACTCTACACCTTGAGGACAAGGTGTTTGTGAGGGGGGAAGAAGAAGTTACAGATTGGGAGAGAGATAGGGTTAATAATGCAAAGAAAACCAATGAGGGAGAAGAGCCCAATTTAGAAGAAGAAGAATTATTAAAAAATGTCAATACAAGGTCCAAAGGAACAGACATGTATCAGGGAAATTCAAGGACTTCAAGATGGATTTTAAGTAGTAAATTCAATAATGTGCTTAGTGATATATATATATATATATATATATATATATATATATATATATATATATATATATATTTCCTATTTTCTTTCTATTATTTGCTTTTCATTTATTCGTGTATTTTTCTCTCTTGTCGGTTAGAGATGTTAAGCATATGTAAAGGAGAATATCTCTTTTATATAAAGAGGATATTGGAATGAGAAAGAAGAACTACTTTGTGAAAACTAATTAGTTTAGTGGAGGTGCCTTCCCTCGAGGAAGGAATAATTACCAAGCATGGGACCTGGGAAATACACCATTGTAATTTCCAATATTTATATTACATGGTGTTTGGTTTTGTTTTTTATCAAGAGTTTATTACCAAATTGTAACTTCAATAAAGTACCTTCTGGAAAAACATGTGAAAGTATTTTAGAAGAATTTTCTTGACAATTAGAGTTGGTAAAATATTCTGGTATGAAACTATAACTTCCTATCATACTTTTAGAGAAAAAGGAGGAACATTTTTCATGTTCTTTCTTACTGCTTTTAGTTTTTGGGTTGTGTTGTATGGGTTGTGAGTTTATTTGTGTTGATGAGTGAGAAGGGAAATGAATTGTGGTACCCTTTTCAACTCAGACCCCTTCATACTTGACTGGAGAATTCCCAAGGGACTATGGATGGGTGGGCACTGCTGGCTTGTCTGTTGATCCTAAAGCATTTGCAAAGAACAGGGCTCTTAAGGTCAGTTATTTTTGCTTAGGCTGCTATGAAAATATTTCAATTGTTCATAGGACCAAATTAAATATGGTTTCATGTGAACCAAACAAACCATTCATCAAGTTTCTTTAACATGAAAAATATTTTCATTTCTAAGACAACATTGTAGGCTCTAATCGATTTTTTCATCTAAACAAAAAGTAATATCAACAGTGTTCCTTCATAAATAGCTAGTTCTAGGGAAACCACTACTGAGCCTCAACATCAATTGCTCTTTGCTGTAAAAATCGTCTTTCTTAGTTGTCTTTTCAGTTCTAATTCCTGTAGTCATTTTGTCAAATTTGATTTTGGTCTTATATTTCGGAAGTTTGGTTTTTCAGTCCCTACAACATTTTTAGACCCTATCCTTGCACATATTTTGTTTTTTATTCTACAACAAACATAATTCTTTAACAAAAGAAGCTATAAGGACCCAACCAAACTTCTAATAGCACTTTTCGAAATTTGTTGATAAGTAAGAAATCACATTGAAGATGTGAAAACTATAAACATTAGATTCTTAATCACACATGCAAAAATGAGAAAACTAGAGCAATTCCAAATGGATTCAACCCTTTGTTTCATAAAGAAATCATTATAATATATAAACCAACACTGGTACAGAATGAACTTTTTACGTCACTCAGATAACGTCGGATTAAAAAATAACCGACTTAAAAACAGCGCGGTGATAATTTTATAAATAATGGACTCGACTTTTATGTTGGACCTAGAAGGAACTAACGTAAAAGTCACTTTTTACGTCGGATATATAGTGATCCGATGTAAAAAAGCGAGTTTGACGTCGGTCCCTTCTAGGTCTGACGTAAAAGTCGCATTGCGCAGTGACAATTTTGTACATAATGGACGTGAATTTTAAGTCGGACCTAGAAAGGACCGACATAAAACTTGCTTTTTACGTTAGTCCCTTCTAGGTCCGGTGTAAAACTCGCGTTTTATTCTTCCCAGCGCCACTTCTTTATCTTGCACAACAAGGGTTTTTGAGGATCACGACGAAAGCAACGATAACCAACTCCTCTCAAGTGAATGACGGAAATACTTTCATTATGTCCCATTTATGGTGGTGAACATTTCTCTCTTATTGAATTCGAGTTTTACAACATTTTTTTGTATATTTGATGTTAGTGTTTTGTGTGTCTCGTCTCCTCTTTTTTGTTGAAATTGAATGTTTCCACTGGATTGTTATTGATATTAAACGGTTGTAGTTAGTGTTCTATGCGTTTGAATCTTACTTTTTTTTTGTTATTGTAATTTGTATATTGGGGGTTTAGGTTATTGTTATTGTTTTATTAGGGTTTTATGATGAAAAGAAAACAGAAAATGTTCGAAGCAAGATAACTTTTGACTCGGATGTCGGATTTGGAAGCACAACATATCAAAACGAAGAGAAAAAAGAGAAGAAGAGAGGGGATTTATCCTAATAGTTTTTCCAAAATATGCTCCTAAGCACATGTAATACACAAACGTTTGTGCAGGTATAACCAGAGGTAATTTCTTTCAAATTTATTAAGTTCATTTACCTTTGTGTCTATTGCATGTTAACTAAAGTCAAATTAATGTTTTAGGTATTTCAAGATTCATCCATCTGCACTATCAGAATATGATATTACTGTAATAATGCTATGTAATAGATAACTGTTTAATAATTCTGTTAGTTAATAATTTTGGGTAAGTTTGTGTAAACCAAAATTATATATAAAGTGTTTGGCTTCTATGAGGGGAATATAATAAAGTTTTTTCTTTTCCGTGAATCCTCGACAATTTTTCTTGTTGGTATTGTGAGTGAGTATTGTGCAGTGTGGGTGTGAGTCTTTGGCGTGGAGGTGTGTGAGGTATTCCTAACCTTACAAGATATTGAGATATAAAGAATTATCAAATTGGTATCAATTAGCTTGGGGACGATGGTGACTATGAAAGAATTAGAAGTTCGTATGGATTCTTATGAAAAGACTCTCACTGATCATCAAGAATCAGTGCAATTATCTTTGGAAAGAATGCAAAAGTCTATAGAGGGACTTGCAGCATTAATCACGTCATCGCAAATATCCAAGAATGGTTCTTATGAGAAAGAAAGGAGGGAAGAATCGTATCCTACAAGATCTTCATTACTGGAGTGGGGACAAATACCTTTTCCTATGTTTGATGGGTCAAATTTTTGAGACTGGAATGTCAAGGCGGAAAAATTCTTTGATTTGGAACAAACTCTGGAGACACAACATAATAGGTTATTACTGTTATCCATGGATGGTAAAGCCTTTGCTTGGCAACGCCATTATATGCAGAATCCTACAAACAAATTAAAAACCTGGCGACAAATTATTCAAGATACTCGTAATCGCTTTGATCTTAGGGCTATTGATGATCCCATTGCGGAGTTAGCAAAATTAAAACATGATGGAGCCTTATTGGAGAATCTGGAAAAATATGATTCGTTATTAGCCAGAGTGGTTATTTATGAAGATATTGCTTTGAGTTTTTTTTTTGTCTGGATTAACAAGGGAATTAGAAAGGTCAGTCTGTGTGCATAGTCCACAAATAGTACAAGATGTGATATGAATTGCAAGACTTCAAGATGAAATGTTACAAGCTATGGCCACTCGTTTTTCTTATGGTCAGGTGCCCAATTCAAATTCTTATGAACGCTCTGAAAGGAATGGGTCATTGTTTTCTTTGACCAATAGGAATTATCCTATTACGACTTTAAAACAACAGATACCTTTACGAGAGACATATACTTCAAATGTACCAGATTCCAGGGGCTCAAATACTCCTACGTTATCCATAAAACAAGTTAGTGAAAGAATTGCTAAAGGCCTTTGTCGATTCTGTGGGGATAAATGGGATAAAGACCATAAACAAATATGTAAAGTATGGGGTAAGCTGCATGCTATATTTGAAGCACAAGAGCATTTGTCTGCATATCTTTCAGAGGATACAAATAGCCAAAACGACACTGATCTTATTGTCAATAGTTTGGATATGGCTCGGGATTCTGATGTTCACATTTCTTTAAATGCTTTACAAGGAGTAGATGAAGGAAATACTCTTCAAATGAAAGGTCTCATCAAGAAACGTTTTGTTCCCTTTCTTATGGACACTGGCAACACCCATAATTTTATAAGTGCCCATTGAGTTAAAACTTTGGGGTTGAAGTCTTCTTGTATATCAGATTTCATTGTTGTGGTGGCCTCTGACAAGGAGTTAATAGTTACTCGCAGTTGCTCGCAGATGGAGTGGCAGTTTAAGAACCATACCTTTCATGCTGATTTTTTGGTGTTACCTAGTACTTCACTTGGAGTTATACTAGGAACGCAGTGGTTCAAGACGTTAGGTGAGATACGATGGAACTGTGGTGAGCTTACAATGAAGTTTGAACATGATGGGCAATTGGTATGTCTCCAAGGCGAGCAATCATTAGTGGTTGTAGAAGAGCTTAATGGGAAACTACACCCAGCAAAATGAAATGTTATGTTATTAGCTTTGCAGGGACTTTTTCACTGTCAAAATGGTATGGATATTACATTACCCAAGTTGACATCTACTGAGCAAGATGAATTGACTACTTTATTGACAAGTTTTGACAAGCTTTTTCAAGAACCTACGACCGTACCTCCATGACGTAGGTATGATTATAAGATTACTTTGGTCTCTGACACACCTGTTTGTTTGAAATCATATCAATATCCACATGCACAGAAAGAGGAAATTGAACGACAGGTCAAGGCTTTACTAGCTACGGGGTTCATTTGAGAAAGTGGGAGTTGTTATGCTTCACCTTTGGTATTAGTAAAAAAGAAGGATGGTTTATGGAGATGTTGTACTGATTTTCGAAGGTTAAATTCTTTAACCATTAAAAACAAATTTCATATTCCTCTAATTGAAGATTTGTTGGATGAATTGCATGGTGCATCATATTTTTCTAAATTAGATTTGCGTAGTGGATATAATCAGGTTCATATGGCTAAAACGGATATTCACAATATAACTTTTCGTACTCATAGTGGTCACTGTGAATGGGTAGTCTTACCATTCGAATTAAGTAATGTTCCTGCGACATTTCAAAATTTAATGAACGACATTTCGTGAGCATCTTCAAAAATTTATTTTGATTTTTTTTTATGATATTTTAGTATATACTCAATCTTAGACAGATCACATACGATGTTTGCAGATTGCCCTGATAATATTGGAAGCTAATAATTTGGTCCTCAATTTCAAAAAGTCCAGCTTTGGTCAAACACAAATTGAGTATTTGGGTCATCTAATATTTGTAAAAAGAGTGCAACCAGAGCCAGGGAAGATTTTGTCAGTTCAATAATTGCCACAATCGAAAAATGCGAAGGAGTTACGTGGATTCTTAGGCTTTATGGTAAAATTGTTCAACCTTTGACCTTGCTCTTACAAAGGAGATGTAATTTAATTGTACTACGACATCAAAATCCTCCTTTAATACCTTAAAGAAAGCATTAATTACAGCTCCGGTATTGGCCTTACCCGACTTTGGACAACCATTCACTATCGAGATTAATGCTTTGGGTGTAGGAATTGGTGCGGTTCTCATTCAAAATGGTCATCCATTAGCCTTTAGTAAAGCCATGGGAGCAAAGTATCAGTTATTCTCAACTTATGAGAAGGAATTTTATGCTATCTTATTTGCCGTCAAGAAATGGCAACAATATTTTCTAGGTTAGCAGTTTATAATCAAGACTGACCAAAAGGTATTAAAACATCTATTGGAGCAACCTCCAACTACGTTTATGCAGAATTGGGGCTTAGAAAAGTTAATGGGATTAGATTTTGTCATTCAATATAAAAAAGGTAATGAAAACATAGTTGTTGATGCTCTAGAAGACTACAATAAGGGACATTGGCTGTCATTTTCCATGTGACTTCTCAATTATTTATGGAGACAAAAGATTCTTGGAAAACAGATTCGAAGCTGCGGAAGTTAGTTGATAAAATAAGAGTACAACAAGAACCATATAAGCACTACACTTTTGATAAAAAATTTCTTCGTCGTAAAGGAAAGGTAGTTATTGGAGTAGATGATATCATAAAAACTAACATATTGAATAACTTTCACAATTCTATGGTAGGAGGACATCGGGGGCTGATCTCACCTATAGACGTATTAAATATCAGTTTTATTGGAAGGGTCTGCAGAAAGAAGTTAAAGCTTAGGTTCAATAGTGATGTGAACATGACCTATGATAAGGGCTAGAGCAAGGGAAACAAAGGAAGTTCTTCAACAAGTATTGTTGGTTGACCAAATTGTGTTTTGGATTAATCAATTAATGGGCTTTAGTTTGATTTTGTTTTAAGTTGTAATAAGGGCCCAATTGAAAATTTAGTCATCAGCCTTTGAGAGACCAAGGGGTGCATAGTTGATTGACTTTTGGTTGTCACAGTTTCAGATACAATCAGTCATTAAGTAGTTTCAATTCCTAGGTTAATGGATCATTATTAGCCTTTATTTGTTTCCATTAAATAGTTTTCAATTCCTAGATTAATGGGCTATTATTAATATTTATTTTCTTTTATTGAGTCTTTTGTAATTCTGATGGCAACACTTCTATATCAGCTGAACCATTCTTATCAAGAAATAACAAGTTGAGTTTTATTCAGAAATATTAGAGTTTATCTCTTTTATCTTAGTGAGAGTGATTCTCCTAAATTCTTGAGTGATTCAAGAACCCTTGGCTGTATCAAAGGACTGTCTGTGTTGCCTCCCTTGGGAAGAGTGATTCTTTCATTCCACCTTCTTTCTAATTCCTAAATTTCTTACAAGGTTCTAACCCTAAAGATCCTAAATTACCCCTTGTGATTCATATCATTTGGTATCGAGCTCTCGGTTTAAAGGTTTGAACATTAAATTGATGGCGTAAGAGGAAAATTACAATCAAGAAGCGAGGAATTAGTCCAATTCAAATGAGAGTATTGGTACAACATTTGGAAGGATTAATGATACGACATAACAATGAGCTTTATGAAAGATTGAACCGGTTGGAGAATAGAAATCTTGAAGACGAAGAAGAAAGGAGAAATAGGAGAATGAATGATGGAGTAATAAGACCAAGTAGGCTTGAAGGAGTCAAGCTTAACATTCCTCCGTTCAAAGGAAAAAGTGATCCAGAAGCATACTTGGAGTGGGAGATGAAAATAGAGCATGTTTTCTCATGCAACAATTATGAGGAGACCCAAAAGGTGAGGCTTGCAACAACAAAATTTTCTGACTATGCTCTTGTTTGGTGGAACAAGCTACAAAAGGAGAGAGATAGAAATGAAGAGCCAATGGTTAATACATGGACTGAGATGAAAAGGATCATGAGGAAGCGGTATGTGCCGACTAGTTATGCAAGGGACTTGAAATTTAAACTCCAAAAACTTACTCAAGGCAACAGGGGGGTTGAGGAGTATTTCAAAGAAATGGACATGCTCATCATTCAAACAAAGATTGAAGAAGATGAAGAGGAGTTTGTTGATATGGAGGATTTACTTCATAAAGCAATTCGAGTGGAGCAACAACTCAAAAGAAAAGAAGTGACTAAGAAGAGTTCTACCAACTTTGGATTTTCAAGTTGGAAGGACAAAGGCAAAAAAAGATGGGATTGTTACTTCTAGTAGTTCCACACCTATTCCTACAAAGACTCATTCAAAATATGAAGAACAACCCTCTAAAAAAAGTAGAGATGTGAAGTGTTTCAAGTGTCAAGGCCTAGGACACCATGCTTATGAGTGCCCTAACACAAAGACCATGATTCTTAGAGAGGGAGAATATATAAGTGAATCTGAGGTTGAAGAGGGAGAAAAGAGTGAAGACACTGAGGAGGAGGAAGAGATTCCAAAGGAAGATTTATTGATGATTAGGTGATTACTTGATAGTCAATTGAAACCTATGGAAGAAAACCAAAGAAAAAATATTTTTCACACTAGATGTTTAATCAATGACAAGGTGTGCATGATGATCATATATGGAGGTAGTTGCACCAATGTGGCTAGTGCTAGATTAGTATCAAAGCTAAATTTAGCTACCAAACCACATCCTAGGCCATATAAACTCCAATGGCTTAGTAAGGATGGAGAGGTGCAAGTGAGACTACAAGTTGAAGTGGACATTTCCATTGGAAAATACAATGATAAGGTGCTTTGTGATATTATTCCTATGGAAGTCAGTCATTTACTTTTGGGGAGACCATGGCAATTTGATAAAAGGGTTAATCATAACGGGTTCACCAACAAGATTTCTTTCATACACCAAGACAAGAAGATTGTGCTCAAACCTTTGCGTCCACAAGAAGTATGTGAGGATAAAAAGAAAATGAAAGAAAAACTTCTTCAAGAAAAGAGAGAGAAAGAAAGCGTTAGTGAAACACTTGAGAGGAAAAAAAGTGATCAAAAAAAGAGTGAAACACTTGAAGTGAAACAGAGTTATTTAGCCATAAAAAGTGAGTCTAATGTTTGTTCTACATTTAATTTGTCAGACTTATCTCTTTTTAATGTAGATGACGAATCCGATTTGAGGACAAATCCTTTTCAAGAGGGAGAGAATGATGTGAACATGACCTATGTAAGGACTAGAGCAAGGGAAACAAAGGAAGCTCTTCAACAAGTATTGTTGGTTGACCAAATTGTGTTTTGGATTAATCAATTAATGGGCTTTAGTTTGATTTTGTTTTAAGTTGTAATAAGGGCCCAATTGAAAATTTAGTCATCAGCCTTTGGGAGACGAAGGGGTGCATAGTTGATTGACTTTTGGTTGTCACAGTTTCAGATACAATCAGTCATTAACTAGTTTCAATTCCTAGGTTAATGGATCATTATTAGCCTTTATTTGTTTCCATTAAATATTTTTCAATTCCTAGATTAATGGGTTATTATTAATATTTATTTTCTTTTATTGAGTCTTTTGTAATTCTGATGGCAACGCTTCTATATCAGTTGAACCATTCTTATCAAGAAATAACAAGTTGAGTTTTATTCAGAAATATTAGAGTTTATCTCTTTTATCTTAGTGAGAGTGATTCTCCTAAATTCTTGAGTGATTCAAGAACCCTTGGCTGTATCAAAGGACTGTCACATCCTTTGTGTGTTGCCTCCCTTGGGAAGAGTGATTCTTTCCTTCCACCTTCTTTCTAATTCCTAAATTTCTTACAAGGTTCTAACCCTAAAGATCCTAAATTACCCCTTGTGATTCATATCAAATAGTGTAGTAGTTGTCAGAAGAATAAATATATCTTACAGAAACCTGCTGGTCTATTACAACCTCTAGACATTCCCAACCATGCTTGGAAATCCATTTTAATGGACTTCATAGTCAACCTTCCAAAATCCAATGGTATGACAGTCATTTTTGTGGTCTGTGACAGGTTCACTAAGTATGCTCAATTTATGTCTTTGGCTCACCCATATGGAGTTGCAAAAGTAGCACAAGTTTTCTATGACTTTGTGGTTAAATTACATGGTTGGCCATCTGAAATCATTTCTGACAGAGATATAGTATTTTTTTAAGTTCTTTTTGGACAGAATTAATGAAGACTCAAGGAGTTAAATTATTGAGATCCACGACATTCCACCCACAAACGGATGGGTAGACAAAAGCTCTTACGTTGTGTTATAGGAGAATTACCTACAAAATGGGCTGATCATATTTCATCTGCAGAATTATGGTACAACACCAAATACCATACGACCACAACGATGACTCCATTTGAAGCTTTATATGGCTATCCACCTATAGTACCGAATTTGACTCTACAGGGAGATTCTTTGGTGGAAGCAGTTACCTATACGGTGAAAACTAGAGACCATATTTTAGAAATTTTGCGGCACCAATTACATATTGCACAACAACGTATGAAACGCTATGTTGATCCCAAACAGGTCAATAAAGAATTTACTTGTGGTGATTTTGTTTATTTGAAAATATAAACGTATAAATAAATGACTTTAGCCAACACATCCTTTCACAAATTAGTTGCTCGATATTATGGACCATTTCAAATATATGAACATATTGGGAAGGTCGCTTACAGGTTAGATATGCCTATGGGATCTCGAATTCATGATGTTTTTCATGTCTCATTGTTAAAACAACATCATGGGGACAATCCAGTATCCACTGAACTCCCTATGTACAATGAAGATGGGGAAATGCAACCTACACCTTTAGCTATTCTGGATAGACGCTTGAAGAAAAAAAGTAATAGACTAGTAACATAGGTATTAGTCCAATGGTCTCATACTAATCCTGGGGATGCTATTTGGCAGGAATTACACACTTTGAAGTACACCATCTCGAGTTTGTACGGGACGCTACAAGGACTTGTGGGCAAGTCCTTTTGGATGGTGGAGATATTTGTAATAATGCTCTGTAATAGATAATCGTTTAATAATTCTGTTAGTTAATAATTTTGGGTAAGTTTGTGTAAACCAAAATTATATATAGAGTAGTTGACTTCTATGAGGGGAATATAATAAAGTTTTTTCTTTTCCGCGAATCTTCAACAATTTTTCTTGTTAGTATTGTGAGTGAGTACTGTGCAGTGTGAGTGTGAGTCTTTGGTGTGGAGGTGTGTGAGGTATTTCTAACCTTACAAGATATTGAGATATAAAGAATTATCACAATCACACATATTAGAGAACAAATAATAAGGTTTTTCGTTCAACATTTCTTGTTTTGTATTGTATATTATTGTTTGTTTTATATTGTATGCTTATATTGTTTGTATATTTTGTATTGTATGATATCTGCACTCGCTGCAAAAAAAAATTTACGTTGATTACCTCTAGGGTTCAACGTAAATTTATGTCTTCCGTACTAACGTGGAACTTGTTTATGATGTAAATTATAATAGTGCAAATATAATTTCTCATTTGTTTATTATGCCCTCGTGATACATACTAAACTGTTATCTGAAACGAAGGTGATCCACGGGCGTTGGGCTATGCTTGGACCACTAGGATGCATCACCCCAGAAGTGCTTGAGAAGTGGTTGAGAGTGGATTTCAAGGAACCAGTTTGGTTCAAAGCAGGAGCTCAAATATTCTCAGAAGGTGGTCTAGACTATTTGGGGAACCCCAACCTTGTGCATGCACAAAGCATCTTGGCAGTGCTAGGTTTCCAAGTTGTGCTGATGGGTCTTGTTGAAGGATTCCGCATCAATGGCCTTCCTGGTGTAGGAGAGGGCAATGACCTCTACCCTGGTGGCCAGTATTTTGACCCTGTCACCTTTGCTGAGCTCAAGGTTAAGGAGATCAAGAATGGTAGGTTGGCCATGTTCTCCATGTTTCGCTTCTTTGTCCAAGCCATTGTGACTGGGAAAGGACCACTTGAGAACCTTTTGGATCACCTTGACAACCCTGTGGCTAATAATGCTTGGGTCTATGCCACCAAGTTTGTGCCTGGCTCTTAAATTTGGTTTCCCTTTGCTTGGTTTGTGTGAATGTCATTATATGGGAATGTCCTTGTAGATTAACTGTCACAGTATTTGTCAGATTAGTGGACTCTTTGGTTCATTTTAGAACCCAGGTTCATCCATATAAACAAATCAATTGGAACATTGAAAAAGAAAGTGACTTGACTTATAATATCTCACAAACTTGAAATTGGAAAAACGAATGTCAAAGCTCTTATAACATCATCTACAAATTAAGAAAAATCATGTGCTTATATTGATTGACTTTTTCAAACTTGTGCTTAGAAAAGGTTATGAAATTCACATTATTTATTAGAAGCTGACCTATCTTGTGGACAATACAGATATTGTTTTTAAGAGATAAATGAATATCCTTTCTTTGTGAATATTTGTATTTAAGTTAAAATGGTAGAAAAATAATAATTTTGATAAGTGAAAGTGTAGACTGATATTAAGATAGTACCTAAAAGAATGAAGATTCTTATTTATTCCTTAAATATATATAAGTGATAATTATGTTTTATTGTTAAATTTCATGGGATCATTTTGTGAACAAATTCTAATATTTAAGAATCAATTTGATAATAAATTATATTTTTAAGAACTAATTTAAAATTAAGTTGAAAAAGTTAGAGACTAATTTGCATTATAAATGTATCTAAACACTAAATTATATGTTTTTTTGTTAACTAAAGTATTACCAATCTACATATTAGTGATTTTCCAACAAATTAAACTTTGTCTTCTATACTTGTTGTATCATGCTTTTTTAATTTATTTTCAACCAAACATTTATCAAACAGATTTGTGCTGTCTTATGATTTAAAAAAAAAGGGTAAAACAATTATATTTGTTTGGTTGCAGGATTTTTTTTTAATAAATAACCAATTCAATTATTAATTTTGAGAGACATCATCAATTTAATTCTTAAAAATATGAAATATTAATTTTAATCCATGAATATATACAAAATGTTATAATTATATCTTATTGTTGAGTTTTATAAGAATATTTTGTTCTTTATAATATTAAAGATTAATTAAAAAAATTTATTCATCTCATTCATTCAAAAACAAAATAGGTCAATTGATAAAAAAAATATGATTATGATTCCAATAAATAGTTTGCATGTAATTGATAGTTATGGATCCAAATATTCCTTCTATAAATTGACATATTGTAAATCTAAGGGTCTTTGTTTATTATTATAAGATATTATGTCTATGTAATTGTCCTCAACATAAAGCATATAAATATATATATATAGAGAGAGAGAGAGAGAGAGGTTCCTTTTATCAGCCATAAATTCTAGTCTCCAAGAAATATTGCATAACAAACAACAGTCATTCTCCAATTTTTCATATTTCAATCCACAAAGTTGCATCGCCATTGTCATTGCCATGTTTGAGTTGAACTTGCTCAGAGAAGTTTTTTAAGGATTCATGTCCACTCAAATCGATGTCATTATTAACCAACTTCACTTTCTCTGTTAATTCATTTACCCGTTACCTGATTCGACTATGTTAATGAATACTGCAAAAAATTCGGCTTTGATTTGCTTCTTTACAAGTGTTGATTATTTGTCTTGTGGTGTTACTCATCACAGAAAGCTCTCTGCTCTTGCCATTGCGCAAGCCTCACCCATTACACAAATCAAAACATGCTCAAAAGAAAACGAACCTTTGAGCTTTGGCAACCACCCTAACCCCCAAGTTTCATGCTTTCCTCTGAAGGGGTTTTCAATAATTACTGAATTCGTTGTTGGGAAAGCACTGCACGCGTTTCTCGTGAAGGGTGTCCTTCGACTAGGCACATTCCACACAAACACCTTGATCAGCATGTACTCTAAGTTTGGCTGCATCAAACACGCGCAACACGTGTTTGATAAAATGCTTGACAGGAATGAAGCTTCCTGGAACAACATGATGTCGGCGTTTGTTCGAGTGGGGTTGTACCATGAAGCAATGAAATTCTTCTGCCTCATCCTTGACCATGGTGTCAGGCCAAGTAGTTATGTGGCCGCTAGTTTGGTGACTGCCTGTGCTAGGTCGGGATGCATGGCTGACAGCGCACTTCAGGTTCATTCCCATTTGATCAAATGTGGTTTGGTGTGTGACGCGTTTGTTGGCACGAGTTTGCTGCACTTCTATGGTACGTGTGGTCGTGTTTCTGAGGTTGACAAACTCTTCAAGGAGATTGACGAACCTAATATAGTGTCATGGACTGCTTTGATGGTTGGGTATGCATATAACGGGTGTGTAGAGGAGGTTCTGAGTGTTTATCGGCGTTTTAGACATGATGGAGTGTACTGTAATGAAAATGCAATGGCTACCGTTATTAGGTCTTGTGGGGTGCTTGGAGATAAAATGTTGGGTTATCAGATGCTTGGTAGTGTGATAAAATCTGGACTGGATACTACTGTGTCCGTCGCAAACTCCCTTGTTTCTATGTTTGGTAATTGTGATAGCATAGAAGAGGCGTCTTGTGTGTTTGATGGCATGAAGGAACGTGACACTATTTCATGGAATTCAATAATTACTGCAAGTGCACATAATGGTCATTGTGAGGAATCTCTAGAATACTTTTCTCAGATGCGGTATACTCATACAGAAACAGATTATATTACTATTTCAGCCTTGTTACCAGTCTGTGGCTCTGCTCAAAATTTGGGGTGGGGAAGAGGGCTTCATGGTATGGTAGTAAAGTCTGGACTGGAATCAAATGTTTGTGTGTGCAATAGTCTTCTAAGTATGTATTCTCAGGCTGGAAAATCTGAGGATGCAGAGTTTGTGTTTCATAGAATGCCAGAGAGAGATTTAATTTCATGGAATTCCATGATGGCAAGTCATGTAGAGAATGTAGAGTATCCACGTGCTCTACAAATTTTGGTTGAGATGCTCCAAACAAGAAAGGCAACGAACTATGTAACTTTCACTACTGCATTATCTGCCTGTAATAGTTTAGAAAAATTAAAGATGGTTCATGCCTTTGTGATTCTTCTTGGTCTTCATCACAATTTGATAATAGGTAATGCATTGGTTACCATGTATGGGAAATTTGGTTCGATGGCTGAAGCACAATGGGTGCGCAAAATTATGCCGGAGAAAGATGAAGTAACTTGGAATGCTCTAATAGGTGGGTATGCCGATAACAAAGAACCTAATGCAGCAATTGAAGCCTTCAATTTGATGAGAGAAGAAGGTGTGTCTGTCAACTATATTACAATTGTTAATCTTCTCAGTGCTTGTTTTTCTCCAGATAACCTTTTGGAACACGGAATGCCCATCCATGCACATATACTTGTAGCAGGCTTTGAATTAGATACATTTGTCCAAAGCTCCCTAATTACAATGTATGCCCAATGTGGTGATCTTAATACAAGTAACTATATTTTTTATGTGTTAGCTAATAAGAATTCTAGTACTTGGAATGCCATTGTTTCGGCAAATGCTCATTATGGACCTGGTGAGGAGGCACTAAAGCTTATAGTAAAGATGAGGAATGATGGCATTCATTTAGATCAGTTTAGCTTCTCCGTAGCTCTTGCCATTATTGGTAACTTAACTTTACTGGATGAAGGTCAGCAGCTTCATAGCTTGATTTTCAAACAGGGGTTTGAGTCAAATAATTATGTGTTAAATGCAACTATGGATATGTATGGAAAATGTGGGGAAATTGATGATGTATTTAGAATCCTTCCCCAACCAGGAAGCAGGTCACGGAGGTCTTGGAACATATTAATATCAGCATTAGCCAGGCATGGTTTTTTCCAACAGGCTAGGGAAGCGTTTCATGAGATGCTTGATCTGGGACTGAAACCAGACCATGTCACTTTTGTTTCACTTTTGTCTGCATGCAGCCATGGGGGTTTGGTGGACGAGGGCCTTGCATACTTCTCTTCAATGTCTACCGAATTCAGTGTCCCCACTGCAATAGAACATTGTGTATGCATAATTGACCTTCTTGGGCGAGCAGGAAGGCTTACTGAGGCTGAAAGTTTCATTAATAAAATGCCGGTTCCACCAAATCACCTTGTATGGCGTAGCCTGTTGGCTTCATGTAAAATACATGGCAATTTGGAGCTTGCAAGGAAAGCTGCTAACCATCTTTTCGAACTGGACTCATCGGATGATTCAGCCTATGTCCTTTATTCAAATGTCTGTGCATCAACTAGAAGGTGGAGAGACGTGGAGAATGTAAGAAAGCAAATGGAATCACACAACATAAAGAAGAAACCTGCATGTAGTTGGATCAAGCTGAAAAACCAGGTTACTACTTTCGGAATGGGCGACCAGTATCATCCACAAAATGCACAAATCTATGCAAAGTTGGAAGAGCTCAAAAAGATCATTACAGAGGCAGGCTATGTGCCTGATACTAGCTATTCATTGCAAGATACAGATGAAGAACAAAAGGAGCATAATCTTTGGAACCATAGCGAGAGAATTGCCCTTGCATTTGGGTTGATCAATAGCCCAGAAGGCTTACCCCTTAGAATTTTTAAGAATATCCGTGTCTGTGGTGATTGCCACTCTGTTTTCAAAATGGTTAGTCAAATAATTGGCAGGAAAATCATACTAAGGGATGCATACCGGTTTCATCATTTCAGTAGCGGCATGTGTTCCTGTTCAGATTATTGGTAGAAATGAGAATTAAATTTATACTTGCTAAATTCGATTCCTTTCCAACCTGGATTTGGCTAGAAAAAATGCAAGTTTGAGTTTTCGCCAGGATGAGAAATGTAATTTTCACTCCGATTCACTACATCACCCAAATTTATATTTAAATCAAAATCTTAAAAATATTCTTTTATAAGTTTTTTTTTTCATATTATATAAATAATTTCTTTTATATTTAACACTTTTAACATCTTCTCTTACCTATTTTTACTTTTTTATCTTTTCTAATTTTTTAAATTAATAAATTGGTTATATTATTATCTTTTCGTGTTTCTTTCCTTTTATAATTTTATTAATTTTTTTTTCAATTTCTTCAATTGATTTTTTAATCTCTTTTATCAATTTGACAAACACAAAAAAAAATATATATATATATATATATATATATATATATATATATTAATATTATTTTATTTTTAATTTATTTTTATTAGATATTATTATTTTTGTCCTATATTAAATTTTATTTTAATATAAAAGGGTTTTTTTTTTAAAGAAAACTGAGGAGGGATAGATTAAGGACTTTTTTTCATAAATAATATTGTTTTCAAAAATATTTACCCAAATAACACTTCGCAACTTTATTTACACAACTAGCACTGCTTACCGTTCACGTAATAAAATAATATTATTTTGCGCAATCGTTCATCGTTCATCTGTATTAAAATAATATTATTTCGCATCGAATTCTCGCTCAAGCGAAGAAAACCTTCGCCTGAGCGAGGAAACCTGTAACAAAGGGGTAATCGGGTAAATTCTCGCTCAGCGAAGGTTTTCTCGCTTGAGCGAAAAGTATGATCGACTATTATCCAATTATAGTCGATCACTTTGACATATATGACTTTAGATAGCGGTTATTTGGCCAACCGCTATCTAAACTACTACATAAGATAGTGGTTATTTTCCCAACCGCTATCTAATATAGTAGTTTAGATAGCGGTTGGCCAAATAACCGCTATCTAAAGTGACTCAAGCGAAAATCACACCGCTTGAGCGAGGACACCTGGAAACAAGGGGGACTCTCACGTTCTGTTTCGCTCGAGCGACGCGGACTTTCGCTCGAGCGACAAAGTGATTGAAATCTGTTTCAATCGATTATAACGTATTTCAATCGATTAAAATAACTTGGAAAAATTTTGTACAGAGTTTCAATCGATTAAAACGCGTTTCAACCGATTAATACAACTTCGAAAAAGTTTGTACAAAGTTTTACTCGATTAAAACTTCTTTTTATCAGCTAAAATAACTTTGAATGTTTTTATAAGAAAGTTTTGCAGTATATCAATCGATTAAAACACGAAACAATCGGTTGAATCAAACTTAAAAAAGTTTTGTAAAGTGTTTTAATTGATATAACCGTTGTAGTATCAGCTAAAACAAATCTGTTAAAGAATCAAGAACGTATTAATGGATTGAAAGGACTTTTAACAGATTGAAACGGCAATTTCAACAGATTAAAACAAACTGTATATAAACATTACAGTTTTCATACATCAATAAAAGGAATTCAGTACGTGTGATTTTGTAGGTGTGATTTTCCAGGTGTTTCCAGGTGTCCTCGCTCAAGCGGTGTGATTTTCGCTTGAGTCACTTTAGATAGCGGTTATTTGGCCAACCGCTATCTAAACTACTATATTAGATAGCGGTTGGGAAAATAACCGCTATCTTATGTAGTAGTTTAGATAGCGGTTGGCCAAATAACCGCTATCTAAAGTCATATATGTCAAAGTGATCGACTATAATTGGATAATAGTCGATCATACTTTTCGCTCAAGCGAGAAAACCTTCGCTTGAGCGAGAATTTACCCCAGATTACCCCTTTGTTACAGGTTTCCTCGCTCAAGCGAAGGTTTTCTTCGCTTGAGTGAGAATTCAGTACGCGAAATAATATTATTTTAATACAGTGAACAGTAAACAGTTGCGCAAAATAATATTATTTTATTACGTGAACAGTAAACAGTGCTAGTTGTGTAAATAAAGTTGCAGAAGTGCTATTTGGATAAATATTTTTGAAAACAGTATTATTTATGAAAAAAAAGTCTAGATTAAGAATATGAAAACTCGAAATCCAATAGGAAAAAACTTAATTTTTAATGTTGACAAAAACTTGATACAGATACAAGTACGGTTAATAAAATCGGAGACTTGATACTCGTCCCATCCCATCCTTTCCATTGTCATGTCTATTGGTAAGACATTGGATTTTGTTGGATAAAGCAGTTCAATATTTTTAATTTCCAAATTTTACAGATGAAAATTGGGGAATTATGAAGACTTGGGCTTGTCTTAGCAACAAAAGATTGTGTAATAATACGTTGGGTGTTGGATTTTCACTTAATTATTTGGGTAAAAAAAATTATTCGTAAATGATTTGTTTTAAGAGTAAAATGAAAGAACAATTATTCTTTTTTTCAACCTCAAAAGATTGTAAAGTGATTTATCTTATTTAACGATCTATGTTGGGTTTCTACACTCTTCACAATAAGTTTTTATCTGAACTGTTATATAGCCTTAGCCCAATCCACCGAACTTTATTATATATATATATATCATTATGTTCTGAAGCTTCATTAAGACAAAAAGACTTACCTTTCTAGATAATGAATTATGAGGTTAAGAGATAAATAATTTATTATGTGCCACCTTTGAGAATTGGTTAACGTGCCTAACCTTCCTTAATTTTGAATTTGGTTATTCTTGTTTAATATTCCATGTTTTCCTCTTCTTACACAGTTAATCTATACTGAGTCATTATATTTTTTAAATATAAATAAAAATTATGACTTTCGATAAAATTAAAATAATAAAAAAACTCGACCAGTCGAAAAAATATTATGTTATTATAATATAATACTTTTATACAAATATTATTGTCATTTTTTTTATCAATATTTTTTCTATTTACACTTTTTTTCACATTGAACACTTATTTTCTAATAAATTATTGAAATAATAAAACTTTAGAAAACTATATGAATGATATAATTTAAAGAACTGTCGTTTAAATTAAATGAAACATATGATTAGTTAAATATTAAACTAAAAATATAAAAGAGCAATAAATTATGTAGAATTGAGCTAGCTACGATTCCATTTCAAATAAATTATTACAGTAATTATGATAGAAGGATAATTTATTAAATTAAAATAATAAAAATATTAAATAAAAGTAATATTTGATGTTCTGAACTGAACATTCTTACCAACTCCACTTGCAACAGGACTGTCCTACATCATTTGAAAAGGGGTTTTCGTAGTTCATAAGTCAGGAACAGTAAATGTGTAGGGTTCATCAAAAATTGGAAGTTACTATAAAACATGAATACATATGATTACATACTAAAAGCTTTCTGATTTGCCTTCTGCAAATCTCTTTAGAAATTCTGTCGTATTTGAGGATCATTTTAGGTTCCGTGATAGATTTCTGACGCACATCTTCTCCATTTTGTCAGTATTTTTATGAAAAATAGGATTATTAATAATATAAAGAGTCATTGGAGTATTTCAAAATAGATGTATAGTCATGGAATGATATAGAAGAAGATACTTAAGCAATGATATATGCAACCTAAGCTCACAACTGGTAATGATCATAGAGTGTGAATATATAACAAAGTTGTATTTCAATGGCTTCTATCAGAGTTTGCTTAAACTGAGTTAGAATGTGAATACATAACAAAGTTTAGGGCTTGGATAAGCAAAATCAAGATATGTATTAGAGCCAATTGATGATTTTGTTTAATACCGATTTCCATAAACTTATTATATTGATTTTCATATGCTGCTATAATCTCTTTATTTGCCTTCACACTTGACATTGAGGAGCTATGAACAGTCATAAAGTTGGAGATCTCCTTAAAATTAGGGCACATACACATGACCATAACGTACAAGAAACATAAATATTTTAACGTGCATGATCCACCAACTTAGAGAGTAATTGAGACTTAACCATTTATAGATCTATAAATAAGTCTTTAAGTATCGCAGACATTCTTAAACTTATCAACTTGTGAAATTACACCAAACCTATAGAGATATTCAGGAAATCACCAACCACTAATTATCATTCATGAATTAAAATGCATATAATGTAATACTGATTCAATTTTCATAACCACTAGAAAACTGTATACTAGTTGGCTCGAGTTATAAGAAACCAACTTCATGAATATATGTTAAGTTCAATATTGGTAAAAGACAAACTATATAAAGTAGCATGATCTTTGAAGTTGTAAAAATCCATAAAATATCAGAGATTATGTTTGCAGCACATTACATAAAATGGATAATAATTATTCTTGAGCAGCAACATCTTGGAGTTCTGCAATGTCAAACAATGGAAGTCTTGAATTTCAAATCCATGGTGATGGAGAGACTAGATGAAGCTCTTGGAAGTGACAGTAGACTTTTTGCCTCATCAACAATGGTCACAGAATCACAAATTATGGTCATTTTTTCCATCATGTTACCATTTGTAATCAGATGCTTAGCAAATTTAACTTCTTGCTCCCTCCCTCTAAATCCTCGAATAGTTGCATACTTCAACTTGTGATTAATGCAATTATAAGATATTCCTTCTCTCTCCCAAAACATTGAGTTGGGAAATGGTAAAGTTCCTTCATCAGAATCGTCATTGGAATTTGACACTTTATTCACCTGTATGAAAAAAAAAATACTATGTGAGCGCTTTAAAAGAGTGTTATTTGGAATATATCAATCATGCTAATTAAAAACCATATATGTTGAATTTTTTTCATTTTTTTCTACAACAATTTTTATCCAAAACGTTATATATAGTATTGGCCCAGTCTACTCCGCTTTATTAATAAGCCCAAGTCGACCTGAAGAATCTAATTAACATCTCATAAAAATAGATTATATTAAATAAATGTTATTTTAATAGTTAGGGAGAATTTTGTTAATATTTTAATAGATAGATCAACCTAGAGTTTTTAGAACATTAGATATCATATTATGCTTTGTATCCTTAATTTTATGTACAAACTTCTGTGAAGAGTTTGTAAGAAGTTGTATAATTTATTTATGTTTTACTTTTTATTTGATCTCTAGTGTTATTTATGTCCTAAAGATCTAGTTACAGGTCAAGGTAGCATCACTTAGGGTGTTTTTCCACAGTCAAAGGGAGAAAGGTATAAGGAGAAAAAATTAAAAAAAAAAAAAAAACTTATTTCCATTGAATATTATAACACAAATTTATTATAATATACCTTGTTAGAATACATTTGCAGTACCCCATAGTGACTTATGCAGTTCCAAATCATGGAATTTGGATTAAATCAATCTCAGCCACAGGACATTCATTCATGGGTCATCATCAAATAACTAGATTCCATAACCAAGCACCAAAATTTTCTATATGGTATATATTTATGATACTATTTTTATTTGTCTAGAATTTAATTTAAAAGTCAACAACATAATATAAAATTTAGTTGTACAAGGTTTTGGGGTAACATACCGGAACAGTAATTTCGAGATTTTTGAGGTAGAGACATGATCTTAGTACGAACGAGAGTGACAAAATTTCCCTTATATTGTTTAGATCCAAATCAATTGACAAGACAAATAGATTTTGAAAAATGTTCATGGTTCGAGATCCCTGCAAAGAAGAAATAAATTGTGAATTAGCACCAATACGCAATTCATCTAAAACCTTCATAATAACAAAATTAAGCACGAGATCACAACTTAAACTTACCAAAAGATGGCTGCAATTTTCAAAAATATCCTGAGTTTTTAGAACACGTACTTCTGGGTTATTAGCCTGCACTTTTTTAGTTGGTGCATTGTAAACATAATAGAAAGACTTGAGTTTTGGGGTGAAAATTTTCAAACCTTTTGGAGGGCAAATCAAAGAATTGAGTACCAAGACTTGAAGGTTCTCAATAAAAACATCAATCTCATCAACCACCAACCTTAGGAGTTCCAAATATTTGATTCTAGTATTCATGATTTTGAGTTCCTTGAACCCAAATGAGTCAATGAGACTAAATTTCTCCAAAAACAAGCAATTATCCAAAACACCATTAATGGTTTCAGCTCTCATAAACACTTTCTTTAGTTTGAGCATTGTCAGTTTTTCACAACTTTGGAATGCTGAAGATACTGCATTATTCAAAACATAATTGGTCAACTCAAGAGAATGCAGGTTTGAAAAAATCTTAGGTTTGAAATTGATTTTCACATTTGGAATTGACAGGTCTACTAAGACAGGGTCAACCTCTGGAATTGATAATTCACACTCTAAACTGAGAGAGGTTAACCCTTTGTTCAATATCACAAACTCAACCCATTTTTCAACTTCACCGACCAAGAGGCTTCGACGAAAGTGTTTAAAGCGACAGGTAGTCAAATCACCAAGATGCTGATGCAATACCTGATCCACAATTTTAGCATATATGTAAGCATGTTGTGAAGCATTATTAGGATCCAAAAACCTTAGCTCTCTGGATAATGAATTTTGAAATAAGGGATTTATCATATGTCTATTGTCAAAATCCAGGCGAGAGGCACGCTTCCACAAGGGTCCCCATCGCTTGGAAATGACACTGCTTCTCACTGCTTCGTCAATGGAAAGCGAAGAAATTATGTGTGACAACACTTCATCTGGGAGTTGGTTAATCATGCTTAACCTTCCATGGTTTCCTCCTCTCACACTGTTCATTTCTGCTTTTTCTTTCTTTTTTTTCTTCTGCAAAATGATATCTCAGGAAATGTTAATCCTAATGAAGAGTTTGGACCCTTGTCCTAATCATTTATAGTGGAGAGAATACTATGTTATTATAATAAAAAAATATTAGTATAATTTTTTTTTAAAGTTCATTGTTTTTATGTAGCACTTTTTTTAATTGTTTTTTCTTACGTCACCTAATTTTATTCTCTTGCATCAAATTTTGTGCATCACCTAGGTGTATTTTAATGAATAAATTGATAAGAGATTTATTTAAATGGTTTTTGGAAAAATATATTATATATGTAAAAAGATTTAAAAAGAACTTTAAAAAAAAAGAAGCATGAGAGAGCAGAGAAGAAAAGAAATATAAAAAGTGAGAATAAAACAAAAGAAATGAAAAAAAGAGGCAATATATAAAGTTGAGAATATATTTTGTTGATTGTAATTTAGGTTTTTAAACAATATTTTGTTTTTTTGTTGAAATTTAATGCTACATTTGAATTAATATTTAATATTTTTCTAGACAAATTTAATTAGTAGCAATAAATTATTGAAAAATATAAATTATCTTGACTGAATATATGTTTTGAAAATTATACTCGATTTTGAAAATAATCTAAGAGTTTAAATAATAATAATAATAATAATTATTATTATTATTATTATTATTATTATTAGTAATTAAATAACATATATTATAAAATTATAATCTCAATGACACTTAAAACTAAAGACACATCTTTAAAATTTATAGTATTCGAAATGACTTCTAAATTTCAAGAGTTAGAGAAATGTATTTTAGGTGCTATTATGATTTTAATCTCTTAAATATACAGTAATTTTTATTTTTATTTTCTAAATTCTAGAAATTTTAAAAAAAGTTAATATCTCAAAATTAAAAAATATAGTTTAAATTCCTAAACAGTCTAGGAAGATAATCTAAACTATTTTAAAACAAAAATCAATAACAAATTTATCTATTTTATAAATTATTAATTCTGTTCATAATTTAGATTAAAAATCAATAATTGAACTAAAACAAAATTAAATCGTCTATTTTATATAAAGTAATATTATATATTTAAAAATAATTAATAAACGTATAGAATATATCTTCTAAAGATTATTTTTATGATTTAATTATATTTTATTTAATATATATATATATATATATATATATTATGATAATAAACTTATATTATAATTATTAATAACATTATATAATTTATTTATAAAAACAAGAGATTGAAATTATAAATATTACAACCATTATAAAAATTATATCATACCTATTACTAACATTAGATAATTTATTTATAAAAACAAGGATTGAAATTATAAATATTACAACCATTAATATATATATATATATATATATATATATATATATATATATCACAGTTATTTTAAAACAATTATTTAATACTTTTATACTAAAAAATTAATCAAACTGAATAAAATATTCATTTTATTTAGTTCAAATTTGATATTAAATTAAAATTAAACTAAGTTAAATTAAAAATCAGTTTTAATATTTGATTTAAATAATTATTTAAAAAAATAACCAAATAATTAAGACGTAAATATCCCCATAAATACTTAATTTAAAAAGATAATAATAATAATAATAATAATAATAATAATAATAATAATAATAAATAAACTCTAAATATTAAAATTTAAATTATAAACTTTAAAATCAGAAACCCTAAATCTATTTTTTTAACAATAAGTTTAAATTTTAAATAAAAAATATAAATACATACGTTAAATTTTTTTAAGAAAAAAATTATCAAAATAACATCTATGTTAAAATTTTCATTAAAATTGTTTATTTTTTAAAACAAGTATTATTATTTTTTTCATTAAAATTATTTTCATTTAAAATCTAACTAATGTTCTCAGTTTTCCATTAAACATTATTATTTTTATATCTTCTGAACTTATCTCCGAATAAATTAGATTAATATATTCACTTACACCAAAGTAAAAGTAATTATTTTAATGAAATTGTTAGTCAATAGCTTTCAATTAATGTTATATTTAATTTTTGTTCCTACTAACATGAGTAAAATATTTTAAATTATGGAGGGAGTATTTATTAAAATAAAATAAGAGAATATTAAAATTATCATAAAAAATAAAAATAATATTAAAAAAAATATTACTTAAAAAGTTTATTATTTTACCATATGTTTGAAGAGAAGAGTGATAGTAAAAAAAAAAAAACATAATTTATGAAAACAACACCTAGAATAGAGGCTTACTGAATATTAAGAGTATATATAATAGAAGATGTATATCCTCTATTAAATAATTAATTGAAATTATTTAAAATAACTTTATTATTGGAGAAATACGCACTACGAAAAAAATGTTTATTATCTACGGGTAAAATCCGTAGGTAATGACAAAAATCCGTAGGTAATGTCACTTTACCTACAGATTTCTTTCCAGTAGAAAATTAGTAGGTAATTACCTACGGATTTATAATCCGTAGGTAATGCATTGCTTGGCATTACCTACGGATTATAATCCGTAGGTAATGCACTTACCTTAACAAAATATTTTTATTTATTACAACCCCCTCCCCTTTATATTATATTTTTATTATTTATTATATTTTCGAAACTTTGAATTATTATTAGATTAAGGAAATTGTCATTGGCAGGATTCGAACCCAAGCACTCGAGTTGGAGGACGATACTCCAACCACTAAGCTATTAGGTTATTTTGAAAATAATTTACAAATAAATTATATTTATATTTATCTATGTAAATATATAAATATAAAATATATATAAATATAAAAAATATATATAAATATAAAATATATAAATATAAAATATATAAATATAAAATATATAAATATAAAATATATATAAATATAAAATATATTTATATTTTGATATATTTATATATTTATATATTTATACAATTATATATTTGTATTTATATATTTATATATTTATATATTTATATATTTATATATTTATGTATTTATGTATTTATGTATTTATGTATTTATGTATTTATGTATTTATATATTTATATATTTATCTATTTATCTATTTATGTATTTATGTATTTATGTATTTATGTATTTATGTATTTATGTATTTATATATTTATATATATATTTATATATTTATATATTTATATATTTAAATATTTATATATTTAAATATTTAAATATTTATATATTTAAATATTTATATATTTATGTATTTATATATTTATATATTTATATATTTATATATTTAAATATTTATATATTTAAATATTTAAATATTTAAATATTTAAATATTTAAATATTTATCTATTTATGTATTTATGTATTTATATATTTGTATATTTATATATTTGTATATTTGTATATTTGTATATTTGTATATTTGTATATTTATATATTTATATATTTATATATTTATATATTTATATATTTATATATTTATATATTTATATATTTATATATTTATATATTTATATATTTATATATTTATATATTTATATATTTATATATTTATATATTTATATATTTATATATTTATATATTTATATATTTATATATTTTATATTTTATATTTATATATTTATATATTTATATATTTATATATTTATATATTTATATATTTATATATTTTATATTTTATATTTATATATTTATATATTTATATATTTATATATTTATATATTTATATATTTATATATTTATATATTTATATATTTATATATTTATATATTTATATATTTATATATTTACACGAATTAATATAAGTATAATTTAGTTGTAAATTATTATTAGAATATCCTAATAGTTTAGTGGTTGAAGTATCGATTTTTAATTTTAAGATAGTGGGTTCGATTCTCTGTAGTGATAATTTTTTTAGTTTAATATAATTTATCTACGGATAGTAATTAGTAGGTAATGCACTCGCAGTAATTACCTACGGATTTATAATCAGTAGGTAATGCACTTACCTTAACAAAATATTTTTATTTATTACAACCCCTTACCTTTATATTATATTTTTATTATTTATTATATTTTCGAAACTTTGAATTATTATTAGATTAAGGAAATTGTCATTGGCGGGATTCGACACTACGCTCGAGTTGGAGGCGATACTCCAACCATTAAGCTATTAGGTTATTTTGAAAATAATTTATAAATAAATTATATTTATATTTATCAGTGTAAATATATAAATATAAAATATATATAAATATAAAAAATATATATAAATATAAAATATATAAATATAAAATATATATATAAAATATATATAAATATAAAATATATTTATATTTTGATATATTTATATATTTATATATTTATATATTTATACATTTATATATTTTTATTTATATATTTATATATTTATATATTTATATATTTATATATTTATATATTTATATATTTATATATTTATATATTTATATATTTATATATTTATATATTTATATATTTATATATTTATATACTTATATATTTATATATTTATATATTTATATTTATGTATTTATGTATTTATATATTTATATATGTATTTATATATTTATGTATTTATATATTTATATATTTATATATTTATGTATTTATGTATTTATATATTTATATATTTATATATTTATATATTTAAATATTTAAATATTTAAATATTTATATATTTATATATTTATATATTTATATATTTATATATTTAAATATTTAAATATTTAAATATTTAAATATTTATATATTTAAATATTTATATATTTAAATATTTAAATATTTAAATATTTATATATTTATATATTTATGTATTTATGTATTTATGTATTTATGTATTTATGTATTTGTATATTTGTATATTTGTATATTTATATATTTATATATTTATATATTTATATATTTATATATTTATATATTTATATATTTATATATTTATATATTTATATATTTATATATTTATATATTTATATATTTATATATTTATATATTTATATATTTATATATTTATATATTTATATATTTATATATTTAGTTTAATATAATTTATCTATGGATAGTAATTAGTAGATAATTACCTACTGAATTACCTACGGATGATATTACCTACGGAAAATATCCGTAGGTAATGAATAATTGCTCACGGATAGAATTACGTAGGTAATATCCGTAGGTAATATCCGTAGGTAATGTACAATTTACCTACGAATTTTCATCCAGTGGGTAATATCCGTAGGTAATATCCAGTAGGTAATGGATAATTATTTACGGATAGAATTAGTAGGTAATATCAAGTAGGTAATGTACAATTTACATACGGATTTTCATCCGTGGGTAATATCAAGTAGGTAATGTAAAATTTACCTACGGATTTTTATCCGTGGGTAATATCCGTAGGTAATGTAAAATTTACCTACGGATTTGTATCCGTAGGTAATATTACGTAGGTAATAGGCTTTTTTTTGTAGTGACGATATAACAATTTAAATTGCTTAAAAAACATAAAAGATTGTTTTAATAAGCAACTATTATTTAAATAAAAATAGTTTTAGAATTTCTAACCGGATTTTTAAAATTTTCTTAACTATGGTAAGAATATCATTCCACAAAATACAATTTTCTATATATTAAAAAACTTATAAATTTGTTTACCATTATATGCTGTATACATAAATTTGTAAATTTCTATCCATTTCAATCAATAATAAAATATGTTAAAATTGTGTATTGACAACATTTTACTTTCTGAAAAAAACCCATAAAATCACAAATATTATCAAACAAAAAATACAATTAATTATATATATATATATATATATATATATATATATATAATAAGACACATTAAATGTATGTGCAAATATATTAATTTTGTTAAAAAAAACTTATTTTTTAAAAACTAATTTTATATATTTAAAAAAATAATTTCACTTCATTTTAAACAATTTATATTAAATTTTTACAAGTTTTATTTTGATAATAATTTTTATAAACATCTATACTTTTATAATATATTTATTTATATTTTAAACTTTGACAACTCAAAAATAATTTAATTCTTATAATTAAATATTAATTTAATATAATATTTTAATATAACAAAATTAATTAAAAAATTCATACACTTATTTTAATACGTATAAAAATATTATCTATTAAAAACAAAAGAAATTACATAATAAAAAGAAATAAAAAAATTAAATATTGAAAATTATTTATAACAATAAATATATAATAATTTTAGTTATTTTCATATCCAAAATATTTGTTGAATACGTTTTATAAAAAATCCCAATCAAAATAAAAAAATAATATTTATAAATAAATAGTATTTTTATATACACTAATTTTTAATGTTTTATAATATAATTTTTTATAAGAAAAATAAAAGTTTAATAAGTTTTAAAATATTTTATATAATGAATATGTAAACAATTATTTTATTTTCAAAATTTCAAAGAAAGGATAATAAAAACAAAATAATTAATTAGTTAATTTTTTTATCATTAAAAAGAAATAAAAATAAAATCTTTAAAATAAAAAAAATTAAATTATGGTTTGGATGAAACATTCCATAAAATTATTTATTTATTTATGTTTGAGTAATGTTTTTTTCTACAAATATCGTTATTATTATTTTTATGATATAAGTTAACTCTAATATAATTACTTTTATATATATATTGTTAAATAATGAGTTAATCATCTCTAATATCTATCTTTCTTTAATTAATTTTAACTAAAATTTTGTGATAGATATGTATAAATATGAAATATAATTTATATTTACTTAAAATAATAAATAGTAAAACTTGAAGAACTTTAAATTAAAACTAATTCATATATAATTAATACTTAGAAAAGCATATTGTTTAACAACATTTGAATTAACATAATAATCTTTAATATCAATTGTCAAGTATAAAATTTCATAAATATAAAATACATAGTCAAAATGTCAAATATTGAACCTATTTGACAGGAATGCTTAATTTAAACCATTGCGCAATACGAAAATATTTTGAAATAACAAAATTTAAAATTTTATTATGTGTGTGGATAATATATTTGAAATAGATGATTATACATGCTTTAAAATAATACAATAATCTTATTGGGCAGGAGTTTTAATTAGCACAAACCAAGTCATATTACACATTAATTTTATAAAACATATTGTCCTATAAAATAATACTGTTAAACCTATTTTGTTTTCTGAAAAACAGAATTTATGTGAAAATACAATTTCAAAAGAGTTCTAAAAGATAAAAGGACTTTTTTTCTCATAATCAATTATCTAACTATAATAATGGAAAGTTATTATCAATTATTCTACTTCTGAGAGAAATTATGGATATATCACTTTAATTTAACAATAGAAAAATGGTAAGATAATTTTAAAAAATTGATTAATTTTTTTCTTAAAATAGAATGCTTACATTCGTAACATTTCAATTTTATTTATTTATACTGTTATCAAAATTTTATGAGAAACATGTACAACTATTAAAATTATGTCATAACTATTCTTCCATATCCAAGGCTTTACTACATCATAAATTTTTCAAAAGAAGAATTTCTAATTAGTCTAATATAATAAATATTTATTTTATTATTCAAAACTCTTATTTTTATTTTATCAATACTCGGAGACACTTGAGAATTTTCAATATCAATACTTAAATATAAAACTTCATGTGTATAGGACATAACCAACATGCAACTAACTGGTTAAAAATATTAATATTAATTGCCATACTACATAATAAACATGCAACTAATTGGTAAAAAATGGTTTAATAAGTAAAACATGTAATTCGAATATCATATTGCATATTAGGATAAAGTCAGAACCAGACATTTCCTTATCCAACAAGAGCACTGATCATGGTAGAAACAACAGAGTTGCAAACAATTGTGTAGGAAAATATGAATTATTATTCCAAGACCAACATGCACGTAAAAGAACTATAGATTTCTATGAACTGAAACTTTATCTATTTAACCAACATAACAAAACAGACAGAATCTTTTTTTTTTTCGGTCATTGAAGATACCAAAACTTACTAATATCTTGTGGCGGAGTTTCAGAGCAAGTAACAACAGAATATACATGAGTTATTGCTGTTTTTCACCCAAAAAGAAAGGAGAAAAATATACAGAAAATATAGACTAACCAAACAACTATGCAATCTTACAAGTCTAAAACTATGCACAACCTATGTACTTACCCCATGTAACAAAATTGGTAGATACACAAATTCTTTCGCTTCACCAATGAGTAAATTGGTATAATAGAAGCTACTCCCCAAAAAGAACAAAGTTCATAACACCAATCACTCCCATTTTTAGTGAATCTTAAGAATTTCTATTATCAGCAAAGATGAAAATTGAATACCCTTATGCTCTCAAGCTTAACTTCCCCCACCATGTTCGCCTACCGTTCTCTGATTCTGCCTTATAAATCCTTGCCTTAGCCTCACGTAACCTAACCTTGTATTGTTTCTTCCATCCCTCAAATCTCTGTTTAAGTTTCCTAAGTTCTTCTACAGAACTTCTGTTCGCAGACTGCACCGGTTTAACACCGTACAAAGATTTTACTTCCTCATCAAAGTTCTGTGTTCGCTGCTCGAATTCCTTCATCAGATTGCTCACTGTAGTCAAAGTGCCATTGGCCTGTCTCCCTGCATCACAGAGACTACCAGAGAGCATTGGTGTGCTTCCACCAGGAGTTCGAGATCCCATGGACGTAGCATCTTCAGAATCATAACCATGAGGCAACACAAAATCATGTCTGACAGGTTGAACAGTAGCATTCTCAGGAGCAAGGCTTTTTCTAGCAGCAACAAGACTCGTCTGCATTGAAATTGCAATCAGAATGTATTTTAAAAATTTAAGTTGGATTATGAAACCCTCGTGCATCCGACTTGTCAGGTAAAAAGAAACGGTTTTATGGATTAGAAAATCAACAGACACTTAACTTCTCAGGAATCGTTTTATATCATCGGGAATGACAAATTCAAAGCTGAAATCAACTTGATATCAAACTAGCCTTTTATAACAATACCGACTAATTCTTCTTTGAGAAAACTGATACAAGTGATTGAGTGATAATAATTTATTTGATTATTTAGTAGAGGGAATGTGTTAGCATCCAATTGCTAGGTATGGGACATGACTAATGAGTCCCATGTTAGAACTATGAGACTCTGGTATTGGGGTCTCCCACCTGAGTATTTATCAGTATAGGACTAACTTGTTCATGTAGACTACAGGTGCATATACTATTCAAAAGTTTTGAACTGAAAACTTACTTGCAAAGATGCCATCTGTTTTTGCCAAGCCTCCTCCATTGTTTTCATTTTTTTCTCATACTCAATCCTCTTTCTCTCAGATTGTTTTAGCTGTTCCCTTAATTCAGTATATTCCTCTTCCTTTTGCTCTACAATAGCATCAGCCTTGTCAACCTGCCTTTGGAGTTCGGCTAAAGCTGAAAGCAGATTCTGAAGTGGCTCTTTGGACAAATCCTGCTAAATAAAAAAGGAGCGGGGGGGTTTATGTTTTGAAACACACCATGAAGATAGTGTTTGGTAGCATTCAGCTAAAAGGTTTCCATGATATTTGGTACAATTACAAAAGTACAAAGAACACTTTTTTAATTCCCGGCAGTTTACTTGTGAAAGCTGGAAGCAACAACACTGTTTTTTAATCTCGCCTAAGGGGCAAATTTGTTATATCGAATTGAATATAACTTTCAGCCAACTCCTGAAGGATGCAAGTATTAGTCATTGGAAAGTTGTCATGGGTATCCTTTGATACCTCCAAAATGCACCAGGTCACAAATTAATGTAAGAGAATAAAGACAATTCCAAAATTGGTTGTTACTCTAAAGCTGATTGGGCAGGATCACAATCAAACAAGAAGTCAACTTTTGGAGTTAGAGATATGATTTGATTATATTAAATAAGATATGATTGATTTAATCGAGCAATATCTTACCAAATATTTTCCCTTATTAGGTATTGATTTTGTTTCTTATTATTGTGTCTCTTCTCCGTTAGAAATAAGAATACTCGTTTGTACAGATCACACAAATACAACTAATCATTTCTATAGTATTACTGTAGTATTCTGACCCACTCCCTTGCATGGTTTACTTGACATGCTTGGTTGAACGGGGATCGATATCCCCTTGAATGCTTTCCTTATTTGTGATCCTATCCTCCAACATGATGTCTTGCTTTTGCATCCACCTTTCCAGCCACATCTTGATCTCTTTTATTCCCTCAATCTCTTTTATTCAGTATCTAATGCAGTTTGTGCTTGAATAAAATGTTGTATGGCACCTGAATTGGCTGCCTCCTAAACAAAAACCACCTTTTTCAATTTCTGAGTGTCTCTAGACTGAGTTTTTTCCACCATCTCAAAGACCGTACCTTTATCGAATTCAAGAAGTAAATCTCCAATGGCAACCATTCAAGAATTAAACATTTCATTTCCTCCAATGTATTTCAATTAAATCTCTAAAAGGGTATATCAACTCCATAGTTTCTCAGGAATATTTTCAAATTTGGTTCTGTTGAAAGTCCCACATCGCCTACCTCATGTCATTTGGTATGGTTTAAATACATGTTAGGCTACTCCACATATTGCCAATTGGTTTTATGTTGGAACTTTAATATGATATCAGAGCCAAAGCTTAACATCTGTCCGGTTATTGTCATGGGCCAAAAGTTGCCCTTTAGTTGGGTCAAAAGGTCCGGCAGGCTTCGTTGGAGGGGGTGTGTTGAAAGTCCCATATCGCCTACCTCATGTCATTTGGTATGGTTTAAATACATGTTAGACTACTCCACATATTGCCAACTGGTTTTATGTTGGAACCTTAACAGGTTCTTTGAAAAGCAAGTTTAGTCTTAAACTCCGACCAATTACAATCTATCCCACAAAATCCAAGAATTTATGCGCTAACTGAACATTGCTAATATACGATAGGCTCAACTTCTTAAACTCCGACCAATTACAATCTATCCCACAAAATCCAAGAATTTATGCGCTAACTGAACATTGCTAATATACGATAGGCTCAACTTCCCTTATACCCTGGAACTCTATTTGTCACAAGTTCTAGTCTGATAGAATAAATAATAACAGGAAAAGATACATTTTACCAGAATACAACTGAAGAATAATAAAATAGATGGAGATATATAAATGAAGACACGGGAAAACAGACTAATTTTAAGTGCAAATTTAAATACCTGTACTTCTGGTATTATCTTCATAAACGACTTCCGCCGAGGTTTAGCAGTTTCAGGATATTTCTTTGACCTATTTACAAGACTAGCATCCCTTCTAACCAGCCAACCACGAATTACTTCAAGAAAAGAAAACAGATAATGAGTAAATAATGTTCATCCTCAATAATGATGGTAAACATTGCAGTAAACTGAATCATACTAACCAGATTGTAATAGTATGATTGCATGGATCTCCTCCAGTTTTCTAGAATAAATTGTTATTGAAGACTTCACCATAACACCATATTTCCTTCTTGTATTTTCTCCACGAATAACTGCAATGCACCAAATTAGCAATTTAGAAACAAACTAGAACCTGGGACAATTTTATGATTTGAGTCATCAGTTTAGGCATCTAAATTTCTTCATTGAATGAGCATCAATAGGTTATTTGAATTATAATTTGAAAGTACAAGCCAATCTAAACTGACGTTTCTTTATAAATGTTTATGAAACATTTACTACACAAATCTTCATAAAGTGAAGAAAAATGTGCATACAATCATATATAGTTTTTCTCCAAAAGAAAAAATAATAAAGATACTGGGAAGTACATGATTGTAATGTTGTTACTCCATTTTTAAGTTCACAGAAACAACCACGAGCTTGATATCCACGAAAACATTTTTGAATCCAAAGTATTCCCTGCAAAATTTGTTTTCTCTTATTCTCCAGTGCCTCAATCTACACAATTAACCAGCGCACAAAAATAACTAAGTCAGAGAAACCACAATATGAATTAAAGTAAACTCAACCAAATCATCAACGTAGTTTAAAATTCTGCTAAGCAAAAGACTCATGGTTCAAACCAAGATACTATTTTATGTACCATAAAATACTATTTAGTAGAACCAATGGTTGAAAACCTTTAAGTGGCATACAGCTCTTCAAAGTTCAATTAAGCTAAAAAGATGTTTCCAATGCCAAACTATGGACAGGTAGTTACAAACTTAACCAAGATGAAGCAGTGGAAGAAAACAAAAAGTAGAAAGTATGACTTCCAAGCCGTGCAAGTAAAACTTAAGACTTTAGACATACCTGCCCTGCTCGAAGATACAATTTGGTGATACCGAGATGGTACATTTCAGAAGGGATATTAAATTTTTGTAAAACAGCAACTGAAATGCTCAATGGATCATGCAATTCGTTGGCCTCAGAAAGCATAAACCCATACCTAGATACATGAAGGAACAGATATCAACCTATCATTCAAGATTACCTAAGAACCATGGGAAGTTTCTCAACTACCTTCTTGAAAACTCTTGATGGGTCATTCGAGTAGGATATCCAGCCCTTGAAAGTCTAACAACTTCTAGAACTCCACAACACCTGAGCTGTTGTAGGACAAGGCCTTCATCATAAATGCCAGGAAGGTGCTTAGTATTTGGCATTATGCAGCGAATGAAGTGAGGCGTGGTGCCCTCCAACTGATGTATCAACTTGAACAATTGAACCTACAAGTATTCCTCAATTATTTCTGTATACTTTCTGTACTTTGTTATTCAAACATGTAATTTTCAGGAGGGTAAGTTTACATTATCATGTTTAAATCTTCTTTAACAAGCCTTAGTCATTTCTTTTGAAACCTTAATTAAGCTAAGAAATGCAATAAAATTACCTTGAACTTTGTTGCAACACTCTGCTGTTGAGACTGGTTAAACATTTTGGAGAACAACTGCAGCAGTTCACAATTACATGAAGACAGGAATTGAATGGAATCAGAAGACATCGTGTCTCTGTTCTTTTCTAGAAAGTCATTTGTATCATACAGAACCTGATAGAGGTCCAGATGTTAGTAACGTGCATCCAATGAAAATGGCAGCTCAGACAGAAAATTAGAAATAATTCACTCAGATACTAAACAATACAAGATCCAGATTTAAAACATGAATCGTATGAATAATTGAATTCTTAGCATCTGAATGACGTGTACCAAACTGTTTCTAGAGAGTGAAATAATGGACCCATTACTTAGACATGTAAATATTGTAGGAAAACAGAATAAAAAACTTCTAAAATGAAGTAGAATTTGGATGAAAGTAAAACACCATGTTTAGAAACCAATTAAATGATCATATTCAGAGACTGAGGTCTAAGACCTTTTGCAAATAGCATGCGGGATACGATTATACTATGGATAATACAAGAGCTTAAAACTGTGATTTCTACTGCCCATATACATTACACTCTAGCATTATACATGTAATCTTTTGGAAAAGTATGCAAAATTTAGACAAGTAAATTGAAGTACTAATTCAGATACAAAATTAAAAGTAAATTTTGTCCGAACAAACTTATGTGGCTGCCTAAATAGTGGGCAGAATCTAACCTCTCCAGCATAGTGACAAACACGGAAAGCTCTGCCTCTTTCCCCTCTGAAGCAAGGATTAGGGTCCAGGTGATGTTTAAGTTTGGTGGCGAATGTTAAATCAGAAGCCTTGGGTAAATTTGACTCCTCATCTAACAAAGAGAGTAGACCAACAGGTTTCTGCACATTTTGCAATAGATAACATAATGACTACACCAATCATTGAGAATCATGTGAACACAGCCAACATTGGGACCTAAACACAACTTTATAAAAAATAATACATTAATAATATACTTTACAGAAAATCAGTGTCTGGAAGTGCAAACAAATCAAACTACAACCATAACAACGGCTCAGTTTCCCAGGAAATTGGAATAACTCAAGCATATAGAAACTAAATCAAATAATACCTTCTCAAATAGATCCAAGCACCCTTGATTGTCCTCAAAATCTACTTTAGTCCAATCAACGCCATCCAATTCATAGTCCTGATGAAATTAAAAATGCAATATTGCTGTTATGCACATCAGGCCTAATGAAGAACTGTTAGACATGAGATTGAAATTCCTGGCAGAGCTATTCAAGCCTATAAAAGGAGGAAGAATAAAAGTAAGTTATTTTCGGTATGGTGGTTGGGTTTTGTTGGAAATTATAAATACCCCTGTACTAGTAGAAGTGGGAGATAATCAATTTTTTATTGTTTTAACTGGAAGTGTCCAGTGTGAAAGTTGAGGGCTCCTTTGGGTACATTTTTGTGTATTCTTTTCTGTTTTCTTTGTACATCTAATAAACAAATATGTTCTCTTCTTTTCTTTGGAGACCTGAGCATCAATTGTTCAAGAAGTTTCTTTAAATAACCTAGGATCATACCTAGAGCACAACCTTAGCACATGATAATAATGTTATGCATTAGCAAAAAAAAGTTCTTGTTCTCAATGGATTGTTTTTCAACTCATATTAGACAACAATAATACCATACAATTTTAACTCTTTGAAATGTGTCCTTCATGATTACACCATAATGTTTACGTAGCATACCACTAATGACCATGATTGTATTTTAGCACAACCAACATGTTTAACTATTACACCAATTACACTGTTCAACACATGTTTTCAATGAATGCAGAAGTGTTAAAATCTAAATGTAAAGAAACAAAGTTAAAGGAATTACATCACCCTATTTTGTTCAAATTAAAGGCAATTAACATCAAACTAGGAAGCAATATTAACAATGGTTACCAACCTCCTGCTCAAGTTTAAATAGATGGCGATTAAAATGTTGTTGTATCCTTTCGTTGGCATAATTTATATAAAACTGCTCAAAGCCATTCTTCTGGAAAAGTGATACAAGAAACAATTAGAACATGTACAACATTCTTTGAAGCACAAGTACACATTAATACAAATTTCTCACCTGAAAAGTCTGAAATCCATAAAGATCGAGGATACTTATGGATTTCCCAGTACATTTTTTACCCATTTCAAGTGAGTTGTTAACTTGGTCTAAGAGCCAGTCAAACAAGTTTGCATAGACAAATGTTGCAATTGCATCTCTTCTTTCAATTGCCTGAACAAAAATGTGAAAAAGATAAACAAACAAACAAACATAGAAAGTGTATCAAGTGTTACAAGAGGAGCTAATCATGATTCTTGACCATACAACCAAAATTGAAGGGTTAAGATTAGATTTGAGTAAAACTATCTTATCCAATGATTGTATGGATAACTTCATGCATTTCTCACACTCCTGTATGCCTCCCCCCCCCCAACACACAAAAAAATAGAACAATGAAATGTTCTAATAAATAACACACCTGCCTCAAGGTCAAATTTTTGGTAATAGTATCCTCATCAGCTTGGATTTTATTGCTACATAATGCTGTCACTAATTCCTGGGTACTACAACCCATCAGCTGGGCAGCACTGGTTACAGCTGCAAAAAGAATTAGATTATTTAGATGAATTAAATTTACTCATAAGTTGTAAGTAAAATACATATATGCCCTCTAGAGTTAATATTTCAGTCAGTAAAACTGAACCGCTAAAAATTCCACTTCAACACAATAAAGACCAAAATTTAATTTCTGTACTGTATATGATATGGGATTACAAAGAATCCAAGTGAGTTCTAGTTTGCTTTGAGTTCAATGACACCAAATTAACATACACAAAACAATCAGGTGGAATAAAGGCCAAGCTACATTCTCTATCAATCTTACCTTCATCATCAACAACCTCAATGTGATCTCCTCTGCCTACTTGGAATGATATATTTCCCAACCATAGTATTGCAGCAAGCAACTTAAAGATCAGCTCCCGTTCCTCTTTACAAATTCGAACTGCATCCAGTGCTTCCTAGGGAAATTGCACAAGCCACGGGGAAATTATATGAGATGTTAGGGAATAATTAACACAGATTATGAGTTTTCTTGTAAACCAAACTAATGGTCAAGTGATATACCATCAGCTGATGAAAGTTTTTGGAATCGTCAACACCATCAATTGACATACAGTCACTCTGAACTAAATATTTATATTCATTGACAGCTCTAAGATTCAGTTTCTCTGCAGAGAAAAAGAGAATGATTTTATGAGTCAAAATATTTGTAAATTCAATCATGTTTTATAAAGAAAATACACTGCAAAGATAATATAATTTAAAAGCAGAAATTGGTGGCAGTTAATGTGTACAAAAATTAAATGTCTATGTAACATTAGCTTAATGAATTTAAAGAGGGAAGCAGAGATATATAATGATAACACTGCAAGGATCAAACTCCACATTTACATTTTAAATATTAAGGGTGGTAATTGAGCAATTTGGTTTTGTCTCAAAACAGTGATAAAAACATAGAAAATTTCTAACTTATCTTCAATAGTTGCTTTTTATAGAATAATGTTCATTGTATCTAACTTATTTTCAATAGTTGTTTTTTAATAGAATAATCTTCGTTGTATCTAACTCATTTTCATTGGTTGCATTTTTATAGAATAATCTCTGTTGTATTGAGAAAGAATAAAATCAAATGACGGGGTTGCTCTTTTGATATAAGCATGTAAACTGTGACAATGGTAACATAAGGGTAGGGTTTCCCCCAAAAAAATTCCATAAACGGAGAACTTTTTTAACATAAAAAACACTTAAATTCTTAGACATAAATATGTTTTTTATCCCTAATAAATTACTGAATTTTGTTTTGGCTCGTAATAACTTTTTAGAAAAATTTTGTCCCAAATAAATTTTTTATTTTGTTTTTAGTCCCAAAAATGGTTTAGATAGGGCTTTAAGAAGTGAAATAAAGTACTTTAGATACCACTTAAACGAAAAATAAAGTTAAAAATTTATTAGGGATGAAAAATTTCAAAAAAATAATTAGGGAACAAACACAAAATCCGATAATTTATTAAGAGACCAAAAAGATACTTAACATTAAGTTCTTTCAGAAAGGTACAAAAGAGTGGTCTACTTGACTCTCAGAGTTAACACTGATTGTTGTCATTTCAAGACATTGCAAATAACCCATACATATAAAAACAATTGTGTCATACAATAAATGATTCTGTTATGTAAAAGTATACAATTAACCAAGTTGATACAATTGCATAGAAAAAAACCTTTAAGATCAGATGAAGATCCAGCACAAAGTTGATAAAATATGTGATATGATCTCTCACCACTGGCCACTTGAACAACTCTGGACTGCTCAAATAGTCATGATTATTTCAGAAGTCACAAAAAATAAAGATAACAATTTCACTCTTAGCTCAGATAAGACATCACAAATTACCTTTTCCAACAATACTGTTCCAGTTAGCATATGGGTTTTTCATGTGACAAAAGCAAAGCCATGAAAATAAGTGAACTCAGTAATTGCAAAAGAAATGGAGATAAAAAGTAAGCATGTCTGCAATAACATATATAGCTTGAACAAGCTTACAGGTTTGAATTTTCGCCCCACATATTTTACCCATGCACCCGAAATGAATTTCAATCAACTTTCCCTGCACCAATTAAAATGTATATCAATTAAACGGCTCAACTTTTAAACATGATCCCAAAATGCTGCATAGCCTTCAATAATAGAACAATAGCATAATAAGTTTCATGATACAGTGGGGAAAAGCATAAACTCACAAATCTGCTAGAGTTGTTATTCCTAGATGTTTTTGCATTCCCAAAAGCCTCTAGTATACGATTTATCTGAAGAAATTCATTTTCTATCGCACAATTGCCACCACCACCAAGTGCAGCTAAGTATTGCAATGCAATTTTAGCTGTTTCTGTCTTCCCAGATCCACTCTCACCACTGAAAAAAAAAATCTAACAATGATTATGAACAAGTGCACCAATGATCACACTATATTATTACTATACCATCCAATGCTATTGAGTTCAGGACTGTCATGCACAACACAGCCACTAAATGCAATAAGGAGCTGACCTTATGATAATGGACTGATTTACTTCATCTGTAAGATACAAAAAGAAATAGAAAACTTTTATAAATGTTTCATTCTAGTACAACACAAGGATTTTAAAGGAGGGAGAAAGCGATAATTTCATTAACCTCTCATCATCTTGTTATAAGCAGCATCTGCCACAGCACAAACATGAGGACTATCCACACTTCTCTGCCTACAAGCTGAGACATAATCATTTCCATACATCTGAAGATCTTTGAAAGGATTGAGTGCAATTAAAATTGGCCCTGCTTTACTCTACACTCACAGAAAGCACAAGCAGCACATGAGAGCATATGTATGATCATCCCAGTATTAGAAAAGAATAATTCTGAACCCGCTTGTAACACCATCCTATTAATCCTCGTACTTACTAAATAAGGGAAGTTCTTTATGTTTTCAAGACAGTAAATGCATTTACTTTTCAATTATATATTAGAAGGATTAATAGGAAGATATTGTAAGAGGATATCGCATTACTCAGAAGAAAAGGCCAGAGCAAGCATACATACATAAATCATCCCTTGAGAATATCTTAACTTAAGATTGTGAAGAACTGATGGCTCGTTCAGATAACCAAGTTTAACTAGATCATCCACACCCTCCAACACATCAGGATTTGCTGGTAGAATCTCTGATCTGTCTACGGTCATTACCTGGAGAATAAGTTAATGGCGCAAACAGCCTATCACCTTCCATATTCAACATTAATCATCATCTTCCATAGGCAAAAAAGGAAGAGAAACTCACATTTCCATTTGTGAGTGACACGGATGCTTCCTCTCCTGAAGCTGACTGTATCACTCCTAGTTCCCACTGCCCTCTTGGTTGCCTACACCAAACACGAAGCTTCTGGGGGAAACAACCAAAAACCGGTAGTAAATTTAACAGAAAAGCACAACTTACACCATTTAACAATGTCTAAGTCTATACCAAAAGAGAGAACAAGCAAAATTTCATAAATACACAATAACCACAGATAAAATATTTATCTTTTAAGGTAAATTTTAAAAGGCAATTTTAATATGTGGCAATCAAAACTCCTTCCAAAAAAAACCATCCCATAGAAAGGCTCGGAGAACGATAAGCAACTAATCAAAAACCAAAAGAGAAAAAAAAAAAAAAAAAAAAACACACTAAGAACTAATCTCAAAACCATTGGTTTAACTTATTTTATAGAAACAACCACTTATTTTTATCAAATATTAGTCGTTTAAAATTAAACAATTTTTTCTTTCTATATAAATAATGTGGAGCCTTTAATGCGACATCATTTAGGGAAATAAATCACTCATTTTTATCAACTTCTCAAATTATTTCAAAAAAAAAAAAAAAAACTATTACTTTTTCTACAAATAACTGTTTCTAAACATGCATTTAGCCTTCAATGCAACGTCACACTTTAAAACCAGGAATCAATCAATATTCTTCCCAATTTTAATTACAAGTTACCTTTTTGATGAAATAAGATATACAATCATCACTCTCCAATTCCCAAACATTCCCTGATGAATCGCTGGAAGAAAGTGCCACATAAGGAGACTCCACATCCTTCTTCACCCTCTTGCTCCCAAAACCACACCTTCTCCTCTTCTGCCCCAAATCTCTCTCCTTCACCACACTCTCCTCACTAGTAACAAGTCCGTTTTCCGGCACGACTAGGCGCTCGTTGCCGCCAACCTTAAAATTGTTCGGCAGTGATCGCCGTGCCGGAGGAAGCCTTGCACGCGAGGTCGGCCTCGCAGGCAAGGCAGGTGGCAAATCCTTCTTCTTCTCCTCCTCCTCGTCCCTCCGCCGAAGCGAATCCAGCATCTCCTCCAGCGAGCTTCTCGCCAAGGAACATGGCGAAGCCGATAACACCATAGTTTCCCCAACCCACCCGAAAACCAACGAACAACTATGCACCAAATTTGCAACCTAATATCAAAATTCACTACTCCGACTTCGACTTTCGCCGCTGCATTGCTAAAGGCCGCGAAATTGAAGACATCCTTTGGAGATTCAAACCCCAAACACTGCCTCGTTGCTTAACCCCACACAAACTGGAGCAACAAATAAAAAAAAATGAACAAATATATATATATATATAGCTAAATGATGAGCACTTCAAAGGAAAGCGAAAATTCGGTTCAAACTCAAACTCGCTGCATGAATCAATCTACGATAGCACAAGAGAAAATGAAAGAGGTGAAAGTAAAACACAAGTTTCTAAAACTAGAACGTGAGTTACGAGGTTTGAACAGTGAGAATAAGAAGAAAAAGAGCTTGACGAGGGTATTGTGTTGGATTGTGAAACAAAGCCTTTAAGACAGAGAGAGAAAGTGGGAGGGACAAGGGATAACGAATACCAGGAACGAAATTAGTGAAAATTGATGTTGTTGAAGTCGTTGTTGTACTTTTTTTTTTTTTTTCTGAGAAGTGATTGTTAAACGAAAATTTGAAAAATAAACAAAATGGTTCCATTACATACTGGTATTTATGAGTGACTGTGAGGGAAAACGTAATAAAAGAAAAAATTGAAATTGTGTATATTTTGTCGTGGTAGTAGGTGATGATGGTTCTGTTGTGTGTCCAGTAATTCAAATCTTTCAGGTGAGGAGTGAGAGGTGTCAAGTCAATACTGAAACGTTCAGAAAACTGTTCGGATCTGATAGGGGAAGGGTATTCTTATTATTATTATTATTATAGCCACGAATAAAAAAATGGTTCTCTTGTTGATTAATTAAATAAATTAAAATGTAATTGTGAATATTATAAAAGGAAAATAGAGTGGGTATGTGGGAGTAACTAAAGCTGACAGTGAAATGAGCTGGAGGCAAATTACAAAACTAGGTCTACCACTTTGTTTTTTATTAAAGTGTTTTTTTTAACCCAATTCCTCTTATTAAACTTTCTTTTGCTTCTATTGTCTTCCACTATTGTAATTTTATGATTTTAATTTTTTAATTTTAACTGTGTTAATTTTAATATTTAATTATTATAACTATAAAATTTTAATATTCATAAATCTTTTAAACTTTAGTTATATTTATTATAGGTTTAAGCATTATAATTATAGTATTTAATCTTTCATATATTACAAGTATAGTATTATACTTTATTCTTTAATTAAAATATAGAGGCACCCCACCTAACAATAATATCAAGTTTCACTTAGACGGCAAGTGAAGCAGTACGTACCAGTAGCCAAGGATCTAGATCATTACAACATTTCAACACAAAAAATAAATAAATAAAATTATTTGTTTTCAGTTTTTTTTTAGAAAGACAAGGAAGATAATGAAATTCACTTAAAAAAAAAATACAAATTAGCATTATTTATATCTCTTATAACCTTAATTACTTTTTTATTCATATTTTTCCAACATAGTGATGATAAAGGGGATGAATAAGTGATCCAAATTCCATGGAAGGACCAATATTTTGGGGTGGGGGTTATGGTCCCTATACCTTACAATAATTGCAAACCATAAAATTGTAGTCATGCTTGCAGAATCTAGAAAAGGTAAATTAATTAATGAAATTGTATTTTAGATGATAATGGAGAGCTTTTAGATGGAATACAATACAAAGGATAACCATATGGCCTTGTTGATCTTGAAAATGACATGACCAATTTGTTTAATTTTGTCCACTGATGCACAGTGTTTCATGAGGGCCACATACACCATCAACTAAAACTCTGAACCTCATTTCGTAGATGTTACAAAGTACATAAACAGCGTGTAACAAATCATTCAATCCCTTCATCTCACTCTTTTTCTCATTTCTTCAATTTTTTCATTAATAAAGTCAAAGTTCAGTAGTGATGCTGACCATAGTATATGGAAGAGGAGGAGGGAGTTTTGAATAATTCATGCCGTTGCCATTCTCTTGTCCCTTTCTTATTAAGTTTTTGTATATAATATTTCATTTACAACAACATAAAAATAAAAATATTATGACCCGAGAAGAAAAAGAAAGTTGAATAATGTTGTAAATTAAGTTAATTTATTGAGGATGAGAAAAAACACTTGTATTGAGGATTAGCATAAAAAAAAATCTCCAAAAATTGAAAAAACACGGTAACATGTGGCTGCTGGGATTCGAGCCCAGGTCTCCACGGCCACAACGTGGAATTCTTACCACTAAACTACAGCCACTTTTGTTTTAAAAGATTTGTATAATTATATAAATTAGAATTCATACATTAAAAAAGAAAATTATTAGAGTTATATGAATTAAGATTATATAGCTTAAAATATTATAATTTTTTCCAATGGAATGTTTAATTGATTATGTAGGTCAATTAGGATATTACATTATTTTTTATTTTTTTTCACTTTTATCGTATCAATTATGCATACTTAAGAACTTTTTATTTTTTTCTTCTTCTTTTTCTACTTGATTCAATCAATCTTTATTTATTTATTTTCATTTAATTCTTTTTTTCTGTTTTTTTTTTTCACTTTCCAACACTACATTCAAACGAATCGTTATTTACTAGTTAAATGAATGTGAGATAGGTAATGTTTTCAAAGCGATCTGTTTAAGAAAAAACATAATTGTAATTTTAAAAGATTAAAACAAATCATTTATTAAGATGTATCATTTTAAAAATATATAGAGAAAGGGGGAATTAAAACTAGTTTCATGTATAAGACTTAAATTTAAAAAATACATAACTTTTATTTTAATAATTAAATCTAAATAGTCTAAACTTTATAAGAATAAATTTAAATATATATATATATATATATATATATATATATATATATATATTATAGTGAAACTTCCAATATATCTCCTAAAACAAAGTCTTTTGAATTAAACAAAAAGTATTTTTAATTCAAAACAAAATGATAGGTCTAAGCTAACAAGCAGAAAAAAAAAATTAAGTTTTGACGATCACGATTCAACATAAAATCAATTATTAATCAATAAGAAGAATAATTTGGCTATGATATTATTAATGTTCTGATATAAAATTATATAATTTGATTATGACATTATTAAAGTTCCCATATAAAATTAATTATGACTAAATAAAAAATAATTTAAAGAGATATTTAATCGATAAGATAGATGAATTAGACTTTCCATAGAACAAAATTTTATTTTGAAAAAAAGAAAAAAAAACTTAATGCGATGAACCGGGAGTAATGAAGAAAGAGGTGTGGAAGATTGTTGGGGTAGCCTCTACCATACATTGATTGTGGGCTAATGGAAGTGTGTGCGTCGTTGCCTTCACGTCCCTTCTAAGGCAAAAGTGATGAGTGAAGACGCAAACTGAATCCAAAAGGTACACATTAACATGCTCCATGCATGCCTTTTGAGGAACTGCAAAATCCTCTTCTAAAGTCATTTTTATTCTCTTCAGACAACCATCCCACTCATTTTCCTCTCACAATTCTACTCTTATTCTTTTCACGCACCGACACACACCTTTCAATTCTTTCATCATAATTTTCCTATTACTCATCTTATATCATATGGGAACTCTCAAATTGTGAAATTAGATAAGATTTCTTGGAAAAGTTTGTAACGATAACAACGCATTCTAATTAAATTAGAAAATACTTCAATGCACTCATTGTTAAAACGGAGTTTGTGATCCATTCGATATTTTTTTAGCAAATATTTATCGTTGCAACCTTTTATGAAGCTTTAGTGAAATATTAATACTATATATCTAGAAGAGTACGGTGTATGTGTAATTCAAAGCTTGATTACTCCTTTCACCAAATAAACTTGTTTTAACTAAAACTCAAATTGAATTTCTTTACCAAAGTTTTTAATTTGAATTTAATGAATGAAGAAATTTAATTAAATGTATTAATCAGTAACAAACTTAATAAGAACACATTTGAATAAATAAGGGAAAAAAATGAAACGGATTTTTTTGTAAGTTAAAACTAACTTATTATATTAGTTAAGAGAATTTTCTAAATATATATTTTAATACTTGATCATGTAAAAAAATAATAATAATAATAAGAAAAAACAGTTGTAGGAGAAAACAGTGGTCCCACTTCCTCAGAAAATGGATTTATTAACCAACAAAAAGATGGAACCCCATGCAGAAACGAATTGAGTTAAAGCACATAAGTCAGAAAATGATAGAGAACAAAGCAAGGAAATGAGTGTATTATTCTTCCTTTACAGTTCTTAATTTGTTTTTCTTCATGTATGAAAGTGGGTCTAACCCAGCAACCACACCAACCATGATCTGAATCCCCTTGTATTTCATGCTTGTTCTTTCCACCGCTAACATTGCCTTGATTGTGTGAGTTATTGCCATCTATCTATCTATCTATCTATCTATCTCACTGTGACCCCATTAGCACACACACCAAGTGTTCACCCATTATTGCATACCTAAGACAATAAGACTAATATTCTGGACAGTGGTGGTGGTTGGTTACAGATTTCAATTATTTTACATGTCTATCTATCTAAAAGATGCACTTTTTTTTATCAAAATCACTTTTTCCAATTCAAATGCCCACCTTTTTCCCATTAATTGTTTGGGTTCTTGTCCATTGCAATGTCGTTAGGTGATGCTGTTGTTTGACTAATTTGGAGGAATCCATCCTTTTGAAAAATATTAATTAAAGTTACTCTTAAAGTAATTGTTTTATATATATATATATATATATATATATATATATATATATATATATATATATATATATATATAGTATATATATATATAATGTATTTTATCAAAGATTGTGTTAGGATCCTTACATACAGTTGGTTCAATCTTTATAACGTTCATATGGGTCATCCATAGGAAATGGTACTCCAAAAACTTTATATTTCCTCTTTCATTATGAGATTCATAAAATATTCACTTATTTAAAAAAAAATTATTTATTTTTATCATATTTTTTTAATTTAATAATTAAATGAGATATTATTTTATATTATTATATTAAAAAATAAAAAAATAAATAAAAAAAGAGTATTTAATTCTTAAAATATATAGCCCATCTCTCTTTCTCTATAACATATATGAATGATTACTTAGATTTTATTAATACACCATATCAATTTAACTTATGATTAATATTTCTAACTTAATTAATTTTATTTATATTTTAATTTTCTTATCTCCTTTAATATGTTTTAAATTCCTCAAATGTGAAATAAGTTTATGTTTAGTCTATGGAATTTAAAAGCAATATATTTTGTTCCTCTAATTTAGAAAAAAAAATCCGTTGTTCAAAGTTTTTCTATTTAAACATTATCAAAATAAATACTTAAAAAACAAATAAACATGTAATAGAGTGTTTGATAATAAAAATACGAAATCAAAGTAGATTACCATGTAAAATACTTATAATCTGTTAGTAATGTAAAGGAATTCTTTTTCAAATTACATAACTAAGTGGAAAACTTTTATTTTTGAGAGATAAAAAATTAAGTTACTAGAAATTTGGGAGACTAAATTTTAAACTTTGTTTTAGTCTAAGGAATTCTCCAATTGGACCTTAAAGACTAACTTTTTGAGATATTAAAATTTATTTAAGAGATTGACTTTTTTTAATATTTTTTTTATATACATTGACTTGATGATCAAACCTAACTATATGTTTATGGAAATATGCCATACCATATTCATCTTAATTTGATTATTGAGTTCGAAAATCATTAGTCAATTTTTTTAGGATAATCATGAGTCAATCCTTAATGTTTAGAAACAAAAATAGATTGATGTGTAGAAAATTAATAATTAAAATGATTCATAATTAATTAAGTCAAGTTCAAACTAATTAACTTTTGTGATAGAGACTAAAACATCAACAATTATTATTTTGTTTAAATTTTTATTTTAAGAGCTAATTTTTTAATTTCAATGATTTAAATGACACATCCTTATAATATAAAGGATTAATTTAATAATTTACTTTCGAATATTACATGTGATAATCTATCCAAATACTAAACACCATTTATAAAAGGGTCAAAATCAATTTGAATCACAGCTGTTTTCTTTTTCGTTATTCAACACTATTGATAGTGCATCATTGTGTTCATCTCTGGCGTTTAATTTTAAGAACAATATTTCAGTATCTCTCATAATATTAAGCATTGTTATATGAGTGCCTGAAATTAAAAAACTCCATGAAATATTTCGTTAATATATATATATATATATATATATTCTTTAATAATAATAATAATAATTTTAAATAATATACTTTGCTCGATTCATGAAATAACTTTGTCACCAAACTCTCACTATTGGTTGATAGGTTTGGTATGCTGTATAAAGCACGATTATGTATATCTACATTTTTTTTTTTCTTGGTGGTGTTGTATAAAACTGAAAGAAATTTATCCTTTTATGTATATTTGTATTATTAAATATTTGAATGTTTTAATGAATATTTTTGCACATATGATTTATGTAAAATCTAAGACTAAATTAAACCTATTCGTAATTAATATACACTTGTAAACTCATTCCACCCATTCCTATTCGTGATCCATATGCAAAGTTGTTAAAAAAATAAAACCTATTGTTAATATTTGTTTATGTGTATTAATTTGTATTTGAAACTTTATCGGTATATATTTTCTTGAAAGGATTTACAAGTCAATACATTGTTATACTAAACCTTTGCTTTGAACATGAAAGAACATGATTAAGACACGTATGCAAATTATATAAAGTTTGACTCTAACACAAGTTATGATTGATGATGGTGATGATAGCTACACGCAGCGCATATGGTGGTGAATAATAATATTACGCGATTGGTGGCATGCACGATTGGCAAAAAGAGACCCCACCTGTGTTGATGACGATGCACTCTTATACACTGTGCAAAGTTTGTCCAGAAAGGGACCACTAATGTAACATTATTAACCCCGTAATTAGCTTCAATCTCCAAATCTAGGAAAAATTAGCATCATAGTCATAATCATACACCCGTCTTAAAGCGATAAAGTTAATGATCACACACGCACCACGACACCAAATCATTCAATTATGTCCTTAATTAGTTACACACATAGTACGTGGATAATTATTAGATCACTTCTCCCCTTCTTTTTCTTATTACTATGTGTCTAGTTGAGGAAAAATAAAAATAAACTTAAAATATAGAGATTATTTGAAGAGAAATAAAAAATGAACGTTATAACATTTCTTTATATTTTATTTTATAAAAAATATTTTTCTATTTTTACTCTTACAAAAAAAAGTCTATTATCTATAACAAAAAATTGTAAGTAATGCATTTGTTTAAATAAAATATCTTTATTTATTACAGTTCCGTAGGTAATGCACTCATTTAAATAAAATATTTTTTTTAAATATTTTTATTTACTAACTTTTAGAAGTTTGAATTATTATTAGATTAAGAGAATTATGACTGATAGTGATCAAATTCAAGTAGTTTAGAGTTAGAGGTTGATACTCCAACCATTAAGTTATTAGGATATTCTAATAATAATTTATAAATAAATTATATTTATATTTATCCGTGTAAATATATAAATATAAAATATATAAATATAAATATAAAATATATTTATATTTTGATATATTTATATATTTACATAGATATACATTTTTTTAAAATAAATATAACTTATTTGTAAGTTATTATAAAAAAATATTAGTGATTTAATGGTTGAAATATCAACTTTTTAACTTTAAAAATTGGATTAAAATCTGTTAATATAATATACAATGTTAGTAGCACATGAAGAAAAACAAATTTTATAATATGCATTTTCTTGAAAAAAAGTCATTATTAAAATAAAATTACTGAATCATTCCATAATTAAATAAATTAGGTTATTGAATGATTCATCGGATTTGAATAAATTATTTATATTTACTTTTCATTACAATAGAAACAAACTTAATTAATTGTGATTCAATCTTTCATATATATATATATATATATATATATATATATATATATAATTTAATTATATTTAACTAGATTAAAATTATTAAACAATATTAGTATTAATAAATAATAATATAATTATTTTTTTATTATATATATTTTTTAAATATTAAATAATATATTTTATTTTAAAACTATTTAAAAAGCTTTCACTACAAATAATTTTAAATTATAAATTTTGATAAAAAAATAAATCTAACACTCAATTAATGCACTCTAATATAACTAGATAAAAAATATTAATTAAATTGAATTAAGTCAAACAAAATAAAAAATATTACTTAATTTTACTTAAAATTTGTATTCAAAGTAAAGAATTAAGTTAATTTAATTTAATCCAATTCGTATACATTCTTATCTCACATGAAAAAAAGCTGATAAAAATATTATTAATATATTAAAATAAATTGACATTTTATAATTTATTTTCTTTTCTTTATTTAGTCTAAATGATTTTATTTCACTCTAATTAAATTTTTATTTATTTTCACACTATATTTTCTTAGACTTAGTTATGCAATAAATTCTTATAATATACACATTGTTTTGGTCCCTAACTTTTTTTTCTCCTAAGTTTTAAATTTTACTGTATTTAATATCTGATTGAATTTTTTTATTACATTATTAATGGGAAAGTTGTACTGGACATCATCTTAACCACAGTTGAAATGCAGAGTTTTTTTATTAACCACAGTATTGAACATCATCTTAACCACAGTTGAAATGCAGAGTTTTCCGTTGTCCTTCTCTCCATGAACCTCCCATCTCGAGCCTTCCACGGTGACTGGTGCTTCAAAATCCGTGTCACGGACACCAAAACCCTAGTTGTTCCTCCTGATGCGCTAGGGCTAGTTTCGATTTGCGAGGAGGTGAGGGGATTCGTGATGTGGAGGTTTCGGTGATGGATGGAGGAGGAGACGGTGGTGGGAGGGAGGTGTGAAGGTTCAGCCAGCTGGGGAGGTAGAAAAGGAGGGAGGAAGAAAGGGAGTTTTGGGAAAGAGAAACACCACGAACCACGAAGAGAATACTCATTATTTATTTCATTTGGATTAACCATCGTCTAAGGAGAAATATTATTTGTTTTAAGAAAAAGAAAAGAATATGTGACCCACTGAAATCGAGAGAACCAGGAACCAACATGCTGGGTTCCGTATCTGGCTCTTATTGACTCGTTGAATTCAATTTCCCTTCTTTTAAGAAACAAAGGTCTTGTCTTGTCATGTGCTGAGATGCCTTCAATGATTGAACATCAACTCCAGAGATGAATTTTCTGACAAGTGAATGAATTGTCTCAGGACCTTTACCTCTTGCTTCTATTTTGTGGCATGTTTGGGAAGAATGACCATTCGTGTTCCGGTGCACCCACGTGCTCATTCGCAACAAGCAAACAAAAAAAAAAAAAAAAAAATAAGCCTAATCTACAAGCTTTGCCTGTTTTTGAGTCCCTTCTTTTTACACCATCGTTTTTGTATTCACACAACCACTTTGTTTGAAAGTATCAATATTATCCTCTCACACTTTTAAACAAAAAAAAGTCCTCATCCCTCCCACCCCCAATCTGCATCTTCTCTTTATTTCTCTAATTTTATTCTCCACCTTTGTCGTCTTTGATCAACACATTAATTTTTTTTCTGTTTTTTTTTTTATAAATCTTAAAAATACTACTTTTCATAGTATAATACTTCATATTATGCAAAGTGATTTATGGAATATATTATGTTTAACACATTATCGAAACTGGTCTTCGTCGGGTATAGAAAGTAACTAATCACAGAAACTTTAATTATATGACACAACCTTCACAATTTAGCTTCATAGCTTGTGATGCATCTCCAAATAAGAATTGAACATGAATATTTTATTAAAGATTTCCACAGATGAATTATTTAAAGTTATTTATATAAGTCGTTTTCTTTTAACTTTAAACAATTTTTTTTTAATTTTAAGTAATTAAGATATAAAATTTATAATTATATATCAATTTTTATATTTAAATAACTCTTATTAGTAACTCTGTCAAAGATGCTCTGAAAGGACAGGTTATAGGAAAAAAAGAGAGTTAAAGGAGTGCAAATAGAATCCTTTTCTATTTTCGGACATCTAATTCCAATAATTCATGGTTATTTCTTCTTCACCCCATATTTAAAATAAGGTGTTATTTATGATTTTCGGTTGTTAAGCTGTAAATTATTCTAATTGTTACTTCAACCATTGTTATTAATTAAAGATTAATTATTTTAAGAAATAGGTAAGAAGTTTAAACTGTTTTTAAATTATATCAATTTTTTTATTAAAACATTGTTTTTAAAACATTATAAGAACAATATTTTTGGATTTGATATTTGAAAAATACATTTCAGATTTTTAGATTTGATTGTTTTTAGAGATATATTTCGGATTTTTGGATTTGATTTTTTTGAAAGAATATTGACTATTCTAAAATATTCAATAAAAAATTGTATTTCTGTAATACTCGATCTAGAAATTAGTTTCAAAAAAATTAATATGGAACTTATTTTTAGATTATTTTAAATTAATTTTTTTGGACACACTTAATTTAGAATGTATTTTTGAAACATCTAATTTAAAAATAAGTTGTGAAATAATAAATCTGAAATAAATTTTTAAATTGGATATTTTAAAAATAAATTTTAAATTAGTAGTTCCAAAACTCACTTTTGAGTCAATGAGTTTAAATTTTTATTGTGCATTGTAAATCTTTATATACACTTTCAATGTATATTTTGTAATAGGTACAAAATATTAATAATTTATAATTATTAACTGAAAATGATATTCAATGTAGATGGAAAGACAACAAAACGGAAATGTAGGAGTTAAAGAGATGAAGAGGAGATGGAGGTGGAGAGAAGCGCTAGAGTGAAGAAGCTTTTTAGGTTTCAAACAAAAATTAGTAAAAAAGTTTTTTGGTCATTTTACATAGGTTACAGGAAGAAATAGGATTTTTGGTCATTTTAAGTGCAAGAAGAAATTATGGTAGTGCTGGAAGAAGAGCTTAATTCATTGGTCACGCCAAAACCCTTATGAGCCCAACGGCTGGCCCATCTCATTAATTAAAGCTTCAGCCCATTTTGACGCTTCTGGATCTCAGAATGAAACCCCATCGTTTTCTTGAGTAGGAAGTTGAGATCGAAGCTTTATTGCAAAAAGCACCTGACTCCACCCTCGACTTCTTCCCTGTACTCTCTCAAAATCCAATACACTACTCTCGTCGCCGCCGTCGACCACCGCAAGCGCCGTTCGCAACCCGTCCGTCATCTGTTAGGGCTAAAATGAGTCGAGGAAGTGGTGGCGGATACGATCGTCACATCACTATTTTCTCTCCCGAGGGACGTCTGTTCCAAGTCGGTATGTAACTCGAATCTCTTCTTTTACTGTAACCTCTCTCAGCGGCGACGTTTTGATCAGTCAAATACGGTTTAGATCTTTCACGCCATGGACTGACCTAATTTTTGCAATTATTTCAATGGGGAAAAACAATTATTATTAATTATTGTTTTTAGATGAATTATTGGTATAATTTTTGTAATTTAAGTTGAAATTAGTGGAAATGGAGTAAGCTAGGTTTGTTTAGTGAAAATGAGAAGTTAAGGAATGCGCATGAATTTGAATTGATTGATTGCGTGCATCACTTACTAATGAAATATTTTGTTCTCTGTGAATAGTGTAAGAGTATCTCTTTTTCAATCTTGTTTTTTTTTTTTTCAATTTTTGGAATAATGTAATTGTCAGCCCTAATTTAATCTTGTCAAATGCGGCCCTAAATCTGTAACTTCCCTTCCTCGAATTATGCGACAATGAAATGGCCTGGATTGGCAGGTTTATGAATTTTTCTGGCAGTTGTTTGGAAATTAGTTGACTAGTTTGTTAGGATGTAGTGTTGAGTGGTGGAATTTTTATGATGAAACAGAGTATGCTTTCAAGGCTGTTAAGGCTGCTGGAATAACCTCAATCGGTGTCCGAGGAAAGGATTCCATTTGTGTTGTTACTCAGAAGAAGGTCCCGGTCAGTACTGAAAGTTGGTTCTCTGATCTTTGTTTTACTTGTGTGAGTGTTTGTGCTGAATGCTTAAGTTGGAATAACGTGCAGGATAAGCTTTTGGACCAGACAAGTGTTACACACCTGTTTCCTATCACAAAGTATCTTGGTTTGTTGGCGACTGGCATGACAGGTATATTTTTATTGCCACTCTTGCACCGTTTCTTTTTCTAAGGTATTTGTGAATCTTTTTGCTTGTCCTTTAAGTTAACTTAAAATGTACGTCCGTTTTTTTTACAAGTTAAATTGAGCAGCATTTCACAGACTGTTTGGTCATTGTATTGTATCTCATTAAAACATAAAATTACAAGTGTAAAAATATGATATCAATCCAAGCAGCTGGTTAATAGGAGGAAAAATAGAAAGAGATGGTGATGATATGATAATGCTTATGATTCTCCTATATTGTGACATGTTGGAAATTAGATATTTTATTTGATGCCATACTTTTGTGTTTCACATGTACATATCTTTTTCATGAATATTTATTACGCAATCTTAATTAAAATATAATCAATATTTATGATGAGAAATAACCTTAATGTTAATGTCAAAGTTGTGCCTATGGATAACATAAACTATGGGCAGATTACAATGATATAATATAAATATAATTAATAATTTATGATGCGAGAATACCTTGATTTTATTGTCCACGATGTGCCTACAGATATTATAACATATGATCAGATTCACAGTAGAGACAATGGTAGTATTGTTTTTCCTGTAAATTGAACTTTGATGTATGAGCACATGTTTAGATTTCAGCCAGAGTAAATATTTCTTTTTTGGTGTTTTGGATCTATTTAGAACTAAAATTTCTTTAGATTATAAATTCATCTTTTGCTTTATCTTGGAATTCCACTTTCCAGCTGATGCTAGGACACTGGTCCAACAAGCAAGAAATGAAGCAGCTGAGTTTCGCTTTACGTATGGATATGAGATGCCTGTTGATGTATTGGCTAAATGGTAAGCAGTTCAGTTTTTAGAGATATATTTTCCACAATAAATAATATTACTTGCTGCTTATTATTCTGTTTCATATCTGCTTGTAAGTTATCATTATTTAGTGAAGAATTTTATCTGCACTTCATTTAATGTAACTGGTAAAGTACAAAATAGGCAATATCCACATTATTGTAACGTGTTTCCATGTTTGGGGTGCAACTGGGAAGTCGATTGCTCCTCCTACCTTGTTGACTATGTAGATTACAATCTTATGGTTCAGTAATCAACATCTAATGTACTAAAATAGTAAAGAAACTACTAATGGTTTCCCTTCCAAACATGTACCGCAGTTAACAGAACCCACACTAGGACCATTATGGCCATGAATTTAAGCAAGTTTTTGGACATGTATTTCTTAATTAATATTGTCATGTGTTTCTAAAAGGGATGCTGAATGCTGGTAAAAAAATGGAACTGTTAGACTTGATAAGTAAGAAGTTTTTATATGGATTGAATTTATTGCTGTCTTTCATTTCTCCCATTTTGTTAGATAAAGCCCTTGCTGCAAATTTTATAGTAATTAGTGATTAAATTTCTTATATTTATACATCTACCTTGTTTTCTATCTGTGGTTTTATGTCATCTTTACCTAGTTTTTCTAACATAATAAGTAATAAACTAGTTTTGTCCAAATTTCACCCAGTCTCTGGAATTGGCACTGATTAAGAATAAACATTTGTGATATAAAGGTATTTGACAAACAAAGGATAGTATACCATTTTGTTTTAAGACACTTGTAGAGCTTGAGATTTCTATGGCTGCTTTAATGTACTTATGAAATTTCTTAAACAGAATGCTAACAGCTTTTGCAGCAGTGGCACTGTGGTAGTGTGGTTTGTTTCAGCACTAGCATTACTTCTAAATAGTATGTTATGTTTTTGCTTTCAATTTTATTGTTGGATGTGAATGTAGCGTACTATCTCGGGGTAACCTGTGCTGTTTGTAGGATTCATTTCAATGATCTCTGAAAGGATTATCTAACAGATCTATGCAGTTTAATAAGTCTGCTAGCTGAAACATTCTTATTTTTGTCGTTGTTTTGTTTTTTGGTTTGAAGTTGCTAGTAATTAAATATGGGTTCTATGAAAAAATGTTTCTGACATGTTTGATGCATGCAGAACAAGGTTAATTGCAGCTATAACGGAGCACCACATATGTGCTCTTAGGCTGCCCATACTCTTTGATTTAACCTTTTTATAGTCATTAATATGTTGAATTGAATCTGATTATAGTTTTGACTTTTATCAAAGGCTAGGTTATTTGACTTAGTATATATTCAGCTTTTACAATTTGTCTATATTAATAACATCTTTCGTGTCTGTGCCTTTTGTTATCTTTTATGCTAACAGGATTGCAGACAAATCACAAGTCTATACCCAACATGCTTATATGAGACCACTTGGAGTAGGTAGGTTTCCTTTTAGCCTTTTCCCTCTGCTGAACAATTTTCACCTTGTTCAAAAGATCACATAAATGGTTTTGTATCATAAAAAAAAATTATTTCAATTATTTATTGATGCCATCTCTTCGTTCTATCATTTCAAATCTATTCTGCCATGAAGTTGCTATGGTTTTGGGTATTGATGATGAATATGGACCACAGCTTTACAAGTGCGATCCAGCTGGTCATTACTTTGGTCACAAGGTACATAGAAGATCTTCTCACTTTGATTGATGTTTTAGATATTTTAGTGATGTTGCTATTTAATATGAGAATATGAAAAACATGTTGACTATAAATTTAATTTCATAAAAGTTTCTAAGCTATATTGTTTATCTATTTAAATGTCTCATGCGTTGAAAACAGTATCTGTCATCGCAAAATATTAAAATAGAGGGGATTGGGGTTGACTACACCAAGATTGTCTGCTTTTACTTCATGAAAGTTGTTTATTCCATTTCTTTTATTACTAGTGTAAGATTGCATTCTTTGAGCTTACTGAGATGGTTTATTGATTAAACTGAAGAACCAAACGAACAGTTATCGTGGGAGTATACCTACAGTTGTGTTTGACCCAGAAAACAAGGGATTATAACTAGTCAATAGAGGTGTAAAGGGATCATAAGCTGGTTAGGTTATGAACTTTCTGCAGTAATCATCTATATAATGTACTTGTGTTAAAGATTTGTTATTTTAAAAAAATGCTGTATTGCATTTATTTTTTCCAGTTAGATCTGCTGATTACATTTCTTTTTTAACATTCTATTGCTTTCTCTAAGCCATATATATAGATTGTTATGCACATTGCTTTTGAGACTTATACATTTTTCAAAGCAAGGGTTTTGCTTCCTCAGCTCATACATTTGTAATCTTTTTGTGATTTAATAACATGCATTTGTATACAGAAATTTAATGTCTAAGAATCTATTATGGTGTACTCAGGCCACAAGTGCCGGATTAAAGGACCAAGAGGCAATTAATTTCTTGGAAAAGAAGATGAAGAATGACCCTTCATTTACTTATGAGGAGACAGTTCAGGTAGTGCCCTTTCAACTTTTTGTCCTCCTCACTCCATTTCCATCTGTTTAGTTTGAGAAGTAGTCAGCCTTTGCCACTGGGTTTTCTGTTGGTGTGGAAAATGAAGATCCTTTGTTGTGCCTCGAAGAATGTGTGTTTTCAAGTATATATTTCATCTTGTCAGATTCCCCACATTGGACCCGTATTAAATTGTATCTTTTCACGTCAGTTATGACATTATAAGATTTGTTGTCCACCTTTCGTTATTCTGGGTGATAGTTTATCTGTATTATCTCATGAATGGTAATTAGTTTTTGTTCCCAAGACTTTACCAATATTGCAACTAAAAGCATTTGAAATTGAATTTGTTTAATACCAATTTTGTTAATAGTTATTAAATGTCTGTGTTCTGAATTCAACGTTCCCTGCCTCTTTATATCAGACTGCCATTTCTGCTCTGCAATCAGTTCTCCAAGAGGATTTTAAGGCCACTGAGATTGAGGTAGAACTTTATTTTTAAAGCTCATAGACCTTTATTCCCCCTGTTGATTGAAATGTGCACAATCATCCATATCTTATTTGATAAAATTATTACTGAAATTCATTCATGTTTAATTCCTAGTAAAGGATCAAAGCTGGTATTTGATATTGAAGATTGTCCGGGTGTTGTTCTTTCTCATTAAATGAAAGCTATACATTATTTTTCGTTATACAACCTATTCTGTTTGATTCCATGTTAGACAACTCCCGTTAGAACATTTTTGTTTCTGCTCTCAATATTTCATTAGCTTTACCCTAGGTGATGAGTCCATAATGTAATTTCTCATCCTCTGGTGTTGTAATTGATTGATGATTCTAATGACTAATGTGAACCATATATAACATATAGTAGTGTATAAAATGAATAATTGTATTGTAAACAACTCATTCCACAAGTAGATTCTTTATTTTGAATTACATTTAGTGGCATAAATCAGTGTTTACATTTTTGTGCTAAAGCCCAGACTTGAAGGATTAAAATTGTTGTGATTATAACCTTTGATAGCTCGTTTTATTCACTGACTTATTGCAAAATGATTGTATTTTGTGTTTTTCAGGTTGGAGTGGTGCGGAAGGATAGTCCAGAATTCAGAGTTCTAACAACTGAAGAAATTGATGAGCACTTGACTGCAATAAGTGAACGTGACTGAGTTCTTGATAATGATTGTAATTGTTCAAACTTTCTAATGCTATATTAAATTATGTATTTGTTTTCTTGGATCACATTCACTGGATGAATTTCTTGTGATATTTGATTAGTAAGCAACCAAGAGTGACTTCGAAGTGGTATTTGTTTCCTATTACAAGTTAATCTATAGGAGAACATTTTGTGTTCTACCAATTCTCTCCGTAAATGAAGACTATACTATTTTATGAGACTTTTCCATAAAAATATTCAAATAAAAATATATAATGAGAAACTAAATTGGCATGTGAAGAAACTCTATTCTTCGTAGAACTAGATAAGATAAATGATAGTTCTGTTTTTTTACATTATATATATTTTTATCATAATTTATTATATATATATATATATATATATATATATATATATATATATATATATATATATATTGTGTGTGGGTTTAGTTTATTCTAAAGTATAACTTAACTTTTTGTTATATATATAAGACTTCAAAACCTTAATAATTAAGGGGACATTTGTTTTAGATTATCAGTTTATTTTTTTTTTGTCACGTGTGTTAATTAGTATTCACAGTTGCCTTTAAAAAATAATATGAAATATAAAAATTCAACAAAAAATTTGTAACTTCTAATATTAAGAATTTATAGATTATTATCTTTTAAAGTAATTACATAACATTTTTAGTTTATTTATGTTCATTCACAAAATTCATTAAGGATTAATAAATTTGTAAGACATATAGACATTTTTCTCTATTTTTTTTTCTCTCTTCTCATTTATTTTTTATTATTCTTTTTACTTTATGTTTTTTTTTCTCTTTTATTTTTTGTTGTTCTCTTGTTCTATCCTATTTTTAAATAAAAGTAATATATTGAAATTTAATAAGGTGGATTTATTATTATTATTAGAAAATAAAAATATTTAAATGATTAAAAATATTATAATTTAATGTATTATATTAAAAAATATTGTATGATAAATTTGAAATATTACAAATATTATTATGTTATAATTATTAAGAAAAAATAAATATTTATTTAAAATTAATTTTTTAATAAATATTTTTTAAATTACTTAATTTAACTAATAAATATAATTCAATCTAATTATATTAAATTAAATTATTAAATAAAAATATATTTAATTTATAAATATATGATATTTTTATTTAGATGAATAAGTATTTATTATGATAAAATAATTTTAAATTAATTGTTTAATGTTAAAATATATAAAGTTATTTCTTGTCATCATAAACGAGATATGAGAGAGAAAAAAATAAAAGAGATGTAAGATAGAGAGAAAAATAAAATAAAATAAAGTAAATAAGAAAAAAAACTGAACAATAACCAAGTCTATTTTAATAAATAAATTAGTAAAAAATTTATTTGAATAATTTTTCTTTTAAAATATATTATTTATAAGATTTATTATTTCACAATCATTAATTAATAAATATTATAATTTTAAATTTATCAAATCTAAAAATATGAAAAAAATGGATAATTATTATTAATTTAGATATGGGGAGAAATATGTTAGAATCGCGCGTGAAGAATGTTCACGTGGTCGGACAAAAACCAAGAGTGGGATGAATTGGTTTCTTAACAAAAATTAGGTTTTAAAAATTTTCCCCACATTTTACCGATTAAAATACTGTGTAAACGTAAATAGAGTAGAAATAGAATCTTACACAGGAGATTTATATTGGTTCGGATCAAAAGACCCTACGTCCAGCTGTTAATCACTCAAACAGAAGATTAACGCTGTCACTATAATCAAAGTTGTTACAAACAGATAACAATTGAAAATACAAAGTAAAGAAAACACCTCTCTTGAAACCCACAAGAGATGAAGAACAACTTTCCCCAGAGACGGCACAACACACAATCCACTAAGAACTCCACTTAGTGATTCTTATCGCTTCTAGCCCACACCAGGTTCCAAAAACCCTTTTTTCCTCCAACAAACAATTCTCTGGCACTCACAGCACTTAACTTTTGTTTGAAAAAGGTTGTTCTATTTTTCTGAGTACCATAGAAAAGCTTAAGTAGAGAAATTAGGGTTTGGGAATTGGGAATTTCGGAACTAGGAATCTTGGGATTAGGGTTTTCGAAAATAGGGTTGATTTGAAGTTGAAAATCAAAATCTGACTGAAATAATCGATTAAATGAAGAGTTAATCGATTATTACAGAGCCAAAATCAACAGAACCCCAAAAATCACTGTTTTTATCGATTAAAAGCCCTGTTAATCGATTAACAGGTGTGTTAATCGATTATTACAGTGAACAGATACAGAAAATGGTTTTTCTCACTATAATAATCAATTATTTGACCATTTAATCGATGAAAGCCGAGGCATAAAGATAAATTTCAGTTTTTGAAGCTTCTAAAGTGCAGACTATGTACCGGCTATCTTAAACTCTAATATTACAGACTCAAACTAATCAAAACAGAGTTATTACACTATAAAACAAGTCTTCAACTCTCTAAGTCTTGTGTTCTTGAATCATCATCAAAATCAACAAGCTTTATGTCCATATAAGTTCAACATCAAGTCCTTGAATGTTCAACAATCTCCCCCTTTTTGATGATGATCAAAATTTTATTTTAAAGCCTTGTAATAACCTGTTTTATCTGTCATACTAACAAACACATTAAACATACCAGATAATATTTTAAATCAATCATAGTAGGCTTTAAATATTTCTCCCCCTATTTTGATTATAATAAAAAAGAATTCTTCTATAACAATCATAAGAGCTCCCCCTCAAAATATGCATAACTTGGAGATAACTCCCCCTCAATCAAAGCATTAAAAGAACACCACATTTTATTTCAGAAATGAAAATACATTACAAATAAAAAGCAAATTTAAAATTCTTCACTATCATCACTATGAAAGTGTGCATCAAATCTATTTTCTAAATGACACACTTTATCATTTACATCAGATATACGACGAATTATTTCATCATGCCGTACTCCAAAAAGAGTGAAGAATGCCTGCATCCTCTGATTCATATCAGATAACATGTCTTCCATAGATTGTCGGGTTTCATAATGAGCAGAGGAAGTTCCAACACTTTGGATTTGATCAGAGGGAAACTCAGCAGCAAAAGGCATATCTTCATCAGAATCTTCATTATCATCACCTTCGTTTGGAACGTCATCCTTGTGAACATAAATATCGTTGACACACACCATTTGGAGTTGGATTAATGTGCTATCCAGCATGCAATTTAAGTTATTCGTTCGTACTGTTTGTTCACCTTCGATATTTACTCCTTTGTATTCAAGAATGCGAGAGACAAGGAGGGCATATGGAATTTTGAAGGTGGGATGGGGTTTGACTTTTAACATAGTCATGGTGACAAGAACGCCCCAATCTAAAGGCTCATTATTCATTATGACATGAATAATACGAAGATCAATTGAAGAACATTGAGCATGATTCGTAGCCCGGGGACATAGGATCCAGACAAGTAGATGTAAAATCATGCGCTCCTCCTTCTTCAAAGGTCCAGCTAGAAGGAGATGTCCAATCTCCATGGAGGGGTTTCGCAGAAAAGAACGGTACGTCATGATCCTGTCAAAATCATCTAACTCACCATACACGTTAATAGCATCTTCTCTAATAGGAAAGTGGGCAACGTTTTCCCAAATATCATCATCAAGAATAATTGTGACACCCTTTACTCGAGAGGTAGCAATTTGATCTCTAAATTTGAACCTAGAGTAAAATACCCTAACTAAGTCAGGATAATACGTACCTTGCATTTGGATGAAAGGGAGAACTCCTTGAATTTCAAGGAGATTAGGAAAGTTGAATCCTCTATTGATGAACTGTTCACCAATAAGGAACTTAGGAGAAATAATACCACGTTCCTTCCAATAGGATAGAAATTCTTGTCGGTCTTCTGCATCAGAGATCCATCCTTCTACAGAATTAGGACGGGGATGAGATGAGGGTGCAGATCTTCTTCTAGTGGAGATTTTTACACGAGAAGATGAGGCCATTGAAGGATTAGAAGAGTAACAAGAAGATTTAAGAGGACAGGTTAAGTGAGAAGAAGGCAAGATTGATAGAATGAGGCAAGAAAGCTTGATTTCAAGAGATATAAGTGAGTAGAAGTGAAATGGAGGTCCCTATTTATAACCAAGCATCTCCAACGGTCATATGAAAGTGAATAAGGGTCAAAAGAGTCGTTGGCAACGGCTAAGAATCCAAACTTGCCAGGTTTAATCGATTAAAACTCAAATTAATCGATTAAACCACTACCAGACCCATTTAATCGATTAATTTGAGCTGTTAATCGATTAATACTGATTTTAATCGATTAATGGGCGAATTAATCGATTAATCCAGAGAGAAATGTCATGTTTTGGGTGCAAATAATTGATTATAACTCCAATTAATCGATTATTCCAGAGAGTTCATCAAATTTTTGAGGTTTATACACATGATAATCTATGAACATCCTTCATAATGAATTATAACATTACAACCATCCAAAAACTATCTAATTAAGCAGAATTTTAGCTATTTCTAATATCCCTAAGTTTCTTCTAAGATCATAGAATCTATCCTTGGGAAGAGACATAGTAAAAATATCTGCTAATTGATGCTTTGTATCAACGTACTCTATTTTACAGTTTTCTTTGCTGATATGATCTCTCAAAAAGTGATGTCTAATCTCTATATGCTTAGTCCTAGAGTGCATTACTGGATTCTTAGTAAGATTGATTGCACTCGTATTATCACACATCAAAGGTATGTCATTCAGAAATATACTATAATCTTCTAGCTGTTGTTTCATCCACAGAATTTGAGCACAACAATTACCAGTTACAATATATTCAGCTTCAGTGGTAGATAAAGCAACACATGCCTATTTCTTAGAATGCCAAGATACTAAGGATGAACCTAACAAATGACATGTCCCACTAGTACTCTTTCTATCAATTTTGCATCCACCATAATCAGCATCAGAAGATCCTAT